GAATAGGTTCATTGTATTTAAGGTCTTGAGCTTTTGCCCAACAACTTTTGCATCCGTGGAGCAGGGGAGTTTCATACTTTGTTTGTTGTGCCAGTGTTATAGAGATTGTTCATGTGACCATTTATTTGTCAGTTTTGACAGTTTGGGGAAAAACCCTTCCAAGCAGGGGCTTTTTCTGGCTTCTATCATCAAAGACCTTTCATTGCATTGTGGTGTGAGGGCCTTCTCACCCAGAAGCAACGGCAACATCATAAAAAGTTGCTAAAAGGCGAATTAGTGGGCGATAACTGTGCAGCGGCTACAGTAGATGTTGTCAGTTGGGTTGGTTGTGTTTGCCTTTTAGATGAAATGATTATTGCTTGGTCTACAATGCACTTGTGTTGGAGATTTGCCTTCTCCATGGCTGTTCTGCAGGGTGACTGTATGTCCCATACTATGTGTTGTACCAAGGCAATCAATTGAAAGGGAATGAAATGATAAATATAATTTGTTTCCTGAAGATGACTGAGGTGCAACATATTATTAGTGAAGGCCATGAAGACATGATATACTGTAGCGTATGTACTGATGTACTGTACTCCATTTCTCTCCTTCAGGGAACAATGGCTATAGTTGTAATCAATTATTTCTAAAAACAAAAAATCTCATTCAGTGCAACAAAAGCTCATTCAAACAAAGATGTTGTGGCAGCATCGGTCGCCATAGCAATATATTCTTAACAAGGGGCTAATGTTTCTTAGTTTCTTTCCTCCAAACCAGAATTCATGCTCACATAATGTCAATGTTCCTTCTTCAATGATTTGATTTGCCTCAAATGTCTCTCCACACTTTAAGCCATACTGCAACATACAAACATAACCCGATACATTGCTTTCACACACGCTCTCCATTCATCTATTACATAATGCTTCAGTTTGTCTTGCTGCTTTTAGTGGCTTCAGGGAATGTTATAGATTTAAAATAATTTCATTTGTATGTCTTTGTCTCTCTTTCTTTCTCTCTCTCTCTATCTCTATCTCTCACTGTGTGTGTGTGTGTGTGTGTGTGTGTGTGTGTGTGTGTAGGTGGGCGAGTGCTTGCGTGTGTGCGTGTGTGGAATATAAAAATATTCTCTGCAATGACAACCACATTGCAAAGAGCTGTAGAATGAGTGGGTGATGTGGAAAGATATATCATGATATATTTAATTTTATATTACAAAAACAATATATATTGTTCCAGTGTACATTTTCTTGGAAATCAATGTTTGAGTGTTTCTGGATAAAATAACCAAACAGGAATGTTTTATTTGTCTAAAAACATCAAGTGACTTGATTACATTGGTGTGAAATTCTTTCAAAATGCAATGTTTGTATTAAGCAATTCTGCTCATTGATTTGCAGCATCCCCAACAACTGACCTTTGACCTATGACTAATACCCCTTTTAGACAGCAGAGGTGGGTCTACTAAATCAGCACTGGACTTGTATTGGACCCAACAGTATGAGCTAGCTGTCACCGTGCGTCTACCTTTTTGCAGAGACTACAGTCTGCAGTGTATTTTCATACACTTCACTGATTAGCCACATAATTCCATTGAATAATCACCAGATTACCTCTGTCTTAATTGCCCCCTCTCATGTGCTTCCCATTTCTTTCAACTATCTTTCTTTTTTCCATCTCTCTCCCCTCTCTCTCACATTCTCTTGTTGATTAAATGACGTTTGAACGTCCATATCATTGAATCATTTTCGGGTCTTGGTGGCAACAGCACCTAAACAAAGCTGGCAGCCTCCTGCACATGTTGAAGTGTCGGCTGACGTTTGTTTACCCATTCAACAGGTCAATGTGTCAGTATCAATGGTGTATAAGTGTCAAAGGAAAGGATCTCAATGTTTGTTATGTCTAAGACTGTGTTTTCACACACTGAGAACTATAAAAGAATATGGAATTAAACATCTATTCACTAAAACCTGATGACACCACACTGTTGTTCATGTAATGTAAGTCTGAGTCACACAGGCCATAGCAACACTATATAAGAATAAATTAGTCAGTTGGACATCTGGTGGCAACGATTCAGTAAGTGATTAATTAACAACTTAGCCAGTGCATGTATGGTCTGACCAGTAATACCCAATTCCCAGAAAAATATTGGCATTGTATGTTTCTTCAAACCACGAACATGTTACCTTTGTATGTTATTATGTAGTGGGTACGTTGGTTAAGTCTTGTTAACGTGTGGTTAGGTCTAGGCACAAAAACCATTTGTTATAGTTAGGAAAAGATTATGTTTTGGCTATAGATTTTCTAGCAGGTGATGTGCACCTCGGTTTGGGGGTGCACATCACCTGCTAGAAAAGCAGTGATGTCTCTGTAAAAAAACAACAACCGCTTTTCATGGCACTGTCTCTGCTGGAAAACAGTGACAAGTCGCTACAAAACACCCATGTTTGATGTTTTTTGATGTATTATTATAATTTATTGTTTAATGATCACAGAGACCTGAGTTCTACATTTTGTTCTCTTCATGTATTTGCATAGCTGGACAAATGACAACAAAGAGTCCTTGATCCTAAAAGGCAGCTGGACCAGGGGCAATATTCACAAACCTTCCCAGTACAAAGAGTTGCTGCTGGTGATGAAATACTAAGAAAATTCTTAAAAGAGCTCCTAAGGTGAAAAACTGTTTTAAGAAGAATAAGAGTTAATCATAGGAGAAAATGGTGGAAACAGAAAGAGGTTGGAGAAATATTCTCCAGATGCTGGATGACAGTGAGTAAATGAAATGCTACAGATTAGATTGTGCACGGATAATATGTGTGGCTGATGTCATGAGGGATATACACACATTAATGCTATAACATTGCTATAACAATATATAAGAAATAAAATGATCACAATACTAATATTTTTGGAAAACTGGAAAAATGCAACAGTGCAGCAGTGATGACTGGTCTGTGTCAACCTTCCATCAGCAGAGTGATCACACTGACAATGACAACACTTTTACATACAGCAGTTCATTTCATTTCCAATGGATGTCCAGGCTCACAAAAGGGTGTGTCTGTGACAGCCAGTCACATCTGTCAAAAGAATGCATCACACCTGGCAATGGTGTCAACCACACCTCATCACTAAGGTAAAAGTTTCTGTCAACCACACCTCATCACTAAGGTAAAAGTTTCTGTCCGTTGCACTGAGAATTTTCCTAATCGCTCCTAAGCAAGGACTCCTTACTAAAAATTTATTAGGCTAAGTTAGGAGTCTTCTGAGAGTATTCTCAGAATGTTTGTGATCATTCTGAGAATACTCAGAATGTTTGTGAGCACGACCCCAGACTCTCAGAAAGTCTGCAGGGCTTTGAAGCCAATTTTCATAGTGGCCAAACAGAGGAATTACATCTGTGATGCCATTGGGCTCAAAAAGACTTTTTCCCATAGACTTACATTGGGAGAGAGATGTCTGTAAATCAATAGACATACATTCTTTTGAGCACTACGTGACTCATCCCATTATAAAGATTTAATTCACTGGGTCAAAGTCTAGAAGAATGCCAAGATTAAATAATTTTATCCCCATTGAAGTTAGCACTGAACTAAAAAAGTAGCAACTGAAGTAGCTGGCTTGGCCAGTGGAAGTCCGTAGTGCATCTGCTCTATGGGCCCAGTGATGTGGAAGCAGCACTGATCTTCCAGGTAATTTCATACCACGGATAGACTCATAAGTCAGTCTTTAGATGCTTTGCTTAACTAAAGACTGATGACTTTCTCCCTGATTTTGTGTTTAGATGGGCGGATACAATTTCAGAGTTTAAAAAAACTCCCTACGTTGCAGAACCAATAGTAAATCCGCAGGGCGGTCCTTCGGTGGCTTGCTGAGCTCTTGTGCTCATAAACATAGTCCAACTAGAAACACGTGTAGCAAGAAAAAAATGGCTCAAGTCGCTGTAAGTCCTTCATTTCCACAATCTTGTGGACTGAGCACACGTTTGATAAAACGGAGTTAAATCTCTCGGCATCCATTTTCAAGCTCTCTGTGTGTTTGTTTCCTTGCGGACGAGAAAAGGGGGAGCGCACATTTCCGTGAGGGTGTGTTCTTTTCAAAAATGCAAGAGGCGTTGCTTTGTTGCCGGCCGTTTTCGCCGGTGTGTTAAACACACTTTAGAAAGGAGTGTCCCCAGACTATACCACGGAAAGAGGGCCTTTTGGCTTCATGCACCACTGAGCAACTTTCATAGGAATAAACAGAGTCCTGTCTCCAATGATGTATTCAGTTCTCTTAATACATCCATGAGCAGGACGCACAGCGATGACTTATTTAAAAAAAAAAAGAAAAAAAAAAAGTTGTTTGTTGGTCTCAAACAGTGGTCTGCAGCTTGGCAGGCATCTCGCCTTTCTGTCACACCATTCTCAATCCCCTCCACCTACCAGTGACAAAGTCATTTCATATACTTTGTCACTATAGAAACGTTGATATGATACATATGAAACACACACACTTAACGTATTTGTGGTTTGAAGAAATGTACAATGCCAGTATTTTCATGTGGCCATTGGCCTGGAATACTAAAATAAAGTCAGCAGTATACTGCCCAGACTTCTAAATGGTGCTGTGCTTAGATAAAGGCATCTTTTAGGTCTACAAAGGAAATGCAAAGATGATAGCTGGTGTGATATTAACTTTAATTCAGTATGCTCATATTTCATTTCACATTCTCAGGGGTCATCAAGATGAGTTACATTTCTATTCTACAGCACAGTCCGTCACCACATTACTCATTTTATCACAAGGTTATTTAAGATTTTAAGGGGTTGTTCAACATTTTTGGAATTATGCTCCCCCTGTCTCTCATCATTCTGGGAGAGAAGGCAAATAAGCATATTTCCCAAATCCATGAATCATCCCTTCAGAGTTAATATTCTGTCAGAAGAGTTGGTCAACCAGGAGCAGCTGTGTATCTAATTTCAGTTTTTGTGTTAATGATTAAAACATGGTTAACATATTTTCTCCTTGTACAGATGAAATTCACAGATGCAATGCGCTCCAAAGCTCGTCTATCCATCACAGGATCGACCAGTGAGAATGGTCGTGTCCCAGTGGCTTACCTCCGTCCAGGATTACCCATGAGCCTCAGCATGACTGATCTCTCCTGACCACACCCGAGCCAGTGCCTTACAGCCAATCGACACACATCCACCCTACCCCTCTGAAAGTGAGTGGAAATGCTTGTCATCTCCTTCGGTGACCAATTACCACTCACCGTGGGTGATCTGCCCCGATTTTCAATCCGGAGTTTTAGCCAATCATATCACTTTGAGGACTCCTGATCTCGCTCTTTAACATCTAGCCTAGAAAGACTGGACAGATGTTGTCCTCCCACCACTTGGCTGTCAGGCTTTAGCAAAGACCTGCCCACCTACGAAGTGAATAACTTGACCATCAGCGAGAAAGATGGCTGGTCATTTACAAATTCATGAAAAACAATCAAGCACAGTGGACATTTTTTTAAACAAACTCACATTGTTGTTTCATAGATTTTTGCCATGGAGGCTCTAGAAAATAAGGACAACAGTGATGCTGACGTTGACGCAATAACAACATGAATCAGGGATGTGATCAGGAATTGTGGGTATAATAGCAGAATCATGCTTTAAATGAGTTCAAGTGCTATGAAGAAAAACTGACATCCTGAAAAATCACATCCATGGAATAATAGTAATTGTGATAGCAGATAATGATAATGATGTTATTGTTCTTAATTGTTTTCCTTATTTCTGCCTGAAAATCCCTGATTAGTAGAGACTTTAACCAGACCCAAGAGATGCATGGACTGACACACACACACCCATACAAACACACACATACACAAAACCAATGGTATGAAAACATACACTATACACAGGGATGGGCAAAAAATTAGTCAAAATCATACAAAATAATCACAATTTATTTTAAAGGCTCTTTGTGTAGGATATGATCATCTGTGACTTGATCTGTGAAGTCTAGAAGTAGCATCAACAAACACCAAACAAATGCAACTCGGCGACTCTGAGAATATCTAAGTTGAAAGCAACACAAACACTGAGAGCTGCCCTTTGAAAGTCAGAGATTCAAATTGTCAGTTTGAGACTTCTCAGTTGACTGAGATTGTTTCAAGTTAAGTTGTTTTTTTTTTGTTTTGTTTTTTGCTAGTCTGTGTGCTGTGCAGTGTACTTCTGGGGATGTGTTGCAGGCACGATGCAGGTGCACAGAGGAGAAACTTTCCAGCAAAAGGCTCCAAAATAACATTATTTTCTCTCTTCTGCTTGGGAGCTCACAGATACTTGATACGACACAGTTTTTGTTTTTAGTTTTTGTTTGATATCTAGTGCCGGCCAAAAATGATGTTGCACATTTCCAATCCATCGTTAGCAGTGTTAGCTTGTTTACTTTATTACTTGAATGCCGCTGTCACACCTAACATCCCGCTGAGCCCCTTTAAAACTTGAAAACAAACAGTCGTATGAAACAGGAAAATCTGATTCGACTGACATAATTCTGAGTCAGGTACAGCACTATTGTTGACTGCACCAGTAAAGGGGATTTACTAATGTTTCTACAAAAAAAAATGCAAACCATCACAATAGTTTGAAAGACTTAAATCCTACACCTTGGGGCTTTTTATTATACATCACTTATAGATGGATTAAATGTTCAAACAAAAGGCAAAAAAGATAAATGTTACAAGTATTCAGACACAAATATACTCCTCCATTTAATAAGCTAGCCCTTAGCTGTCATTGTAACTACTATGCTTACGAGTTATACAGTATCCTGTTAATACATTTTGTAGTGTCTTACCTTAACTTTAGCTGTAAATGACTTTTACTCACTAGCTTATATGTTGCTCTGGTTTACACTTAGCAAAATTATTGTTTTGGCTGTATGAAGCACACAACTCTCATACCATATGATAGTCAGGTATCATATGGCAAAAGGGTATTATAAGATCATTTGAAGTTAGTTAAACAGCTTCTTTATATCCGTTGTTTCATAAGATATTACCTAGAGTCGAGTCAGCCACAAATGAAAATCACTGGACCTGAAATGAGTCCTTATCCGTAAACATGAGGTTGTGTTTGTGGGTGAGAAACCAAGTAGAGAAAGATAAGATTGTTGTGGTGTCTAAGCACTCATTTTGTTCAATGTTAGATACAGAGACGGAGACTCTGTATCTAACTTTTGCATGTTCTCTGAAAGCTTATGGATACGGACACAACAGTGCAGTACCACAGGAGATCATGGAGGCAATGTAACGTAGTTCAAGCGAGATATGACCATAGGAGATGATGAAGAAACTTCAATCATGGCAGAACGGAATGAATCTGTTACATATAATAATATATAGAAATATATAGTGAAAATAGCGACAAGAGTTCACCGTCCGCATGTTAGGATGTATATAATGGCTGCAGGCCACCACCGTCTATAGCGCTACCTCCATTGAGAGGTAATATATTATGACCTCCTTCACCGTCACCTCGTTTGTTGTTGTGTGAAACTTCTGACTCCGCCCTCTAGTGAAATCTGTTGGCTGTATCTATGCCATCATAAAGGAAACATGGAAGTATGAGGGCAGTGACGTTTACAATGTTTGAAAGGGACGTATCTGTTTTTGTACGTGAAGGGAGTATAAATGAGCCTTAAAGGTCTTATCACACCAAACACTAATAGTGGGAAAAGTGGAAGGGAAAGAGGAAGCAAGGGGTGCTGCACAGGACTTTCATCCAGGAGACCAATGTTTGTGTACCATGCGACAGCAAAAGTCAACTTTGAGTTTATTTAAACCAAATAACATACTTTCTGGTGTACTTGATAACTTACTGTAACAGACATCACCATTATCTATTTTTTAAGCCTAAGTACTTTTGTTGCCTAAAGCTAAAGTACTTAAGTGGCAAAGCCTACATTTTCTTTGACAACGCAATTTTATTTTGAAATGTATCGTAGCATGTAATGAGCAGAAAATGACACTGACACCTACAAAAGTGACGCTGGAGGTGAACCTAGAGGATCATAGTTTGAAGCATAGGGCCACTTACCAAGCTTCCATATTTGACAAGCTGGGGGTGGAATGTATTGCTCACAGCCTAGTGCAAATTCACTGTAGTGATGTGGAAAATTTCAAGGAAAAAAGAGTTGAAGCATGAAAATACTTTGCAAGTGTGGACAAGCTGTGTTGGTTAAACTTGTAAATGAGCCAGAAACATATCTGTTGTAATTAGTGTTTTAAACAGCTCACTACCAGCTAAGATATTAGTTATGATTCTGTCATTCACAATATGCAGATGATGTCAAAATATTTTCACTGTGGGCATGAGGAGGAGAGGCGGGGCGAGAGGATAGAAATTGTAAAATAAGTGGTGATGAATAGTTTTGTCGTAGAAAAATACACAGCTTGGCTTGTCAGGAAATTTATACTGTGCTTACATTTGCTAATATCAGTAAATTGGGCATTGTACTTTATGCATCCCACTGACATGTTCTCATGTCATATGTTCCTCACTCAAATGACTAAGTGTGTTTGACTTGAAGCCAGCAGTATGCTTGATTAAGAATTCTGAAGCACTGCTCTGCCAAAACACACATTGATAATGATCATTCAGTGCACATTTTGTTGAACAGGGTCAACAACACAGATAAATATTGTAACACGGATAAAATAAGAAATGCAACAAATTATTCATACAGGGTGTCTAGCTGAGGCTAATTATCAGCCCATGTTCCTGGTTAAGCTTTCACATGATCTGAGGAAATGGATGATGGTGGAACATGATGCAGAATAGAAAGAGTATTTCATGATATTTGGTTGAGGTGTAACGGTTCAGAAAATTAACTGTTCAATTCAATACAATACAGCCAAAATATAGAAATGCCAGAGAAATGTCCTTGGTTTTCTATTTTTTTTTTTTTAATTTTTAATTTTATGTTATTTTAATTCATTAATTTATTAAAACTAACATCATAAAGCATGATTTTTTTTACTATGAACAATGATGGAGCTATACCTCATCATCTGTGGTGTCTTCTTGACAGCAAATAAAACAAACAGCTCCTTGTAGAATATGGATTGTAGTTGTAAACAAATACAAACAAGGGAAACAACTTTGTTTCTGAAATGCCAGAGACATTTCCTTTTTTCCCTTTTTTACCTTTCGCAAATGTTTTAAAACTGACATCATAATTTGGGCTTTTGTTTTTTGTACAGTTCAATAATTACATTATTTCTGGAATGGATTCATGAACGAATATTGTAACAGGGCTCAGTTACATTAGGCATGTTCATAATGTTTACTCTACAGAGTCAAGTCTCATAACTGTAATTATAAATATACCAATCCTTGCAGTGATTTCTTTTGCTCTGTTTAAATCAGAATGGCTGCCTAAATGTGGTGCAGGGATCACGTTTGACACACTGGGATGTTGTCATCATGAATTGAAGTATTCCCAACCTATTGTTAAGTATAAGCTTTTTTTGTGTCGCTTTATCCACCTCTCTCTCACCATTGTCCTCATTATTGAAAGCAAAACCAAAGTGGCTCCAAACTCCAGACCTGTAGGATATCAGAGGATCTTCTATTTCTGGTCTGGTAATAGTGTTACTAACCATATTAAATCAAGCTAGCTTAGCGTAGCTGTCTCCCAGAGTGTCTCACAGGAGTAGAATAGTCTGATTTGGGGGTGGGAGGGGCAGACAGCATGTTGCATGTTCCGTCCTGTGGATTGCCTTGCTGAGTGCAGTGGCACTGAGAACATTACGTTAAACACAGTTCAAGATGGATATTTTATTTTCCAAATGTATTCGGATAGTTTAAGTTTTTATTGGGTTTGTAATAGGTACCAAACCAAAACCCTTTTTACAGAACAGCTCAACACAGATAGGTGTTTTGTTACACCCCTAATATTTGGAATAACACACAAGGCTAACTGGTAAATGCCCACATCTATCAGACTCTATCTATACTGCTAGTTTGTAGCCCACGCTTTCTGCTATAAAAAAAATCATCCTCTTATACCTTGCAACAGTTGTCTGACACCTTTGGCATGTTTGTTCTTCCTGTTTGAGCTTCATCTAATTTTACTTTGTATGCAGGTAGGCACCACTTTGTTACAGGAACATTAGCTTCAGTCAAACTTGACCTTATGTGGAAATCCCAATCAGCAACCTCAGAGTTGAAAAATGAAGCCAACATGGAAATGCCAAAAACTGCAGTTCTTTTAATGGCCACTGGAGGCTGGCTTCAGTCCAGGGGTAGGCAATAATGGATAATTTAGATTTATCAGTGATGTAGGCTTAAAGTGATTCTGAACACTGAATGACACTGAATGACACTGAGTGACACTGAATAAAAAAAAGTTTTAACATTTCAGCTACTAAAATATGCGTCAGTCATCTTCAGCCCAGTGCCTCTTCCTCTGCTTTTTGCCAAATCTCAATAGCGGTGGCTACAGTAGTGTTTAGTCTCCCTAGCTTGGTTAGCTATGGATTCCAATCCAAAAATGGGAAAGTTTTGGAAGAAAGCAGTTTCATTGTGCGTGAAGAGATTTGTTTGCTTTTACAGCCAACTCTGCAAAGTTAAAGTTCCAAATAATTGTAAATAGCCACCTGGTGGTTAGATATATTAATGAGTGCTCATTTAGACCTATTTGTAACAGGCTAATTTAGATTTAATAGGCTGTGTTACCTTCATTATAAGGCTTAATATGTTTTGTGGCTCCAGATAGATTTTTAGATTATTTTTGGTCAAAAACGGCTCATATGATAGTGAAGGTTGCTGACCCCTGAGCCAGTTAGTACCCATAGACCCCCATGTTAAAATGCCTACCTTTATAGCAGAAATAAACATGTTTACAGCCTGGTGTAAAAACAGTTTTGGTCTCTATAGTTAATTTCAACATTAATGACAACTGTACAGGGGGTGGATTTTATAGAACTCACCTGTTATTGAGGCTTAAAGTTAAGCTTAATAACAGCAGGGCCACTAGAGTGACAGGCTGCTGATACTATCCTCTGCTTCTTAGTTAGATTCACCCCGCACTCCTCCAGCTCCAGCTTCTCACCCAAATATGGTCACTTCTGGCTCCAAAAAGCAAAGATGGCGACGTCCGAAATGCCAAACTCTTCAAAATGTTAGTCTACAAACCAATGGGGGTCATGGTAGCTACATCTATTATTTTTACAGTCTATGGGAAATCCCTTATTCTCATAACATAAAAACAGGCTCAAGGAGAAGATAGTGACAGACAAAATGTTTACCAAAACAGTTTTTTATCCCTCAAGATTGAACGGAAAAATTAGATGCATGTTTCTTTCTTTACATTTTATATTTCTAAATTAAATTCTAGTTTACAACCTTAAAATAAGATAACATGAAGACTATCACAGACTACTATTTTCATCATGCTGATAAGGACTAAATTGGTGGAGTATATAGTAGTATATACAAATATACAAATATAGTACTTCAAAAACATATGAGAAATACTGCCCACCCCTGTCTATAGGTCAGCACACCAATACAGACAAACAAAAAAAAACACATTCCTGATCACCTATACATCAGACACACTGACGACATTATCAAACATGATCCACACCTCTACCCTAACATTGGCACGCGCACATGCACACAGTATTGTCATACGAGTTCTGAAGCCAACTGGATGATATGCCAAACAGACTGAGAACCAATCAGAGCTCTCCATGCTCAGCCAATGGCAGCTGCTGATACTGAAACCTGAGCCAATAAGAGCTCTCACTGCTGTGAGGTGGACAAGAAACTGTGAACAAAGACCTTCCTTTTAATACATATACTGCACTGATGATGGCAACGGAAACAAGAAGGACGATGAGAGGATGACGAGAACGTTTGCATGTCACTTTGAGTTTTTTCTTTCAAATGAACTTGTCAGCCTGAAGCTTTGTGCCTGGCTGCATTTTAGTGTTTAATAATGATAGTAATAAGAATAATATTAACAATATTAATTGCAGTAATAATGTGGTTCTTGTTATGTATAGTGTATGCTTTTAAGAACTCAAGTCTGCTATTTTCTTTTACCAGGAAGCTGTTATTTGTGCTGTTAGTTAGAAGCTAGCTGGTTAGCTGAAAAGCTTCTCCCACAACATGATAAATGCCCAAGACGTGATCAACGTCTGGTTTAAGTGAAGCTGAAGATGTCAAGGTATCTACTTCCATTTCTGCTCATGGACTCATATCATTTTTGCAATGACCACATGGTAATTATCATTAAATATCCATGGAGTTATAATGAAGTGATGAGGAGTTACTATGGAATCACTCCCAAACATGTCAACCACTGAGAGAAATGTAGAAATGATCACTCTTCACTTTTCCTCTGGTATAATTTCATTTTCTATTAAAATCATAAATTTTGACCAACATCTTGTTAGTTCCTTTTCAGAAGAGCAAATTAAAAGACCAGTGTGTAGGATTTAGAGGGATATATTGACTGAAATGGAATATTATATAATAAGTGTGTTTTCTTTCATTTATAATCACCTGAAAATAAGAACTGCTGTTTCATTACCTGAGCCATTTATATCTACACAGAGAGCCGCTCCTCGTCTACTGAGATCACCATGTTGCACCACAATGTTTCTACTTTAGCCCAGAACGGACAAACCAGACACTGGCTCTAGACAGGGCCATTTGTGTTTTCACATAGTTAGCAGCCTCTCCGCTACATGCAGTGTGGATTTAATCGGTTTAAATCACCAGGTCTGCTTGTTCTGGAGAAGAGACCTTTAATTCGTTTAAGCCGATAATTCGGCTCATGGTAAAAACTTCCTCAACGTCTGGGTCAGAAAAAAAGGTGAGCACACATAAAATTGTGAGAAAAAAATATTGAACACACATTAGCAGGCACTGGGCTATGTCCCCCATAATCATGAACTAGTAATTCGTGCATAACCGACATACCTTGGAAGGCAGCAATCACATGATCACTGCGCTAATGGGAGTAAACAAGAAAGGAGATCCCAAGCTTTCTTGTGGGGAGCCATCCCATGAGGATATGTTGCTCTGCAATGTGCTGAACATAGGCGGAGTTTGAGATCCGTGCCGGGGGGGGGGGGGGGNGGGGCAAAAAAAAATCCGACCATAGGCCTAGACAGTTTTGAGATCTGACCCTGCCACAATGGGTGAAGCATACCAATTTTACATACAACAGTGCATTACAACTCATAAATGCTAAATAAACATCACAGACATAAAATTACAAAGCAGATTTTAACTTACATTGCAAAATGTCCTAGTGGAGAAGTAAACGTCTTTGTTTGCACCCTGCGTATACGTCCACTATGGTCTCAGGTGACAGCTGCGCTGTGATGTCACTCTCAATGTGAAGTAGCACAAGGGACGAAAATCTTATTGCCCCCATAGTTGATCACAACCAGTTCTGAATTCTCCACAGAGCTAAAAAACTTCTCTCTGAAGTAGCAGATCCAATGGGCAAAGTCAGCGCTACCTTGAGCAGTTTGTACAGATTTGGATAGCTCTGTTTTTGACCTTTTTTTGCAGATGTTCCAAGGAAATTGGCTCTGCAGTAGAGGCTTTAATAAACTTCATTTCAGCAAGGTCAGAGTTCACTCTGAGTGACCGGGCATACTTCTCTATTAGTCACATGACTGGAGCGCCAAAAAATAATTGATATTTTTACAAGAACAGTCAAATGAATTCAGGTATTTTAGCTGCCGTCACTGTGTGTGTTTTGTGTCACTTAAAATATTTATAGAGAGGAGGAGACCTCTGTGGGTAATTCAGCTCATGGTAAAAACCTCCTACACATCTGGATCAGAAAAATGGTGAGCAAATGTTAGCAGGCGTTGGGCTGGCTCTGTGCAAACTGTTCTCATAAACTGTTCGTACGCTATCCTACAAAAAGTAATGCACCCAAATTCATCCCAATGTCTCATGTAATCATGAACCAGTAATTCTTGCATAACCCATTTATTTTGGAAGGCTGCAAACACATGACCAATACACTAATGGAAGTAAACAAGGAAAGATGTCCCAAGCAGTCTGCTCTGCAATGTGCTGATCAGCATAGGAGAAACATTTATTTGTCACGTGAAACTACTTTATTCAATGTTTTGACCATTTGTCTGAGGAGGAAGAGACCTCTGCGGATAATGCGGCTCACGTATGGCTCTTGAACAATGATCACTGAAGGAATCCTAACAGGGAGAAGTTTCAGCTGGTTTTTATTCTGCAGTCCTCACCACTAGATGCCACTAAATCCCCCTAAATCTTACACACTGAATCTTAAAGTATGGGATAAATGGACAGCCTAAAACTCTACCACAAAAATGGGTTATTTTCAACAAGTTACCACATACAGTATATTAACATACATATATATTCGACATGCCTGCCTTTAAATGGTATTCTATATAAACACCCAGAGACATTAATCAACACTCTTACATAGACTGCCCTCTGATAAAAAACAATTGCATTTTTGACTGAAAATGACTTTTGTTTATGTTTTCATGACAATGACCAAAAGTGGTCGTATGAATTATGGCTCTTGTCTGTCAGGAATAAAGGTTGAGATGTGAAGTTTTTAATGAAATGGCTCAGAGGGAGGACGTGGGGTGGATGGATGGGTCAACAAAGACTGACACTGTTATATTTTCTTCTCACTTTCATTTCCCAAATATTGGTTTGTTACTGTGATTGTTCACTAACCTTCCAAAAGGTTTTTGTGCCTAAACTGAGCCAAACCTTTCACCAGTTTCACACCAAGTGCACAAGTGAAATTGTTTGCAAAAGGCAGTGCATGGAAGGGCAGCACTACAAAGCAACTCACCTGGATACTACTACTCTCCTGGATACTACTACTACTACTACTATTACTACTACTACTGTGGAGTGTAAACAATTATACATGTTCATATCTGGTATCTTCATCTACTCTGATATTTTCAGCCATGCTTCCGATTTTATACCTAAAAACCAGGTTAGAGATCAGATTAGAGTAACAGAAGTGTGGGAATTCAAAGACACACTGAACTTTTCCTCCATTCTTCTCTACTGTAAAATTGTTGCTGTCACAAATTATAACACTTTGAGTCAAGGCCAGAATCCCTCTGGATGCACTCTTGAGAACTCAGTGTATTTGGGGTAACAGTTCTGTTTGGATGAACTAGTAAACAGGCCTGTGGTGCATCTGATTCCTTAGCAGGAGACCGGAGTTCACATCCTGTTGAAGACCAACAATTAATCCTCCCCTACTGAGTTTTTTGTAAACAAATAAAGTTTCTGTAAACCTTCAGTGTTACCGACCAAACGCATTGTGTCTATCCTTGGGGTTCGAACAAACCTGTTGAATGCATCTCCTTTCTCATAAATCATTTGCAAAGCCGATATTTTGAAATCTACACTGTTTACCAGCTAGAAGTCTTTTTCCTGCCTTGTTGGTGTTCTCTGACACCTGGGCTCCATTTTAGAGAGTGGGTTAAAATAAAAACTGAATTTGTTAACCTTGAGATGGGGGAAACTCAGGGTTTTGTAATACAGAGTTAGAGATAACTCAAACCATGGGTCAGTTACTGTGGTAACGCTTTGAATGAGTCCAGTCAAAGCGCCTATCGAAGCACATTAACTAGCAGAGGTTTAATGTATATCAGAAATAAAATTAGTTCTGTTTTTAAAAGTTACGATGGATGCACAATGTATATTGGGCCAATAAATTATCAGCTGATAATGGGACATCTTTATTATGTGTCATTCAGATAATGAAATCATAGCCTATAAATAGCAGTACGGTAGATAATACAGTACGGTTTGCGAGCTGCCAATAAACACAGAAAAAGAAGAACAACTGCAGCACGTTAACTAGAGCGGCAAATGTTTCAGCTTAGCAGTTTTAGAGCACAACAACATGATTGCGCCAAGGGTCTGATCACCGACTGCCAGACTCCCCACCAGATCAGCAAACTTCCTGCTGTTTGTTGTTGGTTTTTTTTTTTAATAATATTGTGACTTTATGCACACAATACAGCTGTAAGTTTGTTAGAACAGTTCCACTAAAGGGTTTGTTGTTGCACATAATGTGTAATCTCAGTTTAGACTGTGAAAATCACTAAAGCTTTAGACACACAGGATCACTATATAATTACCTCTATCACTCATGATGTGATTGGAACAGAATTTTTTTGAGTTTTGGAGATTGCATGTTAACATTTCAGAGTGAGCAAGAGTGTGGTGCAGCTGCAGAATGAGGTCTTAAAAGTGACATATAGTCTCGGGGTGTTTTAACAGCATTTCAGCGGCTGTGTTTACATTTAAATTTGTAGACGTAGCTGAAATTAAACCACTGAATACTGTTGAGCCAAGATATCTAAAATCTGAAATTTACAGTATTTTAACTTTCACTTCTTTTCAAGTGCAAATCACCAACCACATTATTACTGGATCAGATTGTGGGCATGCAATCCAGCCTCTATGTTGTTCATCTAGATATTTTTTTAAATCTTCAGAGATATTTTTCTTCCTCAGTGTCTGGCCTCTGTGTTTTGTTCCTGTCAGATTAAAGCTGAACAAATATATTCAAAATGTAATGTAGGCCTTGTATGGTTTTATTCTGACTCAGGCTATGTTGTTTTAAAGATAAAAGCGCACAGTCCACATGCAATAATATCTCTACATGCACTGGATTAAAATGGAGGCTCTGCCTTTTATTTACCTGTTGCCGTGGTGAATCGTATGATTCATTGATGATGGCTTTAACATTCACCATGCATGAGCTTAACTCACAGTGAACATACTCAGAGATGATTGAACTGACTCTGATCAGTCGTTCTGATCTCAGGGTTCATTAGCTCAGAGTTTGTTAAACCTGCTGTCTGATACAGGCCACTGTAGATCAGTGGAATAATGTTTAGTAGGTAGGTGTATTACATCACCCATGTGCTTTTTCACATGCATGTGAAGACCTGGTCATTAACATTGATCCAGAGCACAATACTGTTCCAAAACTATTGTATGTCCCCTATCTTAAAGGTGCTATTGATAACATTACCCGCTAGATGTCGCACTCCCCCTCCCCCTTCCCCCTTTCATTGCATTCAAGTCACAACAGCTCTGTTGCTCGAAGCAGAAGTTGTTGCCAGTCGGTTGCATAACCTACATATTTCATGGTCGAGTGGAGGGAGACTCAGGCAGATGCAGTCATGTCAAGTGATGAATCTTTGGTGGTAGAGTAATAAATTCATTCTGAAACATGTAGCTATAGCTACATTACCTACAGTGGCATGCAAAGGTTTGGGCACACATAATCAAAATATTGTTCACTGTGAATAGTTGAACTGATCGTAAAAGGGCATTAAGTTAAAGATGGAAAATGCTTTTCAACTTTGGGTTGTTTATGATGGAATAGAGTGGTTAAGATCAAAATAGTGGGGACTGCTCATTTTCAGAGAATTTGGCTTTCCCCTGCCTGGCTTAACACTGCTGCCTATGGCCATGTGTGAACCTGTCCTAAAACCACCCTAAACATTTGTTTTCAAAGCCATGAAACTCACAGAGTGGCCAGTGGTGTACTTGGATGTTCTGACATAAGAATCGTAGGGCATGTCGTATTGTTGGGCCATCTTTCAAAACCTTCTGACTTCTCTAACCATTTTATGGCTCTCAGCTTTAAGTCTATTGCTTCCAATGGAAGAAACCTTTGAAAGTCGGGCACAAATTTCCAGTGTCATTTTTAAAAAGGCTCAGTAATTTCCTAAATTAGCTGGTCAATGTAGTTTTCATTAAATATTACTTAAGCAGTAGGTGCATTTGTGGGGGACTATTTTCACTGGTGGATTCATCCACATTTGGTGCTCTAGTATGTATTTATCAAAGGGATGGTGGACATGGGATCGAGTCCAAATAAAGTAGAGAGTGTGTGTTGATTGTAATGAAGGAACACGTCACCCAGTACAACAGTGTGGCTCAATGTGTTTTAGTAGATTTTAAACAACAGTGTCTGCCCATGCACCTCCCACCAGATTGTAAAAGTAGTCCAGTCCCAGTTACGCTGAATTCCTCATTCAAACCATAAAGTAAAGTTTTTGTGTTTCTCTTATTTAAGCCAACTGGCATAGGCAGCATGTTTGAAATGAGCTGCTCTGGGGCTATATTACGGTAAGGTAGTTACCACAGGCTCCAGTGCACACTATTATATAAGGCCCTAGTGCACTCTAGTTGCTAGTTACAAGGCACATTTAATTTTGTTTTAGAGTGCTACTGACTATTTTATCAAAAGAAAAGAAAAGAAAAGAAAATCATGATAGAGATGGGTTTGCATTTTTGAGGGCTTAATGGCACCATTTTTAATTTAATGTGAGTTCTTTGAACACAAGTGTAGTTCAAAGGTGGCAATCTGAATCATTTGCAAAGCCCCCCCCACCCCACAGGCCTCAGTGCACTGCCTGTACTGTATATGTATATGCCCCTGTCACAAACACATCTACATATATGTATGTTTTAAGGCTTCCTTGCCGTTTAAGTCAATAAAAACATTTTCTCTTAACTTGAAATTTTGTTTTTTAGGCCAGAGATGAAGAATAGCTGAAAGATTCTCTTAGACAAGTGGACTTCTCAGCAGAGACACTGTGGAAAGTACAAATTACAGTATTAACTAGAGAATCTTTAAAAAATTGCAGGTGTGAATGCTGCATGCTAAAATGAATGTTAATTTTAATTAACATATATGGATTAATGTATGGATTCTCTTAAAAAAAGTAGACCTCTCAACAGAAACATTGTGGAAAGTACAAATTACAGTAATAAATGTCATAATAGATTTTTTTTAAAATAACTTGCACCTTCCTAAATCTATGTGCATAGTTGTTGGGCAAAGTCATTTATCTCGACAGACTGTCAGTGAAAATGCAATATCTTTTTAAATTTGTTTCTTTTTTTGCATGAACAAAGGTGTGTCTCTGTTTAAAACTGGCACAAAAATGTATTTACATGCCATAAATTGATACATGAAAAACACAAGATTATACTTTGATACAAAATTCAGGCACTCACCCAGATCTGACGGACAAAATGTTTTATTGATAGAGAGCTTAAAACATGTTCATAAATCACACATACACTGCGCCCACAAGAATATCTTCAACACATGGGAGCTAATTAAAAATAAAATGTACATACAAACAAAGGAAGGTCACGATATTACAGTGAATATATGTTTACAATACTGCAAATGTACACAAAAATTGATCTCAAAGATGTACAATTATTAACACCCACTTCCAGCATTCTCAACACTATTTACAGTATCCCTCTACCTCCATTCACCATGCCTCCAAGTGCCACCAGCTTGCCCAGGTAAAGTATTTTATACAGTATTAACAAAAATTTAAATGCAACACTTTGGTTTGCTACCACTTTTCACACGTTTGTGATCTGAGACTTTTTTGAATGCACTCAATATTTCTCTCAAATTCTGGCCACAAATTTGTTAAAATCAGTGTTAGTGAACACTTCTATTCTACAACAGTGTGCTCCAAATCCTGCCAATAACCAGCAACTTCACACAGCCACTAAAAAGGAGTGGGCCAACATTCTACAGGACTCTGTATGAAGGAAATGTGTCACACTGTTTGAGGCAAATGGTGTCACACCAGATACTAAATCTGCATTTTTGTAGCACTTAGTTATGTAAAATCCAAATAAATGTCTTTTTTTCAAGGTGAAGATGCACATTTTGGAGTGTCTTTTTATTGTGACCATCCCAAGGCACACCTGTGTAGTAATGATGCTGTTTAATCAGCATCTTGGTATGCCACACCTGTCAGGTGGATGGATTATCTTAGAAAAGGAGAAGTGTTCACTGACACGGATTTTAACACATTGGTGACAATTTGATTTAAAAGGTTGTGTTTAAATTTTTGTTCAGTATACATGAGTGTTAAACTCTCTTACTCCCACACAAGGGCACATATATTGTTTCAACATATGGGGGGACTCATATTAATCAGGTCTGGTGGTCATCCCCCTGATACCTGACCACCAGTTACCTCGTGACCAAGTCATCTCCAACTGAGCACACAGTACCTGCTGAGGAGGACAGATATGCCATTCATAGCTCAGAAAAGCTAACAATGAAATAATGGACCCTGAGTTAATTTTTTGCCTTTATCAAACTACATTTCCCTCTTTGTTGATATGAACCTAGAGCTAGGAGACAGTCTAACTTAGCATAAAGAGTGGAAGATGAAGGGATACAGCTGTCCTGGCTCTATTAAAAAAAAAAAAAAAAAATCTGCAAAAAATAGTCTGCCACACAACCCCCTGTAAAACTAAAACTGAAAGCTGAAAAGTCCTCATATATATATATATATATTTTTTTTTTTTTTTTGTACAGATAAAACAAACAAGATATAACATGTTAATCAGTGAGCTTGAGACGGCAGGAAGGTGAAGATTGTCAGAATCAGAGAAAGCTGGGCTAACAGTGCTCCACTGTTTCCAATCTTTATGCTAAGCTAATATCTCCTGAGTGGTATCAATCCTATCTAACTCTAAACAAGAAAGCATAGAAGCGTAACTCTCAAAATGTGGAGCTATACCTTTAACAATGTCACTCATTAGTATTGTGCTCCTGTGCATGCTGCATGCTTTATAATTCAGTCAGTCCACTTAGGGCCTGTGTCCACATAGCATTCTTTTTCTCAGCGCCAGAGTTGTTTTTGAATTATTCCCACTGAGGACAGAGCGTATGCTGTTGCATGCGACCGCCTAGAGAAAAATCGTCATGCCAAGCATCTTTTTTCAAGGCGCTCTGGCAATCGTACTATGCATGCAGCCATGCGGTCTGGGCAACCATATCGGTTTTGTGGACATTCAATGAGAGTATGTCCGAGCCTGACTACTTAAATCCAACAAATAATAGCAGTGACAAAAAAAAAAAAAAAAAAGAATGGGAAATAAAATAAAAAGGAATATCTCGGTATATTGTCATGAAATGAATATATAAATCAAATCCAGTCATCATCATTGGTTAATGTTACATTTTCAAACTGTAATTGGTCATCATTAGCTGTTATTTAAGTACATTGATTATTCACCTAATAAATCATGACAACTGCTTTCCCCTATATATAAAGAAATGTGCCACTTTTAATAACAAAAAGTATTGTACTGGTATCGATATCGATGCTGGCGATTCTGGCCCTGTATTATCAGATCAAAAACAAATTTTGTGGTGTCACCCACCCTAACCGTTTCTGCCAAAGAAAAACGCTATGTGGACACAAGCAGTTAGGTTGGTTTATCCATTTAATTCAGTCCCTTCTCTGGATCAGCTGGTTGGATGCTGCCATTTGTCTCACCATCATCAAGAAGAGTTTTTTCCTCTGGCGGTGGGTCAGGCTTGTTGTCAGTCTCTGAGTGGCTGTCTGCTCCCTGGGTGGGGGCAGTGGTGGACTTGGTAGGGGTGCCTGCCTGAAGAGTAGCTTCCTCCTCCATCTCTTGATAATACTCAAGTGTTTTTCGCTTGAAGCAACCCAACTTATGACAGACACAAGAAAAATCATTAGACCACATAACCTGGCGACCCATTTCACAACAAACAAAGCATTTTTTATAAATTCAGTAACAGCTCTGATATGAGGACAGAAGTTTGTCCTGGTTTGTAATGAAACTCTTTAATTTGGGAATTGATTCTCACCTTAAACATGATGATGGCGATTATGATCAAAAGCAAGAATCCCAATCCAGCTCCAGTTGCAATGATCTGCAGTTGATTCGGGGGAATAATGAACTCAACCCGAACTTCAGTCTGTTGGCAGAGAAAAATAAAATCTTTAAAGTGGGGCCGTAGGCTTATTTGAATAAGAATCTAAAATATCTTATATATAAAAAAGTTTTGGCTCATTGTGTGTAGACTGAATGTACCCATTTCATTGTTGGATCATTGCCAGACTTCTGCTGTGTAAAAAACATATTGATTTTGTGTTTAATAAATACAATAAATTTGGTATCCTGAAAAACAATAAAGCAAAATCTTTGAAATGGCATTACTGTGGTCATACGTCTACGTACCTGTTGTTTATGAGAGTCCAGCAAATATCGATTCTTGTCGTAGTCAACTTGTATAAAGCTTTTGAATTTAACCTCTGCGCTGTCTCCAGTGTATCTTTTAAGGAAGGCTATGTTCTGCAAAGTAAGAGTCAACCAATGATATACTCATCCTTTTTAATGCTACATGTGTTGTGTATTCTGTCTGTGTGTTCTTGCTACGTACCGCTGCATGCTGTTTGAGATCCTTGAACTGTATGTCTCCTGACAATGTGAACTCAGTGGGTGATTCTTTCTCCAGGATGAAACTGTCACACACTATGACTCTGCAGTATTTTTCTGGCGTGCAGTACTGTAACACAGCAAAAGTTCTTTTTATTTAGGGATCATTTCACAACATGTTCAGAATATTTTGATACTAGATATGTTTAACTTACTTCAGAATTCATGTCATTTGTGGCTGTGCATTCAGTTTTGTTCTAAAAGAAAGTAATTTGTAAGCATTAAGGATTTGTAATTCTGTACACAGCAGCAGTATAGATAAGAATATGTCGTTTTCTCTGACAGTGGCGAAGTTACCTGCTGGACATAGACTTGATAGTTCATCATTTCAAAGTTATGCTCCAGTTTAGTTGGGAAGAACAGGGACACATTGATTGGAAAAGCCTTGAAACCAAGATTATCTATCTGTGGATAGGGAGAGAGAGTTTTAAAAGAATATTTTGACACTTTGGGAAATATTCACTTCCTTGCTGAGGGTTAGGTGACAGGATTGGCTTCCAGTCTGGTTGGTTAATATGAGGCTACAGCCAGCAGCCGGTTAGCTTTGCTTAGCAACAGCTAGCTTCACAGGTACAGGACAGGTAGCAAAATCTGCCCACAAGCATCTATAAAGGTGCAGTGTGTGGGATTAAGGAGGATATATTGGCAGAAATTAAATATAATATAATTAGAATGTTTTCTTTCATGTATAGTCACCTGAAAATAAGAATTACTGTGTTTCTCATACCTTAGAATGGGCCGTTTACATTTACACAGGGAGCAGGTCCTTGTCTGTGGAGATTGCCATGTTGCACTGCCATGTTTCCCCAGTAGCCCAGAGTGGACAAACCATACACTGGCTCTAGATAGGGCCATTCATGTTTTCGCATTGGCCACCATAGTTAGAAGCCCCTCGGAAAAATGCGGACTTTTTTTAACAAATATTTTTTTGTTTTTGAGAGGAGACATGGTGCTCATGGTAAAAAACACCTGAATGTCTAGATTGGAAATAAGGTGAGCACACATTAAGTATCAGAGAATAAAAGGTGAGCACATATTACCAGGTGTTGGGCTAGCGTGCCATCTGCGACTGGCTGAGCAGTGTTAGACAAACACTGATTTATAACGTAAAACTGCTTTATTCAATGTTTTTGCTGGTTTTAATCAGCTGGTGCATTTGTTTAGGAGAGGAAGTGACCTCTGAGGATAATTCAGCTTCTGTTAAAAACCTGCTTAACAATGAACATCGAAGGAATTCTAATCGAGAGAATTTCAGCTGGTTACAATCTGCAATCCTCAAAGCTGAACGCCCCCAAATTCCCCTAAATTTTACACACTTGATTTTTAAGAATTATCTTTTTCCTCCTCCTTCATAATCTTTTTCCTGACATCTTGCCTTTTCTCTTTCTCTTCTCACAACTGTTTTTGTTTAAGTGTCATCTGACCATCTCTGTTCCTGCCCCCTTGTCCTGTCCTACAACTACTTTTGGAATCATGTTTGTCTTCACCTGAGAAACTATAGCCTAATATTCACTCTCCTTGTTGCTCTGTTTGGGTCTTTACCAACCCCAGGGTAAACTAGAAATGAGCATTCAGTAGAGTGCAGATCTCTGCCAGGTGGCCACCCATGCAGACTGAAACCACTCTGGACCAATGGTTCCCAACTGGTCCAGCCACAGGTTTCAGATTTCTCCTTAGTCACTGGTTCAAGGTCCCACAGATTAATACATTAAACAGCGCCATACTCACATTTGGCCATGTTGCAACCCACTTTTGGACTGGACTCTCTCATAATAACATCATATCTATAGTTCAAATACAGTGCCTGCAGCAGAACTTGATCTGCTCTGTGCAATACTTCGCAGCTCTGTCAGAAATGACAAGGTGCAAACGTGATGCAGTGCGTCTGCTGGAAGGCTGCTAGAGTGGCCAAGATCAGTTCGTGTGGAAGAGATCTGCACTCTATTGAGTGCATATTTCTAGTTCACCCTAGGGTTGCTGAAGACCAAAACAGAGCAAAAAGGAGAGTGAATATTGGACTAAAATTTGTCAGGTGAACTCAAACACGATTACAAATGATTGGTAATGCTGCTGCTGAGTGTGTAAGTAGTCAACTGTTTGCTACAGTAATAAGTTCACTGTAATGTCTTTTGAGGTAACAATATATGTTTATTTTTCTAAGAACCCAAATTTCAGTGTTCAGTGTTATCGCAGTTATCGGTGCAGACGTAAGTGTACATTTCTTGGTCTCATTAAATTAAAAACAGTGCCATTTGCTATACACATTGCATATACCCTTGAAAAAGGGAAATCTATTATGTTAATTTTTTTGTTTTTTATTTTTTTGTTGTAAAATAGTCAATAGCATCTGTAACAGAATTATATGCTTATTCCAAATAAACTATAAACAATTAAAATGGTTAAATTAGTAATTTCTAATTTTCTTTGGTATTTTTTTCTTTGGTCATTTTTGTGAAATACAGATATGTATTCATGATTGCTGGGTAATACGTATGTTAATGTTATCCAATGTCAAGTCTCTGATCATGTAAGGATATATGTGCACGATAGCATACATTACTGGCCCGTCATATTTGTGTGCACTGGTGCACTGGGGCCCATCCTAACTTCCTTACACCACTGGAAGACACCCATTATGTCAGTGTTGTGTTGGGTGATAGCTGAGATGCCCCAAGTAACCAGACAATCAGTGAATGCAGGTCTAAAACTGCAGCTTGATCAGTACTGAATGATAGAAGAGTTAACATTTGCTGTGGGACTGGATGATTGCATGTTTCATAGCAATTTACTGCCTCACCTTATATATAGCAACCAATTTCTTAGGTCCAGCATCCTCAGCTGTGAAGTTTATGTAGGTGATAGGGTCGTCTTTCCTAAACAAAAAAGAAAAAAAGAATTCACAATGATCACAATATGAAGGTAGCTGTGAGATAACCTAGCTACTGGCTGGATTCTATACATACATATGTAACTATTTAAGTGAATAGTACCACTTACACTGTTACTGCCATTTTAATTTGATACTGTACAGGGATGCTTTTTGCCATGGAAGAGATCCTGGTGGAGTTTGCATTATCACTGAGGATGAAAAAAAAGCATTTCTTGTGAGTATCAAACATGAAATATGCTATGGTAGTAAATGATATTTTAATAATACAGACAAAATGTTAAGCTTTGTTCTGTTTGTTGGATTGTTTAAGAAGGTATCTACCTTTTCCCAGTAACAGTCATTGAAATTGTGTCATTCCACTCATAATTGTTCAAGACGCGGAAGGAAGTTCGAAATGTTGCCTTCAAACAAAAAAACAGACAGTGATGTTAGGTATGAGTCAGAGTGAAAGACCAACGATTTGCATTGGAGAAGTTGCCATGGTTGTAAATGTCAAAAGTTCAGGCAGTTGGTTGCAGTTCTTGATTTCTGAAACTTCACTTCTGTCTGATATGAGAGTGTCAGGGTGCAGAATGACTCACAGATGTTCTGCTGCGAAACACAGGACGGCTCACATCACATATACTTCTGTCATGTATTTCTTGTAGATCTCTGCAGCTATGGACTGTTGGTCTTGTTGCCTGTTTTAAGAGAAAAAAAAAGAATGTGTTAAGTGAGATCCTCTGGAACACTCAAAGAAATTTTATGAACAGACTATGAGAATTTATGCAGTTACAGTTCATAAAATGTACCTAATTTATTTTAATAAAGATTATGCAATTGTTTTTAATCAATTCTATGTATTTCAAATATGTTAAATTTTCTTACACTGAACAAAAATATAAACGCAACACTTTTGTTTCTGCTCCCATTTTTCATGAGCTGAACTCAAAGATCTAAAACATTTTCTATACACACAAAAGACCATTTCCCTCAAATATTGTTCACAAATCTGTGTTAGTGAGCACTTCTCCTTTGCCAAGATAATCCATCCCACCTCACAGGTGTGGCATATCAAGATGCTGATTAGACAGCATGATTATTGCACAGGTGTGCCTTAGGCTGGCTGCAATAAAAGGCCACTCTGGAATGTGCAGTTTTGCTTTATTGGGGGGGTCTGGGGGGGGTCAGAAAACCAGTCAGTATCTGGTGTGACCACCATTTGTCTCACGCAGTGCAACACATCTCCTTCGCATAGAGTTGATCAGGTTGTTGATTGTGGCCTGTGGAATGTTGGTCCACTCCTCTTCAATGGCTGTGCGAAGTTGCTGGATATTGGCAGGAACTTGAACACGCTGTCGTATACGCCGATCCAGAGCATCCCAAACATGCTCAATGGGTGACATGTCCGGTGAGTATGCTGGCCATGCAAGAACTGGGATGTTTTCAGCTTCCAGGAATTGTGTACAGATCCTTGCAACATGGGGCCATGCATTATCACGCTGTCTGCCATCTGCCCTGAACAGTGAAAACCAGGATTCATCCATGAAGAGAACACCTCTCCGACAAACTGCAGTCAGGTCGAGACCCCGATGAGGATGACGAGCATTTCAGATTGGCCTTTTATTGTGGCCAGCCTAAGGCACACCTGGGCAACAATCATGCTGTCTAATCAGCATCTTGATATGTCACACCTGTGAGGTGAGATGGATTATCTCGGCAAAGGAGAAGTGCTCACTAACACAGATTTAGACAGATTTGTGAACAATATTTGAGGGAAATGGTCTTTTGTGTGTATAGAAAATGTTTTAGATCTTTGAGTTCAGCTCATGAAAAATGGGAGCAGAAACAAAAGTGTTGCGTTTATATTTTTGTTCAGTGTAAATTAAGTTTATGTAATAACTTTTACTTAATTCTATGTTGCCTAAGTATGTTGAATTACTTTTATGTAATTACTGTTAAGTTTTTTTGTATTTTAAATATGCAAAATTCACTTTAAAGTTTACATAAGTACTGTTACTAAATTCTATGTAGTTAAAAAATGTTAAATTTACTATATAAAGGTTACGTATTCATGTTTAATAAATTCTGTGTATTTGAAATATGTTAATCAATATATTGGGTACACGTGGAATTTATGAACAGTAATTACATAAACTTTATTAAAGTAAATTCTGTGCGCTATAGTTTCTCATAGTCTGTTCACCTCAGTGTTATTTGATTTACTTATAAAAATTGTAGTTTTTTTAGTTTATTTAAGAATTACTTGACTCAGTTGGATGGAAATTTTATGAATGCAACTGAAAAACGTAAACCTGAAAGTTTTTAGCTTAAATTAACTGCTGTGACATTTGTGTTAACAGGACTGTAGATGAAAAAACAAAAAAAAAGAAGAAAAAAATTCAAACTTACAGGTAAGTCTAAAGATTTCAAACAGCATTAGTGTCATGTTGTGATTTGAAACACTCTGATGCTTCTGACAACCCACACTTCCTGCATGGGTTACAAATCACCCTCTTCCTCTGTGACACAAGAAGTGTGAAAGAAAGCTTTGCAAAAGTAATGCACTTGGCATCTGTGAAGATTCATTTAATGAATGTCCTTTTTTTTCTTTTTTCCCCTAATAATAATAATACTAATACTAATAATAATAATAATAATAATAAATTTTATTTGGAGGTGCCTTTAAAGTCACCCAAGGTCATCTTACATAGCATAGAAGATAAAAGATCAATAAGACATCATTAAAACCCTGTTACAATTTATTTGTTAGATAATGCATAATAACTATCATGACTCCTAATAAACTGCACAAAAAGTGTGACATATATTAATAATCTTATCTGTTGACATGCAGCTTGTATAGAAGAGGTGCAAAGAGCTGATAGTTAGTTGACATGTCAGGGAGTTTTTTTGACAAGCAGTTCAACAGAGACTGAATAATCAGGCTTCCTCTTTAGCTATTCTCTGATGGAATGGTTGTAAACATTGATGACTGGATGAAACACAGATAAGGTCATCATGTATAGTTTAAGTTACAGGAACTGGGGTTATACTGGGGTTGTTTTCATTACCAGTCATTATGCAAAATTAGAGACAATGACTCAAACCCAAAATTGTATGTAGCAGTTGCAGTCAGCGGTCACTTTTTTAGATACGCCTGTATAGTACAGGGTAGGACCCCTTTGCAGTTACTGCAGATTTTTCAGCAGTGCTATTATTCTGTGAATTTCTCATTTCACCTCATCCCAAAGGTGCTCTTTATGGACAGAGATCTGGTGACTGTGTTGCAGTTCACTCATTGTGATACTCATGGAACTAGCTTGAGATGACGTGTATCTTGTAGCATGACGCGTTATCCAGCTAAAAGTAGTTATTAAAATGGGTAGGCTGTTGCCATGTGGCCAACAATACTCCAGAAAGTTTACATTCACTGTGTTTGTTTTCCTGTGATAAGTAATGCACCAAAATTCATAGTTATCCCATTCAATCATAAGTCAGTAATTTGTGTATAACCCACTTATTTTGGAAGGCTGCAATCACGTGACCAATGCGCTGATGGGAGTAAATAAGGAAGTGGTTTCATAAGAAGGCAGGTTGAGGTGGTGGATGGGCCACAAAACACAGGACTTTGACTCGTGTTTGGAACTGCTGGCTCTTTGAGTCATTTTAAAGTACATCATCACCATGTTTCTTTTCCTAAACCAAACCACAATAAGATAACTTGAAGTACATAACTTTATATTGTTTACGTGACATGATTCGGTCGGTGCTAATTCGTAGGATAACCTACAAACCATTGTGTGAGTATAATGTTGCATTCCTATAACATTGTCAGAATCAGGAGAGACAGTTTTAAGAATTCCTCTTCCTTGTCAAAACCTGGCACCTATGTTACCCACAATGCAACTCCAAGACCAACAAACTGATTGGAGATTCTGGCAGCTGTAGCTGCTAATAGCTAGTAGCAACTAATGTAGCCTGTGAGCTTAATAAGCTTGTTTCTTTCAAACTCCACAGCCTTGGACTAAAAAAATTTAATTATTTAGCCCCAAACAATGCTCATTTACATGACATCACTTGAGCAACCACTGAGCAGGACATGATATATAAGTTTAACTTTAAGTCACCTTCTTAAGAGCCATCATAGAGAAGGAGAGGCCTGGAGGATAGTGCATTGTTAGGCTGGTGTAGTATGAGTCATCACCGTGATTGGACAGTGTTACAGAAATGTTGAAGTAGTTATTTTCCACCACCAATAATGTTGGGCTCCTAAGAAAAAAAGAGCAGTTCTTAGATTTGGTCATATGATGTTAATATTACAGTTGCTGTGCTGTGTTTGTCATATATACGTACGTGAAGTTGAAATCCACCTCAAGTTCGGCAATACAGGTGTCATTTTTTCTACAATGCTTTTCAAATGGAACCTGTATATAAAATACAGAACAAGACACAAAAAACAAAATTTAAACAGGTTTAAAACAGTTACCAGTTTAAACAACCTTTCTAGGTTCTGTGAACAGACATGTTCAAATAGAACAGTGCTTTCCATCAGCATTATTTGTCTCAGATGATGATGATGATGATTCTGATAATGATGATGATATGACTGAAACATAACAGGAATGACCCGAAAAGCTGATCTACATTTACCATCTACCAGCCCTAGTAATATGCTGGTTTACAGCCATGCCAATAACATAGCTCTATAATTGGCAATGTTAGTAGGTAGGTACACTTCTTTCTGCTCCACCACTTTGGTCCCAACTGAAATATCTCAACAATTATGTCAATTATCAACAATTATTTTAAATGTCTTGATATGAAATTTTGCACAGATGTGTAAGGTAATCAGAGAAATAATTTGAATGACTTCTGACTATTCATCCAATTTCACCAGCAGGTTGATAGACCACCAAGATGCATTGTGATCCAATCACTCAAACCACTTGCCAAGGTGGTCTGGGACACATTTAACAACATATCTTTTGGAGTGCAAACACTGATTCATTCCTAACAAGTACCACGTCATCAGTGCAGGAGGTCGTAGTGGCTTAGTGACAATGTACTAAAGCGACTAACTGTTGCATGACTGTCCATCCTTTTGCCCTCCAGAAGGACACATGTTGGATTGTACTGGCAGTGACTGTAACGAAATCTGAACCCAAGTGGTAAGCTGGAGACACTTGATAGACACAGGTGTGAAAAGCAATATGTCTTGGCTGTCCATTTCACTGAAACACATGTATAAACAGGCTTTTGCATACCCTGCAGAACATTTAGACACAAAATACAAAGGGACCCATTAAATTGTTTATGTCATGTTTGAAAAGGTCTACAGGGTGCACTAAGGATGATATTTTTCTGTAAGGCGACCCAGAGGTTAGTGCTCTCCTGGTTCCCTTGTGAAAAAGCCTATGGGATTTTTTCATTAGACTGTGGATTATTGCAGAGAATAAGCTCTGTGGCAAACAAACGTTTATGATGCTTACACATTTTGTTCAGCAAGATAATCTTCACAAATGAACCACTTTTATGATTTTTGAAGCCTAAATGCAATCACCAGAGGTTAAAAGGCTGTCATTAGGCTATAAACAAACTACACTATGGTCCCATGATTTAACATTCCTAGCACAATGAGGCTGTAAACAAGTGTTTGGCATGATGACGTTCTGTAGTCTCATTTAGCCACTTGTTAGCAACCACCTCTTTAAGACACATAAAAGCTTAGAAAATCACTGGTTTGGTATTTTCTGATGCATTTTATGTCAGAGAACAAAATGTGAATGTCTTTTAAGCTTGTGTTTACCACAGGCCTTTTTTTAGTTGTCTAACCAAAAACTTATTCAAAAACCTATTGACTACCAGCAGTGCAGAAATGGTAACTCATTTGCAGGTACTAGAACAAGTTCCTGGGGCACTCTGTACCTGCTAAACATCAGGCTGGCTATAAACTCAAGTGACTAGAATTGTCTTTGAAGCCAAAAGCCTGATATACAGGAGCTTATTCATACTGTTTATATTTGTGACTGGTCTTTGAAGATTTGTATTTTCAGTTTCAGTTTCCTTGACAAAACAATAGTAAAGCTTTACATTTTAAGTTTCTGGCTAGCCTGGTAAAAAGTGACTGTTTTGACTGCTTCAGGTTTAGTAACAAATATGTTCTCAAGGCAGTATTTGCTATCTGAGTCAAAGGTCAATCCCCGATTGGAAAAGAGTGCCAAAAGGCAAATTAACAAAAAGCTGTTATCACACATTTAAGTCAGAATACCATTTTACATCTTGCTGTGTGCCTTGTAATATGCAGAACACTGGTTCTTTTCTTTATGTAAACACAAATGTCTTAGTAATTGAGTAAGGATGCAATTCATGTGACTGCTGTAGCCTTGTGCTGTAATCACTGTACATACCTCAACAGCAGCCTGCCTTTTGCTGTCCATATTCAAGATGGCACTTGCACTCTCACTGTCAACTTGGGAAAAGTTTAATTTGATGCTGATGGGTGATAATGTGTCTTTTACACATTTCTGCAAAGAAGAAGAAGAAGAAGAATGAGAGTTATCTGCTTATTGTTGAAGTGCAGACAAAAAACTTTTAGAAAGTTTAGTTTTAGTATTAATCTAAAGGGCTGAAAAATGAACAATGTATTTGCATAATTATTAGTATCACTGTTTTAGGGTTTTTCTGGCGATGAACGTGAATAAGTTTGGATTATAGTTTTACAAGCCAAGTTTCTGACAATGGAACAGAAAAGGTGTTGCTACATAGGCAAGTGGGTTGATGAAGATTCAAGCTTTTACATTTTTATATCATAACAAGCATAGAAGATCTAATGGAAATCATCAGCACTTTTTCATTTTTGATGCCAAGTCTTGGCTTGAAAAATGCCCAAAGTTAAAGTAAAGTAAAAGACACAGCTGAACACAATTGGGAGAAATCTGTTCAATGTAGAACCCTACGGGCACAACTCTAAATACACTTGGCATGCTCAGTGAAGGAAGCAAATCTGCTACATTATACAACAACGAGACATGCCTCAAGGCTCAACTCTTGGTCCACTTATTTTTGGTTTTTATTAATGACTTCCCCTCAGTTTTTCTCTGAATGTTGTGTTCAACTTTATGTAGATGACACAATAATATACATCTAAAACTAATTTATTACAGATTGAATGAACTTTGCAGTCTGATGTTAGTACCCTACAACACTGGCTTGCCGCTAATAAATTACTTAGCAATAAAACTAAATCTGACACTATGATTTATTTTACTTGTAAAAGCATTTTAATTTAAATCTTAAGCTAGTTCATGTGTTATTACCTGTCTTGATGGTACATCACTGCAAAGAGCTGAACACACCAAATACCTGGAACTATGGCTTGGTTCTGATCTTTCATTCAAATGTCATATTAATTATATTGTAAAGAAAATTACCCTTGGTATTGGTATTCTTTATTGGTCCAGAAATTGCTTTTCATTGACTTCACTGTTTGAAAAAAGCTTGTATTACAACCCCTTTTTTCCAATACTGGTATTTTTTTTAAATTATGCTGATGTTATATATCAGGCTGCATCGAAAGCCAACCTTCTATCTCTAAGTATAGTTTATAATACACTATGTAGCTTTGTTCTTGCCTCTCCTTTACATGAGCTAAGAAGGCCTTTATGTTTAAAGCTCCTTCTGTTTAGAATAATCTACCTTTAAATAATAGATCCATATCATCTTTCCATTTGTTCAAAAATGCTGTCTTCCTATCATAGGATCAAGTGTACATGTTCATAATAACACATCTATAATTTTGTTTAATTATGTTATATAACTATATTATTTGATGCTATCACTGACACAAACACCTTTCCATCTGTGATTGAATGATCCATTTTATACTCTGTTTGGAATATGATCTCCTCATTTTGTGCATCTATTTACTGTTTTGTTTTTTGTTGCTTGTTTTGTCTTCTCTTATCATCATTGTGGTCTGTTTGTTTGTTTTTGTCATACTTGGTATTGTTTAATTATCACGTTACTTTTATTTCTGTTAAATGTTTTGTCTAATTGTGCTTATATTGTAATATTTCTATTTAGGTCCCCTTGAAAACAAGATGGTACATCTCAAGGGGTTATTCTTTATTAAAAAAAATCATAAAACTTTATTTGACTTAAAGTATGCTATGGAGGTTAATGGAAAGCGCTAAATACTAAGTAGCTGAGATATCAAAACATGGATGATATTTATAGATGTTCAGATAGGTGATAACTGTTCATAGTCAAAGAGCATATGGGGGTGAATATTAAATTCATACTGGCATGTAGATGGAGTAGTTGAAGCAGGTATCTTCTCTCAGCTCCTGCGTGGAGGTAAGGTTCCTAGTCTTCTTGTCGGATGGACTGAAGAAACCTCGAGGTGTTTGTCTCATTGGATCCACATTGAGTGTCCATGAGATGTTTAGTCCAGAGCTCATTTCTGCTGAAAAGGAATACAGCAAGAGTAAAGTAACACACTTATTGAGTAAGCAGTATCAGCAGCTGTTAATGAATCACATTATTGGGTCAGGTCCATACCTGTATTGCTTTTTGTTGTTTCTACCATTTCAAAGCAGGCTGTTAAGGTTACCATTGGTAAATGTTCATCTTTGTTGTCCAGGCAGTCAATTTTGTCAGTGCTTATCTCCTCAGGTGTAAAAGAAAGTTGTACCATGACATTAAAGACGGGCCTGGACCTGAATGACATTTATCAAAAAAAGGAATAAAAGGATTAGCCTTTGAAAATGATATTTTCTATCAACCTTATTCCTGAAGGTGCTACTCTAGAAATGATTATAGGTAGAACTTCCAGCGAGATAGTGGAAGTAGTTAGTCCCATTGACTGTCTACGGTTAGTCTGAGTAGCTAATCATGGTGGCCAACTGCCAACTGTGATTCTTTTTTAAATTAATTCACCTTCAGTTTAGCAAATATTGCTTTCGTTTTTTTAACAGATACTTAATATCATTAAATTAGCATTTTCTAAAATGTCCCTGTGGATCTCTGAGACCTGTTGAGCTGGTCGTGCCCATAATGTTATTAACCACCAGACTGAGCTAAATTTGTTGATTGAACAACAGTGTGTTGAACATGCAGGCAGAAAAAAAAGTTTGTTCTTGTATCTGACGATCCAGTTTCCATCACCTACCTACAGAGAGGAAGAAGTTTCAACCGGTACCATACAGTGTAAAAATGCACTAACCCTTACTGAATCAATATAGGACAGGATTTTTCCCATATTTGCATGCATCCTCTATTCTAAGGCATACACTTTGTTTTCACATCCTTGGACATAAGGAATATTAACACCGAAAGAATTAAGAGAGCAGAAAAAGCATTAAAAATCAGAATTTGCGGAAGAGAATGACAGCTACAATGGCAGGTCTGTCACTCAACATCAGTAGATAATATCTGTCTCTCCCTGTCTGAATGCATTCTCAACATACATTAGAAAATTGTATGTTATAAGATTAACTCAATAGCATAGCAATACCTTGAATTAGGTGTTCATCTAGGCTGTGAATGTCTGATTTACCATACTTGGTTCATCATCATATAAAAATAATGCCTAAAGTTATATATATTACTACTTTATATTACTAATATTACTAAGATATGCCGCTAAATTCAGCATTATGTTTTACTAAGTAGAATTCCAGTTTAATAAATCAGCAGTTATGAAAACTGATAACTGTGCTGTTAAGGCAGACAAGTGAAGCATTAGCTGGTAAACATCACATTTAATTCACTTTACATGGAGCTAAAATTAATACTGAATTATGGCAAATCTTCACCAAATGTGTTAGTGTCTGTTTAAGACTTGTAAGAAATCATAAATCCTTTTTTAGAAGGTGCAGATGTTTATCATAAGCTAGCTTGGGCTCTGTCAAATTTAACAATATGTTAACGTAGCAAGGCAAGCTAATTACCCGAGCGCTTGATTAAAAAGGAAAACTATTAATACTTTGTGATTGCTGGCAGAGATGATAGAGATAATATCATGTTATCCCATCTGAGGTGTAACAGTTGGTGTGTTTCATATTTTATTTCCCAATAGCTCTAGGAAAGAGGATTAGCATACCATTAGCATACCATTACCACTGGGAAACACCTGACTCCCGCCCATAATTCACACAGGGTATCATGGGGGCTTGGAATAAGGTGGATACTTGTATTCTAATGCATAAAGGATGGGCAAACAAGACACCAGTCCATGCCTTTGAATTGTGACTTTGGACTCATCCATTGAATCATTTTATATAGGCAGTGGGTCACTTCATTTAGACACTCATCATGAACCATACACAGTACATGATGATTGATCAGCTTTGTAGATTGTCGCATAGCACTTGATTGATTCTCCGACAATGTGTTTCTTCTGTGTCTGATGCCAGAAGTTAGTGCCCAAGTGCTGGATTTTGATGACTTCGGAGTAAGACCGAATTGGACCAATGCACTGACAGGCCTAAACAAGGAAGCAGTCCTGAGCGGTCTTGTAAGGAGGCAGGTTTGGGTGGTGGATGGATCACAAAAACCCAGACTTTCCTCTAGGACTTGGAGACATCTGTTCGGAATCGTGTGAACTTCTGATTGAACTGATTCATTTTAAGGGACATCCTCACCATGTTTCTTTTCCCATACCTAACCTCTATAACTTTATGTTAATTACATAACTGAACATTAAGGATGTAACATCATTCATTGGGTGCTAATTCATAGGATATGGTAAATGGACTGCATTGGTATAATGCCTTTCTACTCTTCCGACCACTCAAAGCGCTTTTATACTACATGTAACATTAACCCATTCACACACACACACACACACACACACACACACACACACACACACACACACACAGAGTGTGTGGTGCAACCTGCTCCTCAGTAACCACTCCACTCACACCACACACACACAGAGTGTGTGGTGCAACCTGCTCCTCAGTAACCACTCCACTCACACCACACACCAATGGAACAGCCAGCAGGAGTAATGTGGGGTTCAGTATCTTGCCCAAGAATACTTCGACATGTAGACTGGAGGAGCTGGGGATTGAACCGCCGATCTTCCCTATAGTGGACAACTTATCCAGTATCCATACCTTAAGACAACAGCATTGCCCTGTGATCCAACCACAATATCTGGGAGTCCGTCTTCTCCAAGGTCAATGTCCCCATCAATTGACTGTCCAAAGAATCTCAGTCCAGGATATATTTTCTGTCCCATGATTCTCTGGAATAACAAGAGATTGAACAACTAAAAGTCAGATGCTAAGTGTTTAGTTATTTTGATAGATGCCCAGGATGAGACAGATACAGTTTTTAAAAGTAAATACCAAAATCATTGATAAATCCTGATGATAATCTTATCCCCTACAAAAGTAATGTCATTCCAAGGATGGCTTTTTAGTTTTATTCAAAAATCAGTCTTAGTCTGATGTATTGGCAAAGAAACACATTTGCCTAACCCTGATGATGTTGAATAAACAAGGGAGAGACTGACTGATGTGGAAATATATTTTTTCACCCTCTGCCAGCATAGTGAACCTCTGATCTGTTGCTGTTTCATGTGCCAACTACCTTTTTTCCCCAAAAATTCAACTAAACAAAATCAAAAATATAATGTGCCAGGTTTTCTCTGTCTCACCTGGCTGAACGTATCGCGTATCCCTCTTTGTCTGTCACCAAGGTAGATGTACACAGCCCCACTGTTATTGTCCTCAAGGGGGGCTCCAACAGCAACGTCTCTGAGTCCATCTCCATTTAGATCTGCAAGACTGGATATGGTTGTGCCAAATCTCCCCAAGAATGATGCAGTCACATTCCATTCACTGTTCAGTTGCATCTGTGGGACATGAGAACATATGTCTGTTAATTAAGAGAATAAATGTTTTGTTTAGCTCCTAGTAACATCACAAAAGCTTAAACACTTCATTAAATCTGAGCCTTTATCCCAGCCCACCTCATTAGTCAGTGTGTAGATGACGATTTGGCCTTCTTTCTTCTCTTGAGGCTGGTAAAACAGTGGAGCTCCCACCAGCAGGAAATCAGTGTCACCGTCTGAGTTGACATCAACTGAGCACAGCTCTGCACCAAAGTAGGAACCAATCTGGAGAGTAGAGTTTATATCATCTGAGTTAGAGAAGAACAACCCTTAATCATTTGTGAAAAACCTACATGTATAGAAGTAAAGTTAGGATTAACATTGCTATGCTTTGAACAACTCTTTCAGTTTCTCACAATAAAACTAGGTGCCAGTCTAAAGGAAGTGCTCTGGTTTCCTTTCTGCAACTGCAGAAAAAATGACGTGCCCTTGCATGTTCTTCAAAAGGTGCAACATGCAGTGTTTTGCATCTCTAATGCATTTTATACTGAACAGAAATTCAAATTCAACACTTGTTTTTGCTTCCATTTTTCACAAGTTTAAGTTAAAGATGTAAGAGTTTTATGTGCACAAAAGACTTAATTGTTCAAATTTGTTAAAATCAGTGTTAGAGAGCCCTCCTCTTTTTCCAGGATAATCCATCTACCTGTCAGGTGTGGCACATCAAGATGCTGATTAAATATCATGATTATTACACAGGTGTGTCACTCTACAATGTGCAGTTTGGTCACTCAACACAATTATACAGATTGGTATGTTTTGAAGGAGTGTGCTATTGGCATGATGACTGCAGGAATGTTCACCAGAGCTGGTATGTGAACTGAATGTTCATTTCACTACCATAGGCTGTCTCCAATGTTGTTTCTGTGAATTTGACAGTACATCCAACCAGCCACACAACCGCAGACCACATATAACCACACCAGCTCAGGACCTCCACATCCAGGGTCTTCACCTGACACTGAGACCAGCCACCTGAACAGCTGATGCAACAAATGGTTTGCTCAACCGAAGAATTTCTGCACAAACCTTCAGAGACCATCTCAGGGAAGCTCAACTGCATGCTCATCATCCTCAGCAGGATCTTTATTTGACTGCAGTTCGTCATTGTAACCAGCTTGAGTGGGTAAATGCTCATGGTCAATGGTGTCTGGTCCTTTGCAGAAGTGTTCTCTTCACAAATAAACCTCAGTTTACACAGTACCAGGCAGATGGCAGACGGAGAGTATGGCATTGTGCGGGCAAACAGTTTACTAACTCTAATACTAATGCCGCCACAGCCTTATGTTGAAGCATGATAATGCATGGCCCCATGTTGCAAGGATTTCTACACAATTCCTGGAAGCTGAAAACACCCCAGTTCTTGCATGGCCAGCATTTTCAACAGACATGTCACCCACTGAGCATGTTTGGGATGCTCTGTAACAGCATGTACAACAGTGTGCTCCAATTCCTGCCACTAGCCAGCAACTTGACACAGCCACTAAAAAGGAGTGGGCCAACATTCCACAGGACACACTCAACAACCTAATCAACTCTATATGGAGGAGATGTGTCACACTGTTTGAGGCAAATGGTGTCACACCAGATACTGACTGATTCTTTGGGGTATCTGGAACCCAAATCTGTATTTTTGTAGCACTTAGTTATGTGATATCCAAATAAATGTCTTTTTTCAAGGTGAAGATGCACATTTTGGAGTGTCTTTTTATTGTGACCATCCCAAGGCACACCTGTGTAGTAATGATGCTGTTTAATCAGCATCTTGGTATGCCACACCTGTCAGGTGGATGGATTATCTTGGAAAATAAGTGCTCACTAACACGGATTTTAGCAAAGTTGTGACCAAAATTTGAGAGAAATGTAATTATTGAATGCATAGAAAAAAAGTCTTAGATATTTACCTCAAACCTTTGAAAATGGGAACCAAAAAAGTGTTGCATTTAAATTGTTGTTTCATGTACAAAACAGATCTGCAAAAACACAATCAGGGCCCAGCAGCCTGGTCCAAGAAACATTCATTTGGTTTTCTGAACAACTTTGCAAGGTTAAAGCTTAAGTCTTCTAACAGCGGATATAATGTAAGTGTGAAGGGGTTTCTAGGTTACTGAGCAAGGTTATCTCAAAGGTAAAACATAAACCTGTCTGTTGGACAGGCTCCTGCTCTTTAGGTACAGGGTAGAGAAATGTCCTAAAAATAGACACTGGCTCTAATGCTGGAATAACAAACATGGTGAACATACCACCTTGAAAGCAAACAACAAACAAATTCTGTTTGGAATATGTATGATAAATCAGATGCTCCACTAACCTGTTTCCCTTCAATTTTTTGTGCTGCGTACCACTTCTTGTCATTTTGTCTGAAAAGAATGATCTGTCCTGTGTGGTTAAATCGTGGTGCACCCGTGAAATACAGAGCAGCGTTATTCTTCTTTCCAACAGATATAGAGTATCCTGCAACACACACACACACACACACACACACACACACACACACCATCTGATAAATGTTCATTCACGTCAAATACATTAAGATTTTACATTTTTTGTGTTAAAATGCAGGTTAGAAAGTGTTAATGTTAATCATGTTAATTCTTAAGAAACAGAAAGCTATTGTGTCCTTTTATGAAGGACTGTAGATATGCACTCACTTAGTTCATGATCTCATGTATTTGCTTCATTTACAGTACAAAGCCATTTTTAACACACATACAAATACTATCATATATTAAGATATACTTACAACATATACTACCACAATTACTGTTATTATTATTATAATATTATTACTAAAATTGTTGTTATTGTAGCTATCGTCATTACTGCTTGCCCTGGTTGTCTCTCAGTCTCTGTCTCTCTCGGTCTCAATTTCTGTCTCTGTCTCAGTTTCTTGCCCCATCTCTGTCTCTCTTTATGTGTCATTTTGTTATACGGATTACTGCAAATTTATCATGTTGATCTATTCTGTACGACATCTATTGCATGTTTTTCCATCCTGGAAGAGGGATCCCTCCTCAGTTGCTCTTCCTGAGGTTTTTTACCATTTTTTCTTCCCCCCGTTAAAGGTTTTCTGGGGGGTAGTGTCATTTGTTGTAAAGCCCCCTGAGGCAAATTGTGATATTGGGCTTTATAATAAAATTTAATTGAATCAACTTTAATTGAACCCATGTTTTTTTCCCCAAACATCACCTTAAATAAAGTAGAACATCAATATCTCAAGCCAAAAAAACATTTTTAGTAAAGAGGCAGATCATCTGAAAAGAAAGAAATATCCTGATGTTCAGTACCCATGTAGGAGTCCATCTCCATGAGTGGATCCTCAATTTGTGTTTTGTCTTCTCCATGAATGTCTTGAAGAGAACCACGCCAGCTGTTATATCCCACTGAACCCAGAATCAGTCTCTCCTGTTGAGAGAAATGTGCAGGTCAGAGCACAGAGAGGAGTGGAGCTACCGACAGTAGTTATGTTGAGAGGAGACAAATCAATAGTCAGATTGTGGCTGGTTGGTCCAGTGAGGCAGCAGAGAGGAAATCATGAACAGACATCCAAAAATAAAAGAGATTTCCTCTCCAACAAACAAGTCAGTCAAGTTGAAAACAACACCACACAGTTTTATAACCACTGGCATCTGCCAAATGGTGTATATGCCCAATTATAGTAGAAATTCACTGTCAGCCTGGTCAAACTCCCAGGAGCCAAAATACGCTGCTTAGCAAGTGTCCTCCGAATTTTTCTGTACTCAACAAGGCAGCCCACAGAACAGACAAAATGCTGTCGGCCCCTCGCAGCTCAAAAACCAAAACATTGTGTATGGTGAGTGATATATATCACCTGGAAGCTGGAAATCTGATGATTAATTTGAGATGCAGCTCAGCACTATTTGTCAACTTTTTTAAGTCATAAATCTGTAATAAACATTGCATGCACAAAAGTGCATAGTTTGTGCCCAAACTGTATGGAACTAACATAAAGTGGAAATGTGTGTAAAGGGGAGACTAGTGGGTACCGACAGGACACATTTTCATTCAGATATCATGAGGTGAGAGGTCAAGGGACCTCTGTGAAAATGGCCATGCTGTTTTTCCCTTGCAAAAAATTAATCTAACTTTGGAACATTATTTAGCCCCCTTCCTGAGAAGCTAGCATAACATGATGGTACCACTGGATTCCTTAGAGGCGACGGCGAAAATATTAGCAGAGGTTTAAAAAAACATTAACGCGTCATGGTAGGGTGTTAATTGCATCGTGATTAACATGTTAATGCTAACAGCCCTAATATATACATAGATGTATGTATGTATGTATGTACAGAAAGAGAAAACTTGCCCTGGCCACTGAGTGATGCTTCATTTTGGCTTGACAATTTCCAATATTGCAGCCAGGTCACAAATTTTCTCATTTTACACCTAAACATTACACTAAAATATGTTTTTAAAACATATAATGCAAGAAATAGGTAATGTAGTAACAGACTTGTGGTGTTTAATACAATTTTTCTCCTCTTTCTGTGTTGTCCAGCATTTTCTCAGGACACAAAATCTTTAACAGTTCGACTGCTAGGTACTGCTGAGGTGAATCATAACACTATAAACATAATAGACTGTAATAACAACAAGGGTGTGGTGCACCATGTAGCCTGACTTAATTCATATTTTATTAAACTATTGTTATACATTCTCTTTGCAAACATGGTCAGATACTTTAAAGAAACTGTTTACCTTCACTTATGTATGAATGGTTATCAAGCACCGTGATGGTTGACCATAGTTACGGGTATTGTTTCTTCAGATTTTTTCTCTTTGACTTTACTTACATTATAGAAGACAGCACTGAATCCACTCTGAGACATTTCATCAGTCATGTCTCCTGCCTGAGCCTCTTTGGTGCCTAAATGTAAAGACATAAGCAGTTTATGGTGCTGTTACTGGGGTACACCAGGAAGATCAAATCAATTTTTGCTACAGCATTATTGTACAAAAAGGGGAAAAACAAAAATCAACATCACCTTCCATACTAAAGATCTTTTTTTGAAAGTTTTCCAGAATTGTTGTGAGTCCATCATATTCCTCAATTTTGAATGCATATTTTTCTCTTGGTTTTGAAGCAATTTCTTCGAATTTGTCCAGCGTAGCACCTTTGACCTGAAACCAGAATGCTGCTTGAAATTCTGAAGTATGTTTGAGGCTGATGTCAGTAAGATAACGCAGTTTTGCACAATATTAAACATAAAACTGGAATCCGTACAAGTTGAGCTTTTTAACGATTGTTACATTATTACTTATCTATAAAATATTTGAAATGTTTCTTTGCTGCCAAAAACGTTAGTTTTTATTTTGTGTTGGGGCTTCTCCTCTGAGAAGTATTACTGTGTATCATCTGCATGGTGGTGAACAGAACAGTTCTAAGAACTGAGCCCTGAGGCATACCACTTGTGATTGTTTTCAGCTGAAGAAATATACCTATCAACAGAGATGTATCTATTGGACAAATAAGAAAGAGTATTGAGACATATCAAATCATAGCTTACCACAATGACAAACCGAATTATGTTTTTGTCATTATATTCTTTTAAAATCCCAAACACATCTCCATCGCTGGGATCTCCATCTGTGATCATAACCAGAACTTTGGTAGCATCAGGAGAAGCACCGGCATCTGGACTTTCCAAGATTTCTTTCCTGAAACAAATGTAAAGGCAACAGTTTTAATCCTTAGAATGATAAAGCTTCGCCTATAAATATGAAGACATTAACATTTTGTACTTCAACTAATAATATGCTCATAATCGTACAGTTGTAGTGTGCAAGTTCCTGTTATTAGGTGTGTTTTCAATAGGTTTTTTTAATGTTATTCAGTTGTTAGAGTTTAAGGACTGTTTGTGTAATGTAACTGAACTCACAGCACAAATGTGAGGGCTTTGTGTGTGTTGGTGAGACTCTTCATTTGGTGTTCGTCCTTCAATTTAGGGAGATGAGTATTGTTTTGATAGTCATTGAAGTCAAACACTTTTCTGTAGTCTGTGGAGAACTGAACTGCTGCAAACTGAAAACAGACACACAACATCATACAGTATTTAACATAATGTGTTTACAACTTAACAGCTAAATGCTATGAAGACTTTAATGTTGCAGTAGCACAGTGACCTTGATGGATGAGTTCTTAAGGTTGTTCATTATATCTTCTATGAAATCTTTGTTTTTGCTGAACTCATTTTCGGTCATACTCTTTGATCCATCAAACAGAAAAACAAGGTCCACTGTCTTTTTTGTGCATTCTGAAAAAATATACAGAGTTAAACTTAGAGAGTATAAATAAAGAATATTTAGTCAGGACAGACACAATAAGAATAATATTTTACTGCAGGAGAAACATGTTACAGCCGCAGAGTTTGAGATGTTTACTGTCTTTGTGTCTTTTACCTTGGAAAGCAGGTGTGAAATGAGAGATTTCCTGGAGATGATCTGTGATTTTGTAGCACACGCTGTTCACATAGGAGTTCTCATAACATTCATGGACTACACTTGGACTGCAAACCTAGATCAGACACATGAGGCATAAGAAATTGATTCATTGTTTTGTTTTGCTCTGTCACAGAGAATCTATAATTCTATCCAACTGAATGAGCTTTGTGATTTTCTTACAGTAAATTCAGAGCGTTTGAAGTCTTCAGCTACCGACAGGCCAAGGTGCTTGACTGGTATTTTTGTGTTTGTCCGAGAAATTTCTGCAACAATAACATTTGATTAGTGCTTCTAAAAAAGAAAAAGTTCTTCGTGTTTCTGCATTGTTGGAAACTGTACCTCTTCTGTTTTTATTTGTGTGGCTCATTGTATGATTTTGACTTTGAAAACCACATGTATATACCTTTGGGGTTGAAGCAGTTCATGGATTGGTTTCGTTCAAGTTTGCATATTCCCCCTGATCCGTTTTGCTGCAACGGTGCAGTAACAATTATCCTGTAGAAGGATAACCATTTTAGTGACAAAGGCTGACATGAACAGCATAGTTTTAACTGAAAGGAAAAAACATTTTTCTGTTATAGGCAATGTGTTAGTAAAACCTCTTTGTGATGGAACAGGAAGAATAGTCACAGGATGCAGTATCATTCAAAGTGATAACCACAAAGTGTTATCACCCTTCACAGAAGCTTCTTATAAAGCAAACCTGAGCTCTCTTTCAACTACACCAAAGGAAATTAAGCATGGCTGATAGAATGCAAGCAATTCAACTTTATGAGTCACTCAGAGTATTACAGCAACACTACATATCAACGGAAGTGGCAAATGCAAACTTACCCTTTGGTCGTGTCAGAATTGTATTGAAGCACTTTGTATCCAAAGAAATCTGTTTGTTCACCAGTATAGACATCAGGATTTGTCAGATCAATGTTGAAAGCCAGAGAAACAGTGATGGCTGCAATTTGTGAGAAAAAAAAGACATTTTGTGAGCCTTAATCATAAGAAGGTGGCAACTGCTTGAAATGATTACCAATAAAAAATCTGAATTTGAGAAATAATATTGCTGTTTTAGAAAATATGCGATATTTTAAAGATCGGTTAGTAATCTAGCCCTGCCAAGCATTTGTCACTACAGTTGTTCATGATAATTAGGAATACACTGATTTACTATTTATTGTTTAGGTCTACAAAACCCACTTGTCACATCTAAGAATACTTTGCAAGAAGTTCTTATCAGTAGAATACATTTCAAATATAGAAAAAGTATCTAATGCATTAGAGAATACCAAAGTACATCTGTTGAAAATGTTTTTTTATTAGTCCCATGTTTATGTTGTGAATACTTGCATATTTTTATTTATTTATTAACTCCTGCTTTTTGCATAGTAGTTTTGTACCATGCAAAAAGTGGCTGCAAGAAGATCGCCATTGTTCACATACTTGTCTGAGTACTTTGTGTGCTTTTGTGTACCTGGTGGCATGGTTTGACAAATTCTAGGTCCTATGCATACACAGTCTCTGTGGACCCTCTGCCCAAAGACTCTCTCATACACCTCTGGAATTTTATTTATTTATTTATTTTACAAAGTCAGTTTGTCTTCTTCCCCTGTCTGTTCTTTCTTTCCTTTTTTTGTACCCTGGTTTTCCTTTCTTGAAAGACATGATAGTGACAAATCCTAGTGCAAGGGTGGACTACACCATTTTCTGCCTTTAAGGGGTGAGAGGAGTCTCCACTACTTTTTTTTAAGTGCAGTCTTTTAAAATGATTTATTCGTCTAATTTCAATTTTTTTTCAGGCTCTAACTAAGTAGAAATTAAAAAAAAAAACGCCAATAAAAACAAATTTTTCATTCCAGGCTTTTTGGGTAATCAGTCCCATATTAATACAGTTTTTCCCAATTGCTAAAACACAAAAGCCAATTCTCTAAACCAAATGACCAGTTCTCTAAACACGTTTAATAAAACTAGCCCCCATTTGCCAAAACCATAAACACATTTCACATTAAGACACAATTCACAAAACACAATCCTCCTTTTCTCATAAATCTAAACACATTTTGTCTTGCTAAAACACAAGTTGCAAAAAAGTTTGCTCAAATTATCAAATTAAAGCTCATGTGATGCAAAATGCTTGCCACAGTCAGCAAAATTTGAACACAATGAACACACCTGGCTTCATTCATTAAACATAACAACTCAAAATTGAAGACACTTGTTGCAAATGATGTGACCACACCTATAAAAGCCAGTTCAGAGTGCACAGTTTGCCTGGCAAGGGACAATATTGCCTGCGATGCAGATGAGGTCCTGTGGCCCGACCCAGCTCGACGACGTGATGCCGCACAATGATTGTGGAGTGTGTGTGTGTTGTATAGTTCCATAAATAAATAAAAAACATCAAACCCTGAACATTGTTTTCAATGAGTATTGTTGTGTATAATGGATCCTCTGTCGTGTTTGCATTGAGTTGTGATGCAGTACAGTAGTGTAGCCTACATACTGTATTTTCTGTAGATTTACATACTGTTCATATGAAACACACAAATCTATGAATGCCCAATACTCTACAGTGATATATCCTGAGAACAGATACTGTAAGATTTCTAAAAATGTGCTTTGGCAGTTGTGAAAAAAAAGTGAACATTGTGTTTTCAGTTGTTTTGTTGTAGTCTGTAATGATGCGTATAGTGTTTAAATTTTTGCAGGCTTTGAGCAGCTGTTTTGGTGTGAAAGTTTGAGTTTTGACGAGAGAAGGTGTGGTTTTGTTTATGTAGCTTTAGAAAAGTGTGTTGTGTTTAGAGTTTTGGGAAAATGGAGGAAAGTTTTGTGAAATGTGTTTTAGCAATTGAGAAAAACTGTAAATCCTCAAGAATGGAAAGAAATTGATATATCCACTAGTGGACAGATGAGGTCCAAATCAAGCAGCAACCTCCAGGGCTGAAAAATGAAGCCACTTGCCCCTTGCCAAAAACTGTAGTTCTATGAATGACCACTTGAGGTTGGCTACAGAAGCCAGTCACTCTCCACAAACCCCCATGTTAAAATGCCCTACTTAACAGCAGAAATAAACATGGTTACAGCCTGGTACAAAAATGATTTTGGTCTCTTTAGCTCATTTCCCCTTACGTGACAACTGTACAGGGGGTGAATTTTATACTACTCACCTGTTTACATTTTATTAAAGCTTAAAGTTACACATAATTAAGGGCAGGCCACTTTAGGTGACAGGCTGTCTGGCAATACTGTCCTCAGCTTCTCGGACAGATCTCCCCCTTTCTCCTCTCAGTGCCAGCTCCAAAAAGCCAAGACGGCGATGGCTGTAATAGCCTACCGAATTTGAGGTTTCAAAACGGAAGTCCACAAACCAATGGGTGAGGTCACGGCAGTCTGTTAGTTTCACAGCCTATGGTCCAAATCAACCCCAGTCAACATCCGAATTAAATATATTCCTTAAGACTTTATACAACACATGTCTTTTAAAAAAAATGCTGCAATTAATTAAAACACAAGCAAACTGACAAATTCATTCACCACTCTGACAACACATTCACACACGGCCCACAACTGAGTTAAGACAAAATAAGTCTCTGTGGATACTGCAATCATCATTTAGTGTCCCCTGGAACTTCTATTGTTGTGTATGACCTGCAGTGATTCTGTTTTCTTATATTTTGTATTTTCTGTATTGATGTTTTTGCATGTGGAGAACATAAAATCCTTAAGTGGCCATGGGGGAGATAAAAACAAAGATAATTTATTTATTTATTTTTTTTTAAATGATGGAAAGAAAAAAAAATAGAAGGGTGGGAAAAAGGTAAATAATTTTGCATTCTCCAGAGAAACTTCTACGTTCCCTTGCGAAACTTCTGCATACTCCCAGAAAATATTTTGACCCACCCAAAGACAGATGAAGTATGACAGCAATAATTCTAAGAGAACAGATTTGTGGTGACGTGTATGACACCATCCAGGGATGGGCACTATTTCTATTACTTGTATTTAAAATATGTATTTCAATTACATTTGAGTATTTTGTAATTTGTATTTGATAAGGCCGATAAAAAGCAAATGTAATTTGTAACAAAATACTTTGAGTGGAGTAATTTTGTATTTAAAATACTCAAAATACTTTCTCCATGAATCAAAAAACAAAAATAATAGCCTACACATTCTTATAATATTGGATGTAACAATATTTTTTACTTTTTTTTAATATATTTTTATCTAGGCCTATATGTTTTTTTAAACTTGGGCCATTCAATGTGCCCTTCAGTGACCTAGTGGTCTGTTTTACTGGACTGTGCATAACATAGGAAATTGTATGTTGTTTGGTTGATGCTTGGGATGAGTATGCTACAAATGAATTGCCTCACGTGGGATCAATAAAGTTGTCTGAATCTAAATCTGAAACAATAAATGATATTTTAGGGTAGCCTATGTCCCTAGCTTTTTTCTCTCTTTTTCATTTGAAAAAAGTTGAACAAAGGGCTCCTAAGGCTCCAAGTTAAACAGCAAACAAAAAGAAAAGAACCAAAATAGCCTAACCCTAACCCTACTACCATCCCACTGACCAACGAAAGAGAGACATGTATAGGCTACTCACTTGTTGTTAAGTTAGCCTACCTGTTCACTTTTGTATTCATTAACCATTTATTTTTATTCATTTTTCTGTGCAGAGCTTGAAGTTTTTATTTATATGATTTTTATAGTACACATAGGCCTAATGCTATTCATATGTTATTATCACAGTGTCTGTGAATATTTTATTTGTTGATACAAAAAAGTTTAGGGGCTGTTAAGTCTGGTTAATAAATAAATATATATATATATATATATATACATAATCAAGTTGCTGTCTTTTAATGGCTGTTCTTAGTTACATTTAGTTAGTTCTGTGACTGTTCTGCCTTTCTGTGGGGTTCACCAGAGCTCTGTGTATATCCTATAGCCCAAACCTGAATACTCTGCTATACCAAATTGTGAGAAAACAAGCGCACATTTGCAATAGCTGCGACCAAATTTGCTACTATCACACCATTAATGGATAAATCATGGTAGTTCTTTCTGGCATAGTTATTTGTGGTCTTTAATTGCAGCATGTAAATGTTGAGCATTTTTGGTCAAGGACTTTTTGAGTTATTCACAAAAAGATTTGAATCGGTTAGTATAGCGGACGAATCGTGGGCATTTTTTCTGGTATAGTTACTCATGGTCTCAAGTAGCAAATTTTGAGCATTTTCTAGATAACACAAAGTTTTTCGTGAATAACTCAAAAAGTCCTTGACCAAAAAAATACTCAAATGTAATTGAAAAACGTATTTTAAATACAAGTAATAGAAATACTGCCTATCCCTGCTCACTGCTCACATCAGCGTTTATCTCCTACCATAACAGGAAGCTGTTTCTAGATAACAAGCTCTGAAAACCCACAATATGCCACAGTGCCTGTCAGGCACCAAATGACACACAAAGTTAACAACTATCTGAAGATAATAATGGAGCATTTAGCAGGTAAAGAGCCAGATATTTCATTCAGGAGTTGATGGAAACCGAAACAGAGCTAAAGAGGAGGAGGAGGAGAGTAAATATCGGGCCTCATCAGGTGGTAAGAGATGGATGCTAATGTTGCTCCATATCTGCTGAAAGTGTACTAAGACCTGCATTTGCATAGCGCCTTTCTAGTCATCCGACCACTCAAAGTGCTTTTGACACTATGACTCACATTCACCCATTCACTAACACTCATACACTGGTGGCAGAGGCTACCATAAGGTACCACCTGCTACTCAGTTTTTAACACACTCACACACCGATGGAACAGCTATCAGGAGCAACTTGGGGTTCAGTATCGTGCTCAAGGGTACTTCAACATGCAGACAGGAGGAGCCGGGCATCGAACCGCTGAACTTCCGATTGGTGGACGACAAACATGAATTACCTTTATATGGTGACTTTGTGTCACAGCCTGTGTTTCTGGCCGCAAGCGACCAAAAAGAAAAAGTTGATGCCTGAAAAAATTGCAGTATATTCATCTCTCTCTGCTACTGTATAGTATTTACAACATATAGTCGGATTTAGAGATTTATGTCACCTAAATCACAAGAAAAAAAAATCACTAATTCTATCAATAGGTTTCTGTGTGATTAAGTTTTGAAATATCCACCTCAGATTTTTTTCTTTTCTGCCAGCACTCTACAGTTGAGGCAAAGAAAAAAAATGTGTTGCTCTAAGGAATTTTAGAAAAGGACACATACAAACTCAAAAGCAATTTGTTTCCTTAAAAACAATGTCATGGTTACTGTAGATAACCCAAGAACCTTTCAGTTTCTGTAGCACGATTTCTTCTGTAAGAAATAGTTTCACTTCAAACTGTTCATGAAGTTTATGTTGTAAAAGTCTTAACTTGTGGTCAACCACCCATCCTGGCTCACCCTAAAATATTTCCTGAGCTTGTGCACTCAGCACACTTTCTTTGCATTAAACTGAGGGTAAAAAGTTAAAAATTAGAATATGATCAATAAAATCTGTATGATGAACGTTCAAGAAAAAAACCCCACATTATCAGGTTTTAAAACTTTACATAAAAATCAACATTTTTGTTGTTTTACACACAAAAAAAAGAGCTTTAACATCACTAAGGGGTTTTAGCCATGAAATCACTTCATATCACACATAAATCATCTTCATCTTTGTAGCTAAATATTGTCTTATAAATCCCTCTCAATATGTAGAGAATTTTAGATCTTACCAACAGCCACCATGTAGATGAGCAGGAAGATGCGCTGCTGCCCGTACATCTTTCACATTGCCTTTCTCAGGTCTAACAGTGCTGCTGGCTTTTCTTGAGACTTGTGACTTTGCAATACTTCCTGTGTGCTTTTTAAACGAGGGCGTTTCCGTAACAGGTGGTTGTGACACTTCTGCTCACAGTAAAAAGTTTCTTTTCCCTCATGCTTCCCCTTTTCTTTGGTAATTCCAAAAGCCTTCATTCTGCACTTTTTCAAAAATACATTTTTTAGGGAAAAGGGTTGCTAGAGTATACAAGGAGTGACAGTCATTAAAAGACAGCCCCACCCCGCTCTCACAACTGAATCAAAGGTATTGATGGCACAGGCGTCTCATTATAAGTCAAACATTTGAGTAAACACACATTCAGCATGCAGACATTTTTGTGGTTAGACGGTCTACTGAGTCGACAAAAGGACATGCTGAATAAAGGAAGAAGACAATCAACATGATCAAATGCAGATTCAAGCTTATTGGTGGCAATTCACCCAGATGTTTTCCCTCATATTTGTTGTGTTGTTTGTTCATGCCATATTGGTTTACATTTGGTTATGCCCAATAACATGTATACACCACAATAAAAAAGATTTAAATTGGATGTCAAAATGAGGATCTTGTGAGAACCCAAGACTGCTCTGATAACTAACATCTAATATGGCAAAATAGGAAGGTTCACTTCCTGTGGTGGGAGATGTATTGAAATCTTTTGGTTAAGAAATGTAGCAATGTTTCAGAATAAAAATACTCCATTACACCTAAAACGTGGATTTTTACAAGTGGAAGCACATACGTTTTAGCAGTAAAATGTGCTTATTATTGTTGGAATATGATTGATGATGATGATGTATTGTGTGAGCAGCATTTAAATGTTGTCATGGTGGAGCTAATTTTATACACATATTTTGTAAACTGATTTTATTTTATCTTGGACTTATTTCTAATATCATACCCTCTAGAGTGGACAATATACTATTAGAAACAGCTTTCGGTATAATGTAGTCCAACTCTAACACTAACTATGACTTACATTTACCACACTGCATTAGAATACAGGTGCACCTATTAAAGTGGACAGACATTTCTCTCAGGAGTTGGTGTCGGGAGAAAAGGAGAGTAGACATGGTCTTACATTCATCAGGGAGACAAAAACATGACGACAAATTAATGCTAATGTTGCTCTGTTTGCCAGAAGTGCAAATAGGCAACTGTTTACTAACAAATCAACTTTATAAGATATATCAATGTTGTATTGCAGCAAATTTCTCTGGCACCCAGATTGGCCAGAAAAGTAGGTGTTTTTTTTTTTAAAAAATGTACCTATGCTTTTTTAAGAGGACCCATTATGCATTTCCTTATTTTTTTTCATATATGTCTGTCATATATATAGCGTTACAATGTCAGATGTTCTCATTAAATGTGGCCAAAGTTTCAAAAAATGAGGTAAATGTTTGTAAAAGTAACCTGTTAGCAAAAGCCTCAGGTTTCAGACCATTCTGAATACTCAGCAAGGATTCTACTTTCAAGACAAGCTTGAGACTGTTTTCATATGGACATCTGCTCCAGGCACTACTGCAAGTGTTTACCTAACATAGCCTACACTGCTACATGTAGCTACATTCTGATGTCAGGGAATACTGTAATCCTGGTTGCTGATGTTTTTAATTTCTCCCCAGTTTCGGATCACAATCATGGAGCATGTCCAGTTGTGAAGACTTTACACGGTACTTTTCAAGTGCGGCTATTCTCTGTTAAAGTCATTCCCCGGCTGCAAGTACATTGCTACAAGTAGGTACATGCTAACATTAGGGAAGCATATAATCATGGTTGCTGATGTTTTCTCCCTGATTTCAGTATCTTGTTCCTATTGGAACATGTCTGGTTGTGACAATTTTAATTTAGAAGCTTTTACTGGTGATGTTTTACAGTAGGAGGTGCCACCATACTTTATTAGTCATTGTCCAGCTGCAAGTACACTGTTACATGTAGCTACATGCTAACATCAAGAATAGTTGTAATCATGGATGCTAATGTGGTCTTCCAAATTTTGGATCATATTCCTGCTGGAACATGTCTGGTTGTAAAGGTTTTGGTTTACTCTGTTAGTCAGTTCCCAGTTGCAATGATGTTTCAGAGACGCAGAGAGCACAGATACAGAAGTACCAGAAAGGCTGACCGGTTAGAGCAGACTGGGCTTTTTCGGGAGGAGGACTTAGAGAGACAGGCTCTAAAATGGAGTGCCTTAGACAGAGGGTGAATTCAAATGTTCTATGACAGAGAGTATGAGAAAAATAAAGTGCTTCTTGTAAATTAAAGCTAGTAAACATGATCAAGTAGAAACCCAAAATACAAATATGAACCTAGAGATTAGCATAATAGACCCCCTTTAAACTAATCACATGACACAACATTGAGTGAGAATATGTTGCGATTTTTAACTCTACAAATTATCAGGACATTGTCTCTGGACAGAAGTGTTGCACTTAAAAATGTTTTCAATACTTGAAGCACCATTCACCTCCATTGTAAAACAAAACAATCTGAATGGCAAGACACCACGAGTTAGAAAATGAGAAGTGAGAATGAAGTGAGAATAAAAATGTTTAGGTATACCAACCCTTCTACATACTGGGCCATATTATAGTTTGCCTAAGCTGATCTATATATCAGCCTTTTTTTAAGTTTTCCTTTTAATCTGTATGTTGTTGTTATCTCTGTTGATTAGTTTCAACTTGTGGCTGCTGTTCCTCTATGGCAATTCAGCTCTGCATGTTTTGTATTTCAAGAACTAAATGAAATTGTCTTTCTGTCTACATGGCCCCAGCAGAGAAGTGAGTCCAGCCTCATTTCTGTTTTCCTTTTATCCTCATCAAATGACTGATGACACAGTGAGCAAACAGGATGTGAACTATTTCTCAAGCTTGAGCAACAGTAGACTACTGTAATGTTGTTACAGGAAATAAACGTACACACTAAAAAGTCTCATCTATTCAGAAGAAAATGTTACTTAATTTTCTCATTCAATCAGTGCACATCCTATTTGAGGAGGTCCTCATTCTTGGAGGCTTGACTGCACAACAGGCTTCTGAACCTTGAGAGAAAAATCCACAACTGGGCAACCCTGTGTTATGCCGCCCAGGGAAATGATGTCCACATGTGGGGAGAAATACATAGCTAAGTTCTCTGGAGTCACTCCTCCACTGGCTTCTATCAGTAGTGCTGGGAACTCCTCCTTCAGTGCCTGAGCTGCAGCATGGAGCTCCTACATTGAGAGACAGTGTAGGTTAAGTGTCAGTGAGTAGAAACCAGGATAATGAAAATGAGAAGTAACCAGGACTCATGTTAGTTTAATATTCTTAACCTGAGGTTTGAAGTTGTCCAGCATAACGATGTCTGCTCCAGCCCTGGCCGCCCCTCTGCCCTCCTCTATAAAGCGGCACTCCACCTCAATCTTACTGCTGAAGCCACACACTGATCGGGCAGCTTTCACAGCCTAGAAAACAAATAGGTATTGTGAACGCACCTTAACTTATGAGAGATTGTTAAGTCTCACCTGTCAGACATTGTGTGTTTGCAACATTTACAAAAAACAAACTTCTTTAAAAAAAGAAAAAAAAAAAGGTATATGACAGTTATTCTTAAGTGGTAAGTATTTTACTGAAGGTTGAACATTCAATTCTTAAAAAAATATTTATTACTTTTGGTAGAATGGTTTGATCAAAAATAATATTCTATAAAATAAATGTTGGCAATGTTTCATTTTTAATGCAGTCATTTAAATGGATTGGTTTTATATTGTATTGTAGTTAACACAATCAGAATTTGTAAATACTAAAAACTAAAGATTGCAAATGAGTGGGCATTTATCTATAAGTGGACATTTAAACTCATCTGATTACAAATTTTAGATTTCAGATCCACATTTGAATGTGATCAGCTTGAATGTAGTTTTTATTATGCATTAGTCTGATGTTCACTTGGTGGGATGGATTGTCTTTCATGTACAGACAGTCATCGTCTGCAGAGAAGGCATCATTGGGTCAAAATTTCAGTTTCATTTTTCAGTTCATTTCAGTTCAATACATTGGTGTAGGACCAAATAACTACACACCAAAAAATAGCGGGTCAATTTTAGCCCAGTACGAGTCAATCATGTTACCCATGGATGGATTACTAAACAGGCCTACCAGGCACAGGGGGCCTGTGCCTGGTAGGCCTGTTTAGTAATCCAGCCTGTAAGGACTGCAAAGAACTGCAAGAGGTTACAAAATAACTAAAAAACCAAACAACAACAACAGAAAAAACAGCAAAACAGCCACACAGAGACACTAAATGACTACAAAGAGAACAAAACAACCAGAAGGGGACACAAAATGACAAAAACTACCGAAAAAGACATACAATTACAACAAAAAGACAAAAACTTACCACAAAGAGACCCAAACAACTACAAAACGACACAAAACCAGAAGGTGACACAAACTGACTATGAAAGAACCCAAAACTACCATAAAATGACAGAAAATTACATCAAAGAGACATAAACAACTTAAAAAACTATACAAAACAACCAGAAGGAGACACAACCTTACTACAAAATGACATAAAACTACCACAACCACTGTATGTCTTGCTCCTGAGTAGGAGGGGTGGTGGTGCCCTTTGCATATCTGTGCCCAGGGGCCCTTGTCTCAGAATCCACCCATGGTGATGATACCCAGTACTGCGTCAGTCTAGCACTGAACTCAAATTTATCTAGTGCTCCTAAGTATAAAAACCACTGGGTCACCAATCACACACAAAAAAGTAGGCTACTATTTTAAATCAAACCAGCCACAATGTGACCCAGTATTTGGGTCATTATTCCCTCTGCATCAGAAAACAACCCAAAATGAAGACCCTAAGCCCATTTACCCTGAAACTGGGTTGGTAACGTGACCCAGTTCACGTCCCTGTTAGCCTCTGCTGCACTTTGTGTGTTTAGTGCTAATTAGCTGTTCTAAAGCTAAACTATGACAGTGAACAAGGTAAACATGATATGCTAAACATTTGTTAGCATGCTGACATTCACCTCAAGGCAATACCTCCAAACTACTAAACCAAGTTTTTGAACTTGCACATAAAAGGAGGATAATTAAAACCACATTAATTCAAAAACCTAATTTTAAAGGTAAAATATTTTAATGCTATAAACAGAGTGATGTTTATATTTCAACATGATGTTTTCAGTAAAGTTTGCAATTATGTAGGCTATTAAATTAAAATGATTATGTCCTTTTTTTTTTTTTTTTTTAACATTTTCTCGAACATGCATTGTAAGAGCCATTTTAACTGGATCTATGTTGCAGCTGCTCACCTGTGTGATACTTCCTGATGCCCAGACGTGGTTGTCCTTCAGCATCACCATTGAACTCAGGTCCTGTCTGTGCATGGACACATTGCCAACCAGCATGGCATACTTTTCCACCAGACGGAAGCCCGGGGTGGTCTTGCGTGTGCCAGCCACTTCTCCATGCCAGCCTCCCACTGTTGCCATTGCCTGGAGCTTAGAACAGCGGGTGGCAATACCTGAGGCCCGGGCCAGGCAGTTGAGAGCTGGCCTTTCCCCAAGGAGGAGGCACCTTGCTGGGCCTCTCACCACAGCAGTCAGTGTGATGGCATCGGGACCTGTGGAGGTGAGAGAAGACTTTTGGATGATTGACAGTGCTCATATAAAGAGTTCAGAGAGTTTGACTAAAACCATGATCATCAAATTTGAGGAGCCACTTGTAGCCAGTGCAAACAAGGAAATAGATGCATCTCTAATTCACACCAGAAGTCAGCAGGTTTTGTTTTTGTAACTAGGGGTTCTTGTTGTGTGAAATTAAACTAGTAAGAAAATGTTACTGCAGCAGGATGAAAGCTGAAGTGTTTGGGGCACCATTATCTGCTCAGATTCAATTGAATGCTTCAAAACTCATTGGACGATGCTTCACAGTGCAGATGGACATTGACCTGAAGCATATTGCAAAAGCAACCAAAGACATTTTTAAGGCAAAGAAGTGGAATGTTCTGCAATGGCCAAGTCATATCATCTGACCTGAATCCAATTAAGCAGGTATTTCTCTTGCTGAAGCCAAAACTGAGGGCAAAACACCCAAAACACAAGCAGGAAGTGCAGACGGCTGCAGTAAAGGGCTGGCAGAGCATCACCAGGGAAGAAACCCAGCATCTGATGATGCCTATGTGTCCAACACTTCAGGCAGTCATTGACTGTAAAGGATTTGCAACCAAGTATTAAAACTGACTGTTTAATTGATGATTATGTTAGTTTGTCCAAATACTTATGAGCCCTTAAAGTCAGGGGACTGTGTGAAGAAATGGTTGTAATTCCTACACGGTTCATACTACATTTTTGAAAAAAGCCTTAAGGTCAAGGTCACAAGGTCACATTTATTTCTATAGCACATTTAAAAAGACAGAAGTCACCAAAGTGCTTTACAAGAACACTGTGAAAATTACAATACCACATAAATAGAATGATAAATACTAAAATATAAAAACAGATACAAAATACAAAAAAAAAAAAAAAACAGAAACAAATATAAAAACAGACAAACAGAAACAACATCAATTACACATAAAAAAAAAAAAAACTTAAATGAAAGCTGAGAGTCTGCACTTTAAGCAGGTATTCATTGTTTCATTTAAAACCCATTGTGGTGGTGTACAGAGCCAAAATGACGACAACTGTATCATTGTCCAAATAATTATGGACCTGACTGTATTTCTGGTCTGCTCACTGACTCCACCTCGCTCAGACCTCTCAGGTCTTCAGACAGTGGCTTTCTGGTTGTACCCAGAATAAGATCAGAGGCTGCTAATGGTGTAAGTTACTGCAGACCTTCCCTCAATATGCTCTGCATATTGACCTGTGATCTATAAGAACTGTATCTACATTTAAAGCTAAGCTTAACATCTTCCTGTTTTCTCAGGCATATTTTGTGTTAGTGTTCTGTGTGTGTGTGTGCGTGTGTGTGTGTGCCATGTGTGCATGTGTGAACTGTATTCTCAGACCTAACAGTAGTGTGAGTGTGTGTTTAGGTGTTATGTCATGCAATGGCTGTTATGGCCATTGCATGACATACTGGAATGCTCTATGTTTTTTTTCATTTGTTTTTTTTAATGTAAAGCACATCTGGTAACTGCAAAAACACTTTTATAGCCACTGCTCAACATCATATCTCAGAACCAGAAGAAGAGACATATGGTCAGATACTGAATTGGTGACACTAATTTTGGGTGTCCAGCTTGAAACTGTGCTGATTGTAAATATCTTCTTAGCTGCTGAGTTGAAAATGTGTGTGAAGCATCCACGTTTTCACAGACATGGATGTAAATTGTAATTGTAACTTCAATGGTTCGCAGAGCCATACAACCACGAGGTGGTAATTTGGTCATTTAATGGCTTGATTGGCTTCTGCTACACTAATGACCTCATGGAAAATGTGTTAGTTTGTGATTTTTAGTACGTACTGTAGTGGTAGTATATCTTTCATATGCAGTCTGATGTGAGCTGTCTGACTTGTGTGTCTTTTGTTTTTTTTTTTTTGTAACTGCAGGGGCAACCAAACTAGTCTCCCCTCTCAGGATTTATAAACACAGTTCATTAGTATTTCACAATCAACTCATCTCATTGTGCCACCTCATCCCTGACTGCAGAGCACTCATGATCACACATGACTCAGATCATCCACTCTACCAGCACTTTACCCTACTGCCTTCTGGACCTGTTGAGGATTGACTAACCATGTGCAGAGCAAGAACTTTGTGTCTACAGCTTTAAATACATAAGCTCCTCTTATTTTTACAAGAAATCCTGATTTGTGGTGCCCCAATCTATGTCTTGTCTCTTTGTTTGATGTTTGCATAATTTGGTATGTCTTACTTGTTTGTACTAAGTATGCACCTACTGTGGAAAAGAAGTTCATCCAATAACTGTCTGTCTAAACTAATAATGTGGTGCTTTGGAAGACAGTGTGCAGTGCCTACCGATCTCAGCTCCCTCCTGATAAATCCAGTCCACGGTACAGCCGACCTCAGCGAACACTGCTGTAAAGAAGGGGCTCCCTGCCAGGATGCTGTGTGGTGTTTTACACAGCAACCTCGCCTCAACCTCCTGTGACCCCACACACACTCCCGCCAGGTCAAAGTTTGGTGTATCCTCTGCCAGCCACTCTCGTGCCAGCCGGGTCAGAGTGTGAGGTGGGATTGAGTGGGCTGCTATGTGTGAGGGCAGAGTCATTCTAAAACGTGGGAAAGGAGGAAATTTGTAACTTGTTGTTCCACTTGACATGAAAGTGGAAACTGAAAACAGATAAGAAAGGGACGTAACTTTTTAGTCTCACAATAACTGTGTGATTCAGAAAATCCTGGGCCCTGATGAGTATGTACTATACATCACAGTTTGAAAGTCTGATGATAGATTAACATTGTTCCTCTTACTCAATGACAGTGGAGTTGCAGCAAAGCCACAACTGCAAGATCACCAAAGCAGATGTTAGACTGTGACAGACTTGCCTGAGTTGCAGCTACAAAAACATCATAGGGGTGAAGACACAAAGGGCGACTTCAAGAAATATCTAAAGACCAGTGGTGGATCTTCCCATTGGTGACATGGGTGGGCACCCATAACTAGGATGCTCTCTGCTGGTTTTTCCTTCAATTTGTCATACATTATTCTACACTGTATGTCTACTGTATATGCTTTACTTTGATCATTCTTTCAGTCCAACCTGCATTAGAAAAAAGTGTGGTTCCACTGAAGAAGTCTGTGCTGTACCATAAGCTTCAACTAAGTAGACAGCTAGTATATGTCGAATTATGACAACCACAGCATATTCTGTCACATGTGGACAAGTTCATAGTTGTCTAATCCAAGATTAGAACTACACAAATAAATGCAAATGAGATATTTAGGCTACTTACTTCCATCAGTGGCTCTCCTTTTCCTGTTGATCACTTTCGGTTGGAATGCAGAGTTGTAGCGCTGAGCACACATAGCCACTGGAACAATATAACATGGAATTTGACCCTATGTCCTTGCTGGAATGTTTACCAGCTATCTACGAGTTAGCTCTTAGTTAATGTTAGGCTTTACATTGTTTGTTTAAGACTAATGACTAAAGACTAACTCTTTTGAATTACGAATTTGTGATGACTGGGGTATACTGCATGTTTGTTTTTATCTGTGGCATACACGCCGATATCCAACTGTTCACTAAAGCAGGCTTTACATCAGTAGTCAAGTCATTTTTGGGCCTCTTATGCTCCCAATTCGTGCCCCAAGGGTGTGGTGGACAGCAGCAGCTAACTATGCACAGGGGAAGTTATTGCAACATCAGACATGGTGAGAAGCAATGAAACAACTCAACCTGCATCAGCATTGTTTTTACTATGACCGACTGCTCCCCCTAATCACCTATGGTGACTTTCTGAACACTGGTTATCTCAACCTCAGGGTAGCACTCATTGTATGGTAAAAGCTCTTTGGGATGGGCAGTGCTAGATGGAGACATGCCCAGCAAAGTGGGCAGACTTGCACCTCACTCACTGCCTCAAGGCAAAAAGTTGCATATTTCACATTAAATCTAGGTTACATGGTGTATGGTATGGGCAGTTTAGGGACTGTTTGTTATTTATGAGGGGGAGGGTGTGGTGCAATAAGGGGAGGGAAACATGCATGTTTTCTTTCACTACTACACGTTTTTTTTATCTTTACAAGTTACTTTTTTGTTTTTCAAAATAAATTATTTATCATAGCCAGTAACTGTAAAAACTGAAATTATTGTTGGATTTCCAAATTTCAGACAGTCTTTGGACACATTATGTCTGACAAATGTTTCCATCAGGAAACAACATCAAAAAACAAAATAACAACATCAAAAACAAATATAACTTCAAAATGTTTCATCAAAATCCCTTTCTTCTGCATCTCATTTAAAATTTGGCAAAAAACAAAAACTGTGTGCACTAACTAACCAGCATGCCCGTCAAGAGTGAAAAACCAAGGCTTTTTTTCCAGCTCTTTCGTCTTCAACTTTTAATTTTTAACCTTCAAACATCAAAGGGAATGTTTTAAAAACCTTACCACTAATGGTGGTTTGTGGTAGAGGGGGTAGGGTCATGCACTTTCTGCCAGTCACTCAGGGAGGCTCAAGGAAAAACATTTGTAGCTTTAAAGTGGGTGATAAAACAAACAACCAAACAAACAAAATCAAAGTCACACCCCAGCCAGCCCCCTCCTCTGATTAGTAAAGAACAGTCCATTATAATGCAGCAGGCTACAATGTAAGAAAAGGTGTTTCAAAAATGACTGAATTGCAGAGCACAAGTTCAAGGTATTGACAGGCTTGCATTTGGCAGGCGTTCTACTATGTATGATTTTGTGTGTCAAACATATTGATAACCCACTGACTCCATATGGAAAAGCAAATGCACCTTGAATACACATGCTTGCTGTCATATTCTCAAAACTAAGGCTTCACATCAGACAGTGGGAGCCTTTAATGGTTCAGTCTCACATACTAATAGCTATGGCATCATTTATAAAGGGTTAGAAAGTTGCTGGCTCCTATAGCCCTGTGATTATTTCGTTTCGAAGCTCTGTTTGCCTTCATTGAGGACATTATTTCAACATTAAACTACAACGTGACCTGAGTCTCAGAAGAAGCACAATGCCAGGAAGTGCAGTGCTAACTGTTGGTGCACAATGCTCAGGCATGGAGCTATTTCAGCATTTCCCCTCTGGGCTCTACTACAGAGCAGCGGTGGTGACGTCAGACAGACAAGCCTGAGCAGCGATGCGCGCTCCAGACGCCAACAAGCACGAGCCGAGGCTTCCTCCTCCACATCCAGCGCCAGAGCAAGAACCAGGAAGTGAAAGTATACACATGGAGGGTGTGTCGTTCCCTGCTAGTGAATGTTTTATTTTTAAAAACACAGTCCTCCTGGGATAAGTAATGGGGGACTCGGCGAGGACCAAGCGGCGAGAGCAGCTGAAGCGCTGGGCCGGCTCATGCACCGACAAAGCGCCGGCCGTGCCCAGGCGGAGGTGGCGGGGCGATGCCGACAATGGAGCAGGGGAGCCGGAGGCCGAGCTCAGCGACCCGTCGAGGGACCAGCCCGTGTGTGTAAGCAGAGATGGATCCAGCCCCTTCCTCAAACGACGGTGAGGAAATGTCTCCTGCCACACAGTTTGACAATAGCAGCCGGCTCTCAGCAGGCTAGCTTAGCTTAACGTCTGAAGAGAAATGCTAAATGAGGGAAGTTGTTCGTGGGTTTGGACAAGGGGTTGATAAAATAATATAACCTGTCTCACAGTACAGCACCGGGCGCCCTCCTGCTGCTAAAAAAAATCGTTTAGGATTTAATTAAGCATATAATGTTCTGCCTGTGTTGAGACTGTCAGTGGTCATCTCTGAGGCCATAGTTTGCAGTGTTTGTGTTAGCTAGCTAACGTTAGCTGACATTAGCAAAGTGTCATACAGTCAGTCTGGATGAGGGTCTGTTTGTTCAGGACTCTCTGCGTTGCTAATTCACTTGTCACTTATTTTCATATGAATTTTTGGGACTGCCATCACATATCATTTTGCAGTGCTTGTGTCGAACCAGTGTATCAACAATACAGTCAGAGAGCATCTCTCTTTAAGCTGACAGCACATACCTTACTGATAACTGGCGTTGAATTTTGTATTACAGTAGTTGCTGTCATGGTTGCAGGTCAGTCTGTCACAAGCACAGAAAAGGTATGAATATTGATAATAAAAAGTCAGTAATTATGATTACATCATCTGAATTAGCATGGAGTGGTCACAAGGAGACCCTCACCAACACTGACTGAAAGACACTCAGAGACATTTGTGTTATAACACAAAACAGTTTGACTTCAGAAATGACCATGTTGAAATCTTGTCTCTCTTCACATTTTTATCATTGTCAACAAATCCCACAAAAAGACCAAAACATCCACTGAGCTGATCCTACAGCCAGTATTGCCTTCAGAGCCTGGTCTTGGTTGTTTATTTCCACTGGCTTCCATGGTCATCCAGAAACTATTAATCCACATCAGTGAGCCATACTGTTCCACTGGCTGACATGTTCCTTCAGTGACATGAACATGGCCACTACAGTTTATTTTCAGTCAATTCCACATACACCATCTCGCTGCCTTAAATAATCACCAGCACACCAAATGCACGGCAGACAGTATTTCCCACAGAATACATAATTGACTTTTATTATTGACATAACTTCCTTTTTTAGAATTGTTTGCAAAAAACTACAGGGCCCAACTGTTTGGGGAGATTATTAGACTTTATATTATGACTCATTTTCTAAAGATTCACATATAGGTAGGGATGTCTGAAAATATTAAAGAGATACTTTGCCGATTTTCAACCAGCCTTACAATGTGGGTAGTATTTGAAAATGAACTCTGGTAAACCTCCCTCCATCTCACAGTGCCCAGATCTCTCTGCTCACCACTCAGCTCAAGTGTGTCATTCAGCGGTTTTTGGCTGGCTCTAGGGATGTTACTCGAACTACAAATTGTACTTCTTCATGTAGGTTTGCAGCGGTATACTGTGATATTAAAAATGTCAGTTATCATACCGTGTATATTTGGTCATTTATTATATTGGGGAAAAAAATGCAACTGGACAGTGAATCTCAACTTTATTTTAGTTATTTTTAAAAGGGAGACTTTTTACACATACTTCCATTAACAAAATAGTTTCAAGTTTCAGTAATAGGAATAAAACACCAAAAATAATCCCTCTGTTTTTCATTCCTTTAAGGGTCATTTTGACTTATAATAATTATAATAATTCTGTAATGTCATGATAACGTGAAACCGCAATATTTTCTGAGACGGTCACCAACCATGAAAATCCCATACCGTTACAACCCTATGTTCATTTTTGTATGCCATCCACCACGGATAGAAATAGTATAGAAGTGGATTGAGAGGGAGGCTCGCCTCTCTTTCTCTCTCCCTCAAACGCAGTCCAAAAGAATCTCTTACTGAGTTGCCTTTTTTTTCCCTCAAATGTTTTCAGAATCATATTTAAGCTACTGTTTAACTGTAATTATTTGAGATCATTTGTTACCAGCCTGCTGCCATGTTGTTTCCTGAGAAAAAACAAGCAAGCTTGTGTCATGTCGCTCACCAGCTGGAGCGTTTATTGGTTTAATGTAACGCAGTGCAATTTGGTATAACCAAATGTCACAGCCCTTGTTCTGTGTTTTCTTTGGTCATGTAACACCGATTTCAAAAGTATTTGTGTCTTTCTACTGCATTGACATTTGACAGCCCAGTTTTATTAAAGGTCCATCTGTTAATGTTGACTGCATTGTCATTCTGTTGTTCTGTGCTACTAACCAAGAAAAGAAAAGTCATAGTTGTTATATGTATTTTTTTTTTTTGCTAAGAATTTTTAATTGCATCCCATTAATGTCAATTACTCCAGTTGTATCAAAAAATGTTACTTAATATCAATATTATCAATAAAGTATTTTATCGAATTTAGAAATTCCAGTTTTGGGACAACACTAGTCTTGTCATGGGATTCGTTGACAGAAACAAAACCCTGGAATATTGCCTGCCTCATCTTTTAACTGAACTGTATCATCAAATCACATCACATTTTGGCTTTTCTTACAAGGCTACTGCAGTTGTCTTGTTAGGTGTTTCTTTTTTGTCTATTTCCTCTATAAAAACATTGGTGCTGCATGGCATGTCTCGTCTTTAACTTGGCAAACCAGCTACAACTGCTAACCAATGAGGTCATTTGACTGCCTGTATTCTCTGTCTTTAGGAAAAGGGTGAGGTTTGACAGGGCTGCAGAGTTCCTTGCTGCCTGTGCCAGCGGGGATACGGACGAGGCCCAGGTGATGCTGAACGAGGCCGAAGAGACCAGAAGGAGGGATGGAGAAGATGTGCCAGAAATTATCAACTGTTCCAATGCAGATGGAATCACTGCTCTCCACCAGGTGAGGCAGTTTCTCCTCCTGAGGTTTAATTGAAATTATTGGTTTTGTTGCTAAGATGACAGAGAAACATTTACAGATGTATTATTTGTCTTTTTGTTCCCTTTTTCTATACAGTCCTGCATAGATGGCAGCATGGAAATAGTGTCCTTCCTTTTAGAGCATGGTGCCAGCGTGAACCAGGTTGACAGTGAGGGATGGACACCACTGCACGTTGCCGCATCCTGTGGCTACCCTGACATTGCAGAGTGAGTTTGTCTGTACTGTTAACATAGTGCAGCAGCGTAACAGCTGTGTAACACAGTACTCTTTGCCACTTTGGGGACGTCAGAATGCAGTGTGGGTGCCAGGGTATTTATGCATTCAACAATACTAACATTGTTTTCCTGTTTGGCAAGACAACAAGTCAGCTAAAGCATGAGTGGGCTGGCCTGGCACACAAACACATGCAGCTCAAATGATTTAACAACTGATGTACCTTTTTTCCCCTGCAGTCTCTAGTTATGTGAATAATGCCTCTTGGTCTGACTTTGAAGATAATGTGATAGGGTTAGGTGTGTCTGTTTAGAATTGGTTGTCCTTATACAGACCTTGTAAACATGTTTGCAATTAAAAGGAATCTCATTCTGTCCATGTTTGTTTTGTCAGTTTTCTTGTGCAGCGAGGCGCATCTCTTACTGCCGTGAACTGTGACGGTGACGTTCCTCTGGACATTGCTCTTGATGAGGCCACTGAGTCCCTCCTTCAGAGTTACACTGTGAGACAGGGTGAGTGATTGCTATCTTTTGACAACTACACACCCCTTTTTCATCATTCGTTGTGTTCTGTGTCAAATGTGTGTTTCTGTCTAGAGCATGTTCTGTTGAATTTACAGCACATTTGTTTATGCCTCCGTGCCGGCGATAGCCATAGAAGGAGGTATTATGTTTTCAGGTTGTCCAACACCATCCGTCACATTCTTGTGAACACAATATCTCAAGAACACCTTAGACTTAGACTTGATTGTCCCCTTAAGGAAATTCTTTTCCACAGCACCATCTCCATTCCTCATTATCCACCACAGAACAGAACAAGACACACATTTGGAAACAAACATTAGAAACCAGACAAACAAAACAGTGTCAACACTTAACAGAGTCCACACTCTGGCCTGTTCAGCGAGGCCTTTTGTTCAGGGCCACTATGACAGCAGGGATCAGACTTTTCCCAAGGCGAGCCCTTTTGCACCTTAGTACTCTGTATCTGCGTCCTTAGGGGAGAGGGGTGAAGTGGGTGTTTAGTGGATGTGTGATGTCCTGTTCTTGAGGGAATCTCTTTAAATTTGGCAAAAACATTCAGTTGGACTCAACAATGAACTGTTAAGATTCAAGGTCAAGGATCACTGTGACCCTGTCTGTCTCATTCTTGTGAATGCAGTATCTCAAGAAGGCCCTGAGGGAGTTAACTCAAATTTGGCACGAACGTCCACTTGGATTAAAGAATAAATTTATTAGATTTTGGTGGTTGAAGGTCAAAGGTCAATGTCAGTGTGACCTAACAAAACATGTCTTTGGCCATAACTCAAGACTTATTATGTTAATTAAGACAAAACTTTATACAAATGTCTAATAGGATAAAATAATGAAGTGATGACATTTTATATCCAAAAGGTCAAAGGCCAACTTCACTTTGACATCATTATGTTCTGCTTAAAACACTTTCCTGGCCATTACTCATAGTCATATCCCAGGAATAGAAGGGGAGACATTTGGTCAGATACTGAATTGGTGATTGTTGTTTTGAAACTGTGCTGATTGTATAGATCTTCTGTGCTGCCAGAAGACAGATGTGTGTGAAACATCCGTGTTTTCACAGACATGGATGTAAACTGTCAGAGAATCTTCACTGTTGCATGGAGGCATACAACCCCGGGGCAGTAATTCTAGTGTTAGTTGAGCTAAATAGAAAGATATTGACGGGCATACACAAATATGCCAGATAAAGAATGGAAAAGTGGCCACCCATGTATCAGTGGTATACTTTGCAGGATTTTACTAAAAAATTGAGACTTGTGATTTGTCAATTGCCATTAAGAAATAGAGTGGCATAGTGGCATTTTTACTTAACGTTTTGCATACAGTGGATTAACTGTTTTATATTGTAAACAATGGATTATGGCAAGGAAAAGAGATGCATATTGTAGGGATGGGTAACGTTTGCGAAATCCAGCATAAAATGGCATTACATATGTATTTAGCAGTGCCGCTGCACCTGGGGAAGGAGCAAGGATTAGAAATTGAACACTGATCTGATTGATGGGCCACTGGTCGTTATCAATTCATGGGGTTAGTCTTCTAAACAGTTTGAAGGCTCATCAAGTGAAGAAAAACGTGAGATAAATTCTCTTGACAATTTCGCTGCTACGAGAGCTTCAATAGTCTGGCGGTTCTGATAAAGTGTAGCTCACACTGAACATCGTCATATACACACCACACTGAATGCTTCCGTAGAGGCTGCAACAAGCCAAAAAGTCTGTTTTGTTTTTTTACCTCACAACTTTATCTTTCGGTCCCTTTATCCAGCAGTAAACCTCCCAGCTCCCGGGCCTTCCATAATCCAGATTATGGAGGTAACGGCAGTGTCTCTGGAGATTTGCTAAACTATTCCACTAGTCACAACAGGCATCGCTTGGTTTTGTTTTTGTGAGCCAAATTTTATATAAAGTTTCAAATTGAATTATTTTGGGCTATTCCTCTAAAGGTACCATACATTTATAAACTTCCTTGTGTGTATTAACAGGTGTTAATTAAAAAATTAAGAATATGTTAACTTTTTTTCTCATATTTCAGTTCCAATACCTGGAGATCCCACAGACTTAAAAGTTCATTGCTCTTTGAAAGGGTGTGCCTGAATATTTTGCTATTATATTATTATTATTATATCAGTGACATAAAATGGTCTCAAAATGACAATAGTATTGTTTATTGCAGTTATTTCAGGACACATTGCCAAACAAAAGTAGTTGTTGTGACAGGCCTAATTTTGATGTCATCACACAAAAATCTCTTTAATTACTTGGATACAATTTTGATGTAGGTAACTTGTATCTGTGTTGTTCTTGTTAACAGTCATTAGTGTTTTTTAAAGCAAACTTAGAGTCACAACATTCATTCAAACGCTAGATGTCAAATACTACATCTGCTCCCATGTGCAGGAGTGATTGTAACAGCATATGGGATATGGGAAGCATTATATCAATTGTAATATGACATCTACAGCCATGTATAAATATGTGTCTAAAGCCCTAATTGTGTCAGCAGAGCAAAATAAAAGTCACTTAAGCACCGCTGCTGGAAAAAATCCTAGGGGGAAAAACTGCTGTAATCACCATATTGCAACAACCTTTCCTGGAAGGCATTCAGAGTGTTGCACTTGTTTGTGCATAAATTGACAGAATTAGTTGTGTAAATAATGGAAAAAAGAGAGCTTAAGAGAGAAATGCTGACCTTGCACACTAAAAAGCCTAATAGAGATGCTCCGATATGGGATTTCAGGGCTGATGCTGATAATCGATGATTATCAGTGATGATTACTGATCAAAGGGATGCTCTGCTGATTTTCAACCGGGTTTGTATTGCACTAATGTGGGTAGTGTGTGTAAATGAACTGTAGTAACCTTTCCTCCATCTTACCGGGGGCCAGATCTCCCTGCTCATCTCTCAGCTCAAAATCATTTTTATTTGTGGGCCACCACCACAGACACAAAGAGTATAGAAGTGGATAGAAAGACCTGCTTCTCTCTCTCTCTCGCCCTCTCTCTCTCTCTCTGTCTCGCATGCTGACCAAACTTGGATCAAATGGTGAAACTAGGCAATGCTGAATGCAGCATATGATCGTCAATAATTGTAACACAGTTCTTTGATTGACCCTTGCTGTCCACCGTTGCTACGGTTACACTCACTCTATGAAGCTCGCCACTCAGCTTGATTATAAATGGCACCTCAGAGGAGAATTTACTGCAAAGACAGTCTGCAAGTATATGGTGGCACATTGCTGAGGTAGATCAGTGTGGTGGAATGGTGGAAGTTCAGTTAAAAGTACAGTACAGGCCAAAAGTTTGGACACACCTTCTCATTCAATGCGTTTTCTTTATTTTCATGACTATTTACATTGTAGATTCTCACTGAAGGCATCAAAACTATGAATGAACACATGTGGAGTTATGTACTTAACAAAAAAAGGTGAAATAACTGAAAACATGTTTTATATTCTAGTTTCTTCAAAATAGCCACCCTTTGCTCTGATTACTGCTTTGCACACTCTTGGCATTCTCTCCATGAGCTTCAAGAGGTAGTCACCTGAAATGGTTTCCACTTCACAGGTGTGCCTTATCAGGGTTAATTAGTGGAATTTCTTGCTTTATCAATGGGGTTGGGACCATCAGTTGTGTTGTGCAGAAGTCAGGTTAATACACAGCCGACAGCCCTATTGGACAACTGTTAAAATTCATATTATGGCAAGAACCAATCAGCTAACTAAAGAAAAACGAGTGGCCATCATTACTTTAAGAAATGAAGGTCAGTCAGTCCGGAAAATTGCAAAAACTTTAAATGTGTCCCCAAGTGGAGTCGCAAAAACCATCAAGCGCTACAACAAAACTGGCACACATGAGGACCCACCCAGGAAAGGAAGACCAAGAGTCACCTCTGCTTCTGAGGATAAGTTCATCCGAGTCACCAGCCTCAGAAATCACAAGTTAACAGCAGCTCAGATCAGAGACCAGATGAATGCCACACAGAGTTCTAGCAGCAGACCCATCTCTAGAACAACTGTTAAGAGGAGACTGCGCCAATCAGGCCTTCATGGTCAAATAGCTGCTAGGAAACCACTGCTAAGGAGAGGCAACAAGCAGAAGAGATTTGTTTGGGCCAAGAAACACAAGGAATGGACATTAGACCAGTGGAAATCTGTGCTTTGGTCTGATGAGTCCAAATTTGAGATCTTTGGTTCCAACCGCCGTGTCTTTGTGAGACGCAGAAAAGGTGAACGGATGGATTCCACATGCCTGGTTCCCACTGTGAAGCATGGAGGAGGAGGTGTGATGGTGTGGGGGTGTTTTGCTGGTGACACTGTTGGGGATTTATTCAAAATTGAAGGCACACTGAACCAGCATGGCTACCACAGCATCCTGCAGCGACATGCCATCCCATCCGGTTTGCGTTTAGTTGGACGATCATTTATTTTTCAACAGGACAATGACCCCAAACACACCTCCAGGCTGTGTAAGGGCTATTTGACCAAGAAGGAGAGTGATGGAGTGCTGCGGCAGATGACCTGGCCTCCACAGTCACCGGACCTGAACCCAATCGAGATGGTTTGGGGTGAGCTGGACCGCAGAGTGAAGGCAAAGGGGCCAACAAGTGCTAAACACCTCTGGGAACTCCTTCAAGACTGTTGGAAAACCATTTCAGGTGACTACCTCTTGAAGCTCATGGAGAGAATGCCAAGAGTGTGCAAAGCAGTAATCAGAGCACAGGATGGCTATTTTGAAGAAACTAGAATATAAAACATGTTTTCAGTTATTTCACCTTTTTTTTGTTAAGTACATAACTCCACATGTGTTCATTCATAGTTTTGATGCCTTCAGTGAGAATCTACAATGTAAATAGTCATGAAAATAAAGAAAACGCATTGAATGAGAAGGTGTGTCCAAACTTTTGGCCTGTACTGTACATTCACTGAGAAGTGGTGCTAAGGGGATGAGGAGAGACTGACAGCAACGCCAGTACAATGAGCTGTTTGAATACTGTTGGGTAGTTTAATCTACAGCAATGCATCATATTCTTTAAGATCATCATATGTTTGTAGCATGGCTGTCAACTTTTCATGGTGTCAGAAAAACAGCCCTCTTTTCAGCTTTGTGACGATGCATTTTCCAGCTGTGTTTATTCAGCTTAAGAAGTAGAATTTTCTCACCACATAAAGGAATACACCATCCTCTAGTTTATCACAAACATTCAAAATCAGTGCATTTGGAAATACATGGTTTTCACTGGCCAAGGAATGCACTTAACACTGTAATGTGAACAGTAACTTAAGCTGTTAGACAAATGTAGTGCAGTAAAAAATATTTACCTCTGACACATAGAAGTATGAATTAGCATGGAATGCATGCAACTGCAAGTACAGCGCTTGAGCAAATATACTTAGTTACATTGCACCACTGCAAACATTACCTGCTCATTTTCCTGTTTGCGTAAAGGGAAAATAAATATATATTTTTAAACTAAATGGTAGCTTTTTTCTGTGCGTGCCTGCATGTGTCTCAGTCCAAAAATACCACTTCAGGACCAGGTTTTAAGTGAAGTCCAAAGTCCACAGCCAAGGCTCAGCATTAACAAGCGGAATTAAGAGAGTACATTATCATAACAATAACCGTGTTGGTCACTGATATACAATGCATCCTTTATGATTAGTAATATAGACTGCACCCTGACTGAGTGTGCCTTATACTGTAGACACAGATAAAACAAGAGACGCATGTGTTTAACATTTCCTGTTTGTGTTCAGGTGTGGACTTGGAGGCAGCTAAACGGCTGGAGGAAGAGCAGATCTTGAACGATGCCCGGACCTGGTTGGCTGAGGGCCCACCCTCTGATTTACAACACCCCAGGACTGGGGCCACCCCACTCCATGTGGCTGCTGCCAAAGGCTACCTAGAGGCCCTCAAGTAAGCATCTCCTGACATTTATCTGCCTCCATGCCAGCAATAGCCATAGCCAGAGGCATGAGTTTTTCGGGTTGTTTGTCTGTACGTCTGTCTTATTCTCATGAACGCCCTGAGGGAATTAAAAAAAATTAAAGGTCACTGTTACCATGCATCCATCTCATTCTCGTGAATGCGATATCTCAAAAACACCTTAAGGTAATTTTTTCAAATTTGATGCAAAGCTCCACTTGGACTGAAGAATAAATTGATGAGAATTTGGTGGTCGAAGGTCAAGGTCAGTGTGACCTCACAAAATATGTTTTTGACCATAACTCAAGAATTTGTATGCTAATTATGACAAAACTTCACACACATGGTTAACAAGATTTAATGATGAAGTGATGACATTTTATATCCCAAAGGTCAAATTTAACTTCACTGTGACATTATATATTGCAAAAACACTAGCCATTAGTCAGCGTCGTACCTCAGGAACAGAAGGGGAGAAATTTGGTAAGTTACTGAATTGGTGAAACTGTGCTGATTGTATAGATCTTCTGTGCTGTTGGAGGAAGATGTGTGTGAAGCAACCATGTTTTGACAGACATGGACAGAAACTGTAAGACAAATTAAATGGTGCGTGGAGGCATACAACTGTGGGGCTGCAATTCTAGTTCATATTGAATATAATATTTGAACTTAGAAATGTAATTTTCTTCATCAGGAGATCTTTATTATGTCATACAGTGAGTCATGCAGTTATGCTGTTGTCACCTTGCTCTTGTGTTGCCCAGGATACTGTGTCAGTGTGGGCTGGATGTGTCAGCTATGGACTCTGATGGTTGGACGCCTCTCCATGCTGCAGCACACTGGGGTCAAGGGGAGGCCTGTCGCATTCTGGCTGAGCACCTGTGCAACATGGAGGCCCGCAGCAACGCGGTTAGGCCCTAAAAATTATAACCTTTCTTATAACATCATAACTCTTTGTTCAGTGTGTTCTTTCATTTACAGAAAAAATATTTACCTTGACAGTTTGGTAATTTGTAGCCTGTTTGGTTGTTTTCAGTTTTGTGTTCCATGTTATTGTCTTGTTTCTAACTCTATAGGGTCAGACACCATTTGATGTAGCTGATGAAAGTGTTGAGGAGCTCCTGGAGGAGTTATCACAGAAGCAAGCAAATGTGAGAAAGAGTTTGTCTTTATCTGGTATGCATTTACTTTTTCAAAAGATCACTGACAACTGCCCTTGTCTCCTCAGTCCATATTGGACCGGCAAAACCAACCAGGCTCCACTGCTGCAAACGCACAAAACAAACGGCGGAGGTTCGTATTCAACTGTAACTTATACTGAATTGATTATGTTTCCCAATTTAAAAATTTAATGCTTTCTTCCTGTGAACACAGGGCAGGTTTCCCTGACAACTATCAAGAGTAAACTAAAAACAACTGAACATTCCTTACTCCCACTAACACGTCCATACATTACCTAATAATAAAGATTGTGACAATACCACCTGACAATAAGACGTACAGTAAGATAAGCAGTGCCTTGTAATTAATGCAGGAGACCTGAAAAGTCTCCTTGGGCAGTGTCATCCAATCAGTGCCAACATCTGTCCCCATGTCATGCCTTCCAGGAGCTCAGTGTGCAGGATGAGCAGTAAAGACAAGATGAACGTGCAGGACCAGTCTAAAGAGAGAGGTGTTTCAGGAGGCCTGGAGCTGAGTGAGGAGAAAGAGAGCAGTCCCGGTGAGTCAACTGCTGTGTTGACAAAAAATACTACAGCTCTGTAAATGTGTGTCACAGTGCTGATTCCAGAGATCCTTGTTCTCTTTTCCCCAGAAAGCTCAACAGTGTCCAGTCCAGAAAGTGTGACCACATCCACAGTCAGCTCTGTTGACAAGGTAAAATCATGGAGAACTAAGTGTATGTACAGTACAGGCCAAAAGTTTGGACACACCTTCTCATTCAATGCATTTTCTTTATTTTCATGACTATTTACATTGTAGATTCTCACTGAAGGCATCAAAACTATGAATGAACACATGTGGAGTTATGTACTTAACAAAAAAAGGTGAAATAACTGAAAACATGTTTTATATTCTAGTTTCTTCAAAATAGCCACCCTTTGCTCTGATTACTGCTTTGCACACTCTTGGCATTCTCTCCATTAGCATCAAGAGGTAGTCACCTGAAATGGTTTTCCAACAGTCTTGAAGGAGTTCCCAGAGGTGTTTAGCACTTGTTGGCCCCTTTGCCTTCACTCTGCGGTCCAGCTCACCCCAAACCATCTCGATTGGGTTCAGGTCCGGTGACTGTGGAGGCCAGGTCATCTGCCGCAGCACTCCATCACCCTCCTTCTTGGTCAAATAGCCCTTACACAGCCTGGTGGTGTGTTTGGGGTCATTGTCCTGTTGAAAAATAAATGATCGTCCAACTAAACGCAAACCGGATGGGATGGCATGTCGCTGCAGGATGCTGTGGTAGCCATGCTGGTTCAGTGTGCCTTCAATTTTGAATAAATCCCCAACAGTGTCACCAGCAAAACACCCCCATACCATCACACCTCCTTCTCCATGCTTCATGTTTTCAGTTATTTCACCTTTTTTTGTTAAGTACATAACTCCACATGTGTTCATTCATAGTTTTGATGCCTTCAGTGAGAATCTACAATGTAAATAGTCATGAAAATAAAGAAAACGCATTGAATGAGAAGGTGTGTCCAAACTTTTGGCCTGTACTGTATGTATGTATGTATGTACATACATATATTTGTATGCCTCGATGCTTCCATCTGTCCATTCTTCTGAACACAATATCTCTACAATGCCTTGGTACAAACGTCCACTTGGACACAAGGGTGAACTAATTAGAATTTGGCAGTCACGGATCAAGGTCACAGTGACCTTGTATCTGTCCCATTCTCGTTAATGCACTATCTTAAAAAGCCTTGAGGTAATTTCCTCAAATTTGGAATAAACATCCACTTGGACTCAAGAATTTACTGATTAGAATTTTGTGGTCAAGGTCACTGTGACCTCACAAACGTGTTTTTGGTCATAACTTAAGAATTCATGGGCTAATTATGACAAAATTTCACACTAATGTCTAATAGGATAAAATGATTAAGTGATGACATTTTATATCCCAAAGGTCAAATTTAACTTCACTGTGACATTATATAATGCAAAAACACTAGTCATTAGTCAGCGTCGTAACTCGGGAACAGAAGGGGAGACATTTGGTCAGATACTGAATTGGCTACACTAATCTTGGGTGTCCACCTTAAACTGTGCTGATTGTACAGATCTTCTGTGCTGCAGGGGGAAGATGTGTGTGAAGCATCTACATTTTAGAGTATGCAGCTTCTTTGTATCCATATATGAAGCATTGCCAGTTGTCATGGCTGCATATGAATCTGGACAGACATGTATGTAAACTGTAACTGCAACTTGACTGGCTTTGCAGAGGCATACAACCGCAAGGTGGTAATTATATATTTTTTTAAGTTGACATTTTTTGACACGAAGTACATCATGGAAAAGCTGGATAGAAAACACAGATGTGATAAAACGTCCTTGATATTGCAAAAAAGGTTTTATGTTCGCCTGCGGTGCTTTAATTTCAAAACTTACATTTTTATTTCCTCACAGCAAGAAGGTTTCGGGTCAGACCCTGGCCAGGGGCTCTTTTGTGTGGAGTTTACATTTTCTCCATGTGCTAGCGTGGGTTTTCTGCGGGTTCTCCAGGTTACTCCCACAATTCAAAGACAGGCAAGCTCGGTTAGTCATTGACTCTTACTTGCTTGTAGGTGGTAAAGTGAGCCTAGGTGGTTGTCTGTTTCTATCTGTCAGCCCTGTGATAGTCTGGCGACCTGTCCAGGCTGTACCTCACCTCTCGCCCTGTGTCAGCTGGGATAGGCTCTAGCCCTCTTGCCACCCTGTAAAGGATCAGCGGTTTCAGATAATGGATTGAAACCAGTAATGAGTTGTGGAAAAAGATGTCATGTTAGATATTCATCAGCCTTTTCTGCTGCAAAGCATAGAAATAGGAAGCAATTGATTTGTGGTCAACCTAACACACATTACTAACTATTATTCTACATAGCCTGTTTAAAAACTCCAAATTTGCATTGGATGGAGCCATAGCTGTTGTTTGGATTTTGATTTTGCTTCAGAGTTTTCTGTTTAATATTGGCAAAGAAATAATCTTTCATTTTAGTTTGAATATATCCAGATGACTAATAATGACCAAGAACAACAACATGAATATGAGGAAATCAGAGATAAGGCCAGGCTATGGTATGTCTAATGTATATGCAAATTCAAAACCAACAGCAATGATAGATATTTCCAGTGGGGAAGTACGTGTAATTCTGTCGAAATACTTTTCATATCAATTGATTTAATCTGAGAGTTTCTAGCTATGTGACTGCCTACACACCCAGCATTTCAACAGAGGCAAGACCCTGATGTGTGACGTGTTGAAACTTATGACGGGAAGGCTTTTGGTCTGGTTTAAAGCATGTCAATGAAAAACACTCATTTAAACAGTATGCTGTCAGTAATAATGTTTCCCCTCTGGGGCTATGAATCAAACTGTTGAAAGGGGACAGTTAATAACTGATAAGCTAATGGCCTTTTTTCTTGTTTCTTGTGTGGTTCAGACACCGGAGGAGAAAGATGAGGAGAAGGAGCAGGACAAGGCAAACCGCACTGCTAGAGTCCAACCCACTCCTCAGACAAGGGACCCTGCAGCTGAAAGCCCCAACACCCCCAACACTGACAGGCGCAAGTAAGAAACAACACAGTGCACAGGAACAGGCATACAAAACATTTTTGTATAATTTCATATAGAAGCGTGCTGTATAATAATGGTGAATGTGAATATATAACTTGTGTAATATGGATCATATGGATGTTTTTGTTTAGGTTCCAGGCTCCAGTCAGAGATGAAGAGTCTGAGTCTCAAAGGAAAGCCCGCTCTCGACTGATGCGGCAGTCTCGTCGCTCCACACAGGTACTGCTTCTTACTTTATTATTGTGCATACAGTACAGGCCAAAAGTTTGGACACACCTTCTCATTCAATGCGTTTTCTTTATTTTCATGACTATTTACATTGTAGATTCTCACTGAAGGCATCAAAACTATGAATGAACACATGTGGAGTTATGTACTTAACAAAAAAAGGTGAAATAACTGAAAACATGTTTTGTATTCTAGTTTCTTCAAAATAGCCACCCTTTGCTCTGATTACTGCTTTGCACACTCTTGGCATTCTCTCCATGAGCTTCAAGAGGTAGTCACCTGAAATGGTTTTCCAACAGTCTTGAAGGAGTTCCCAGAGGTGTTTAGCACTTGTTGGCCCCTTTGCCTTCACTCTGCGGTCCAGCTCACCCCAAACCATCTCGATTGGGTTCAGGTCCGGTGACTGTGGAGGCCAGGTCATCTGCCAGAGCACTCCATCACTCTCCTTCTTGGTCAAATAGCCCTTACACAGCCTGGAGGTGTGTTTGGGGTCATTGTCCTTTTGAAAAATAAATGATCGTCCAACTAAACGCAAACCGGATGGGATGGCTTGTCGCTGCAGGATGCTGTGGTAGCCATGCTGGTTCAGTGTGCCTTCAATTTTGAATAAATCCCCAACAGTGTCACCAGCAAAACACCCCCACACCATCACACCTCCTCCTCCATGCTTCACAGTGGGAACCAGGCATGTGGAATCCATCCGTTCACCTTTTCTGCGTCTCACAAAGACACGGCGGTTGGAACCAAAGATCTCAAATTTGGACTCATCAGACCAAAGCACAGATTTCCACTGGTCTAATGTCCATTCTTTGTGTTTCTTGGCCCAAACAAATCTCTTCTTCTGGTTGCCTCTCCTTAGCAGTGGTTTCCTAGCAGCTATTTGACCATGAAGGCCTGATTGGCGCAGTCTCCTCTTAACAGTTGTTCTAGAGATGGGTCTGCTGCTAGAACTCTGTGTGGCATTCATCTGGTCTCTGATCTGAGCTGCTGTTAACTTGCCATTTCTGAGGCTGGTGACTCGGATGAACTTATCCTCAGAAGCAGAGGTGACTCTTGGTCTTCCTTTCCTGGGTGGGTCCTCATGTGTGCCAGTTTCGTTGTAGCGCTTGATGGTTTTTGCGACTCCACTTGGGGACACATTTAAAGTTTTTGCAATTTTCTGGACTGACTGACCTTCATTTCTTAAAGTAATGATGGCCACTTGTTTTTCTTTAGTTAGCTGATTGGTTCTTGCCATAATATGAATTTTAACAGTTGTCCAATAGGGCTGTCGGCTGTGTATTAACCTGACTTCTGCACAACACAACTGATGGTCCCAACCCCATTGATAAAGCAAGAAATTCCACTAATTAACCCTAATAAGGCACACCTGTGAAGTGGAAACCATTTCAGGTGACTACCTCTTGAAGCTCATGGAGAGAATGCCAAGAGTGTGCAAAGCAGTAATCAGAGCAAAGGGTGGCTATTTTGAAGAAACTAGAATATAAAACATGTTTTCAGTTATTTCACCTTTTTTTGTTAAGTACATAACTCCACATGTGTTCATTCATAGTTTTGATGCCTTCAGTGAGAATCTACAATGTAAATAGTCATGAAAATAAAGAAAACGCATTAAATGAGAAGGTGTGTCCAAACTTTTGGCCTGTACTGTGTGTATATATATATATATATATGGTGTGTGTGTATGTATATATATGTATATGTGTGTGTGTGTGTGTGTGTATATATATATATATATATATATATATATATAGCTAGAGCCAGATACTATGCAAGTAAATTCATCTGATAATTTAATTACGCATCACTACAAATACACAATGTTATGATTGAAAAGTATCAAATAGTCACACAGTGAGAAAAATAAATCATATCTAGAAATCAGAAATTTTGATGCATCAATAATCGTTTTATTATCAAATCGCTTCCCTCTGAATTGTAATCAAATTATGAGGTGATTCCCACCCCTACTTTTCACAGTGCTGCACACCGCTGCTGTGGCTGTCAGGAGCGTGGTCAGTTAGACAGACATGTGACTGCTTAACACCAAACATGGTTTGGTATGAACTGATGCTCACTTGGCTGATGTAACAATCACACTAATGTTTTTAGCTGCTGCAGATGCTGTAAATTATTAAATATTTGAGCAACACAGTTTGGAATGACTGAATCATTGACAGAGTAATGATGTGGTTCAGCTGATTATTGCAAAACTCAATGGTCATGTATGCAAAACTCAGAGCATTAATTAAACAGCAAACCACTATTGTCTATGTAAAGATACAGTGGAGTAATGGCATACTGAGTAGAGACTGAAATCACTGTGTGTGTGTGTGTGTGTGTGTGTGTGTGTGTGTGTGTGTGTAACAGATGATGTATCATGTATCAATATTTTCCTTCTCGATTGCAAGGCAGCGTATTTTCACCAAGAAACTGTTGAGTTCTGAGTGCAACAGAAGGCCTCTGAGTGATTAGTCTTTCCTCTGTGCTGGCAGGGTGTGACTCTGACGGACCTGAAAGAAGCAGAGAAGACTGTGGCTAGAGCTGCAGATCCACCGCCTCGCAACATCCAGCCTGTTAGCCCCATTGTTACCGTCACGCCTGCTGAAAGGGGTAAGTGAGGGTGAAATGCTTGAGTCAGTTCTGTTTACTGTAATACAAGACCACCAAATACAAACATGATGTATTTTGGGTGGAGTGCTCTTCCAGATAGCATTGAAGGGAAGTGAGGTTCTCTCACATGGGTTCAAAGGGCTGCTGCTGTGGTGTGGGAGTATTAAATGTGGTTTATTTGGCAGGGTGGCTACCATATATTCATCGTGTACATCTTCCTCTTCCTCGCATTTGTGTCACCTCTGACCACACTCCACCCTTGGTTGTTTTTTTTTAAAACGGGGAAGTGAGCATTTCCTCGTCTGGTATAGTATATCTGATTGGCATATTTACATTAATCAGCCTGTTTGATCAGTTAACACATCGGCTGATCAGTTTTGAAAGTTCATGTGCTGGAACATTAGCTGACAAGGCCAGACACAGCCTTTTTTTTCACGCTAACTGAGCTCGCTGTTGTCAAGTCTCAGCTTGCACAGGTGGAGTTGAAACTGAGGTGAAAGATAAGACAGCTTCCTGTTATACAGACTTTTTTAAACGAATCAACCTGACGGCTGCAGAAATGCTGAGCTGACCTCCGGCCTCACTGAAACCCCATCTGTTAAGCACCAGTAGTGTTCTAGCTGTGTTTGTCATATGTTACTCATTCTTCTTTGGATCTTTTCAGTAGCAAGGGACGTGTTTAGTTAGATTTTGTTTGTTTTCTGTTGACATCCATGTGTTTCAGATACAGACCCAGTGAACCAGGGGGAGTCAGAGGGAGAGAAGCGTCTGGGAGTGAGGGACCGGAGGAAAGCGAGGAGGGAGAGACGCTCCACGGGCATTGTTCAGCCAGGTGGAGAGGTAAGAACAAAATATGAGGTTGTCACATCATTGAAAACATGGCAGGGAGCTCACCGCATATCAGGTCACAGATTTTTGTTAAACAGGCCAAAGCAGAGTTTACTTTATGGCTGTCAGCTGGTTTTAATGAACAAATTAATTAATTTTTGCAGCATTGCGAGTACTGAAAGCAAGTAAAAGTGCAGCCAAACCAGTTCCTCTTTGTCATGATGAAACTGAATATCTCATGAGCACAATCATAATGATTAATGTTTCTAGTGAAATGTTTGTAAGACTGACATGTATTGAGATTCTAATGCTTTATGAGCTTTTAAACCCTGCTGACTGTCAGTGGATCAGTCTTTATCAATCAATCATTCATTTGTCACATGTAATTTTTGTTTTCCAGAACGAAGATGATGTTGCTGATTTGGATGATACAAACAGTAACAGTACCTCCAAGTGAGTGTTAGTGGTTTGATCCGCACATGTTTGGTTTCAGTTCTTATCCAGAGACAAGCTAAGATCACCGAATATTTTGTTTTTTGACTTTTTTGATTCTACATTTGTTTCCTGTAAAAACAAAAAAACAAAAAAAGGATTTTGAAGTAGAGCTGAAGGTCTTGAGGGCCGCAAGGGAAAAACATTTAAAGAATTTATTGCATATTGCAGTCGTCAACAAAAATGTGGTATCACTTCCAGGACATAAAGGTAAATGTTTGTTTGTGGGGAGGATTCTCTGTAAGGTCTTTAAAAGTCTCTTTTGTGTCTCTGCAGTGAGACTGAACTGCGAGACTTATCAGCTGACTACAGAACGGTACGTGTCCCTCTTCTCATAGAAAAGCTCACACATTCCTGAAAAACACACCTGAGGGCTGAAGGTGAATTACAGCTGAGATCTAGACAAACCAGGACAGGAATGATACCCAACAAGCTCTAGAGAGGACTCAACTGAAACCCCTGCTAGGCTGTAATATAGCATCAACAAAGCTATGTCCACCTGCACATATGACACTTTTATCCTGGGGTTGGTGTAGTCTGAAGGTCTTTGTTGTGTTTGTTTCCCTCTAGCTGTACTTTAAAGAACTACAGGAGAACCTGGCTCTGAAGGACAAGCTGCAAGAGATGGAGCTGCTGCTCAGCCAAAACAAAGTGGAGCTGGAGAGACTCCGACAGGTTCGGCAGGTTTGCTGCTACATCTGACCTTGTGTGTGTGTGTGTGTGTGTGTGTGTGTGTGTGTGTGTGTGTGACATCATGAACAGATTATAGCTGCCAGTCTTTCATACCTTATTATATTTGATATTCAAATTATATTCAGTTTTTTAATGCTCAATTTAGCCTGTTATTATTGCCAACCCAGTTAATTATTAGGGGTGTTAAATCACAGGTTTCAGGGTTTCCCTAACATTCATTATATGTGGCAGCGTGCCACAATAACAACATTTGCTTTCACGTAGAAAAAGAGAGGGATGACTGGTTGCTCTGTATAATCAAACATAGATCAAAACATTGTGTCAGGTGCTCTTGGAGAACAGGAAACAACAGGATACACAGGAAGGCAATCCAAGCACTCCAAAAATAAAGACAAAGAGGAAGGAAGCATTAAAAAGCCTTTATTGTAGCAGCTAAATCATTAAAAGAGCCAAAATGTTTCGACCACTGCCGGTCTTCGTCAGGGCTTTAAAAACACACAACAAAGGTATATTTAGTAGCAGGGACCAATAGGAGGCCATCACATGACTAGGGTTGGGTACCGTTCATAATTGAAGCGATACGGTACCGGTATCTGGAATTCGGTACCGGCACCAAACGGTACCTTATTTCGGTACTTTTTAACCCTATGGGCCCTAGGCCTTTTTGGGGTATTTTTACTGCCTTTACTTTTAAGCTCGTATCACAGTCATTATAAAGGCTACATACACATGCTATATCTTGTTTTCTTCAGGACAATCTGGGCTAACCAGATTTGCCATCATTTCATGTCCCTCTATGTGCCTGTATTTTATATTAATTTTTATATCAATGAAAAAAACAAATCTGTGTGCCTAAATTCTTACATTTTTACATGTATCTCTGCATAGCAAGTTGGAAGTTGACATATTCTGCCATATATGAAGAGGGGAGACTCTCTGGAATCTGGCAATATAAGAACCATGATGGTGGGACATTCTGTCACTTCACAGTTGTCCAAAACATGTGGTTTGTGCCAGGCGGACATAATTGCCAGTATTTTTTCATTATTGCAAGAAATTCCATTGACTCATTCACAAGTCAAAAATGTGTTTTATCTGGAAGAAACATGCAATATTTACATCTAAGATCATAGAAAAATAGTCAACCAAGTGCAATGATGTCCTCCAAGATAATATTTGTTTTTCAGTTTCAGTTATATATTGGGGGGGCATTTTGGGCATTGGTGGGGGGGCACGTGTCTCCCTCAACGTATATGGTGACTACGGCCCTGTCATGCATGCATAATTAGGCTTTAGTTGTCTGGGTGCGCAAAGGTGAAGTGGCTGGTCTTGTCATACAAAGTTTGATGGAGTGTCAACTGGACAATATGGAGATATTTGCATCTTGAAAGCCGGACTACAAATGTGGATAGACAGGGAGAAACACACGCAAGCCTAAGACGTGGTAAGATACGATATTCCTCACTATATGAAGTGACTGATAACAAGATCTGTATAATGGATTGTAAAGAAATTCATCAGGTTTTTATTTTGTAGACAATTGATCTGTATTTAGAGCGTGATGGGATGACAGCACAATGATGTGTGTGGTATCACTGGAAAGCTCCAGTCCTGCGCTTTCATGTGATATGTAATCCATCCAACAATAATGTGTGTGCAAAGCTGTATGAAAGCTCTGTTATACATCATTTTATTGTAACTTTATCAATTTTTTTCGCTGTGAAAACATTGGATTACCGACAAGTGCTTGGTCTTGTCCGAAAGCTACATGTTTCACGTGATATGCGTGGCTTCTCGCTATGACGCACGGCCGCAGATAATATCCACAGAGAAGAACGGGTGTGAATTTGGACGCACTATGTGTCGTTCGGGCCATAGTCTAAACTTCTCAGTTTCAACATTTTATTGAGAACATTTAGGAACAGTGCTGCACGTTAACTTTTGTCTGCACATTTTTTTTGTCGCCATTGTTGCTGAATCTGAGGTGCGAGTCATGCGCTCTCGCCGCCTCCACCTCAGGTACCGAAATTTGGCACCGATTCATTTTAAGTGAATCGGTACTCGGTAGTATCGACGTGAATCGGTACCAAGTACAAAAAGTACCGAGTTTCGGTACCCAACCCTACACATGATACAGATGATGACATGACAGCTGAAACAAGTAGAAAATAATGAAAATATAACAAGACACAAAAACACAGAGTATCATTAAATAAGATGTATGATATATGTATATGAAATATATACACACACATCTTTACACATATGCTGTGAGGAAAAATGGTGAAGCTTATAGAGAACAGAGCCAAATCACAAAAGACATGTCCTCATCAAGACCATATACTCTAAAGTATCCAGTTGATGGGTCCAGAAAGCTGACCAAAGGTTTATTGTGTTCAATGCCGTCTGTGCGTAATAAGGAATCATTATCATTATGGAGTTAACTATAGTGTCTAGCCATGGGTTAGTTGCAATTTTTTGTTCTAACAGCATATTTATGCTCAGTGAGGCGATCCCTCAGGCATCTTTATGTACAGTCTATGTAGATAAAGCCTTCCCACACATGGACAACTGAGGCGGTACATAACAACAGTAGTATTGTTATGTTTGTTTTAACATCAACAGAATGTTTAGTTTGCATAACATTGTCACAGTGAGGGCAATAAACACATTTAAAATTGCCAAATGGTTTGGACAACCAAGTACCTTTTTTGTCTGCTGGAAGATGTGAATGCATAAGCCTGTCTGTAAGTGTGGGGGTGCGTCTAAAAGAAAAGATAGGGTGTGCAGGAAAGACTTTACTCAACAAAGTATCACTTAATAATGGCCCAGTTATCCTTAACAATACGTTTGATTTGTTCAGCATGTGTATTGTATGCTCAAAAAAAGACTGATGCACAGGCTTCTGCCTGATGATTTTTTGAAGAAGTGTACCACGCTCGAGTGACCCTTCCCCCTGTACTCACCTACTGCCACATATAGATTCTAATTCTGTGCGAAACACCTTTTTTCATCATGATGTTATTCATTATTAATATTATTAATTAATATTATATTAATATTATTAATATTATTAATTTACTTCCCTAACACTAATGACACATGACTTTGGCATTCAAATTCAGCTCATTAATAAGAGTCAAAGTTCATAGACAAAACAATTGATTCTTGCTAGTAACCTTTATTAGCTTAAACCTATGGCTCTTGCTTAAATTGCACGTAACAAGTTGTCATCAACTTAAGACACTATTAAGTTCTCCTCACCTGTCTCCTGTACTCTGCTGCAGCACAGCTCTATGTGTGTGGACAGGCAAAACCCCACCCTCGGTGAAACACAGAGAGGAGAGAAACTAGTGCAACTGTAAATGGCAACAAACACAGTAAAGATTCTGCCCTGACAGGCAAACCATTGATTTCAGAATGAATGGATATTTGATGTTGTGTTTGGTCTGGCAGTGCTTCGTGTACCTCTTCATTTCACCTCATAAACCTAAAGAAGCTGGCTCTTTAGTGCAAACATGGCAAGATAGCAAGCACTCACCCATTTTTTAAGTGGTTACCTGATCACATAGCTGATCAGTATGCAGTTTGTTGACATGATGCAACAGAAGTGCATGTCTAATCAGGAGATTTAGTGTCGACAGAGAGCGTCCCATGCAACGTGATAACTGGAAACTCACCCTCTGGCTCACATTCTTTGGCTGCATGTAAATATTAGTATTAATGTTTTTACTGTTGGATTTGACTCCCGAGATTCATTCAAACAGCCCTAGAACTGAGGGACACTACGTGGGCGCTGACATTTGTCTGAGTCAGCCATAACTAGGAGTTTGTGAAGGTGGACAGCAGCACAAATCATCCTTTTAATAGTTGTTTATGTTTCATTTATTGTTTTCTTTAACAAAAGCTGAAACTAGCTCTGTGACAGTCTTTAGTCAATCAGAACCTTGTACAGTTTTTTTTTCTTTTTCAAAATCAAATGTGAGAATTGAGGTTCATTTGTGTCTATTACTGTTGATGTCAAATTTTGGTGAGGAGGATATCTTATTGAAAAAAATTCAATTTTGTGTTTGAGTTGCCACAGACTGCAGCAGTTGTGTCGTCCCACACTCACCTGTATGAACACTGTTTGTCTCTGTGGCAGAACCAAGAGAGCAGCACAGACAGGCCGGCCCTTCTGGAGCTGGAGAGATTTGTAAGTAAATACTAATGTGTACTGTATATATATAGCACATGTATTTGTGTATCACAGGAGAGATAAAAGCATCAAGATCGTAAGTGTTGATTTTAGAAATCAAAGAGTTTTATTTTTTGTTCTTGAGTTGGACTGTGAAAGTAGATGTGTTCTAGATGTATTAATAACTTGGCTTTGTAAGGTGAGGTTAAATAACAGACTAGAGAATGACTGCATGTTAACACCTCTGCAGGTTCAGCAGAGCATGGAGCCAAGGTGTCAGAAACCATAGACAGTGAAATGTTTGCTCTCATGCTGTCAGTCTGTCAGTTTGTGATGTTGATCTGTTGTTGACAGGAGAAGTTGGCCCTCCAGAGGAAAGCAGTGGAACTGGAGGATGAGCTGAAAGTACGGATCTTCACTTTGACATTGCTTGCTGTTCTTAATTAACATGAGTGTAATAATTTGGTGCTCTATTCTCAAGTGATTACAGTGAGTATAATAGTTGCACAAGCAATATTGTTTTGAGCTGAAAACCTCAGGGTGAACCTCAGAAAAAAAAAAAATCTTGAGAAGTTGAGGGCCGTACATATACCATGTTTTTTTGCGCCCTCAAATTCAGTTTTCAGTGTAGACGCACGGCAGACGCGCTGTAACACCAGAGCTAAGCCATCCCCATTCCCGGGTGCCTTTTTTTCAGGGTGTGACAAATCGATATAATATCGTATCGTGATGAAGCTGGTGATTTACACCCCTATTAATATGGAGAAGAAGTTGATCATTTTAGTGCAGGGCTGGCAGGGCTTAACATCTGTCCCACACTCAGGATTTCAGGTAAATAGGCTATGATACGGTGCTTGTTGAGGTTGCTTAACAAACTCAGACACAACTTGCTGCTGTGCTCTTGAGAGCTGGCACAAAAAAGTCACAAGAGTAGCACTCAGCGCCCGACCTTGCGTTTTCAAGGTGGTTAAAGACGCGGCTTACCTGCATGCGGCATATGCAGGTAAGCATCGTCCAATGCATCATATAAGTTTAACCAAAAGCCTGGAAAATTGGTCCATTACAGGACATTCCTGTCTTTGCTTGGCAATGAAATGTTGTCAGTTCCCAGTCTCTCACTGTCAGCACTGTCCTCTATCTTTGATGTGTTGTAAAACTGAGAGGAAAATAAATTAATAATAATTGAGTTCTAAAGCAGATTAAGAAACAACCAAGTTTTTTTGCACCTCAGGTACTGCAGCACATTAGGACCATATAGGTTGGACACCTGTTGTACTCGATGCCCCTTTAAAAATGTTCACGCAACAAGCTAAAGCCCAGACAGCTTTACCTTGATTAGTGCACATGCTTAATGTAGTCTATGGGGATGTTGCTGTCATTAGCCTAACTGCAGGTTAAAGTTTAAGGTGGATTTAAACCTGCAGCAGCGTGACGTGTAGTCAAACCCCAGGGTTGTGTGTGCAGGAGCTACAGTTTGAAATGCACCTGTGGTTCAGTCCAAACCCCATTTCCTGTGTCCTATAGAAATCACTAAGATGCCACTTGGGGTCATACTGTGAGAGGTTTTAGTTCAACCTGCTGCAGACCTGCTTTAACTGGCCCTCACACAGTTCAGTGCACGAGCAGATTTGATGTATTTCTAAAAATTCAAATCTTGAATGTATGAATGTGTGACCCCACAAAAGCTACATAATCATATGATTGAACCAAATGTTATATTGTGTAATTACAAGATGTCACATTTGCCTCAGTTAACTTTGAGTTACTGATTATCAGACAACTGAGGGGCAACTGTGTGGGACACACCGGCCTGACTAGGGTAACAGATGCTCAACAGTTGCCCAACACTGACTGATGGTTGACTGTCAGCTTGGTGTGCCTTAAACATAAAAATCAATGAAGTATGAAGTAAAACATTCGAAAGAGGCACAAGAGAGAGCGCCGTGTTACTTTTTACAGTTGAAGTGTTTTAAACTAAAAAACCCATGTTTGCTGATGTCTCTGTAGGTTCTGGGGGACCTCAGAGCAGACAACCAGAGGCTCAAGGATGAGAACGCCGCCCTCATTCGAGTCATCAGCAAACTCTCAAGATGAATCTCCAAAAAAAAAAAAAAACCTACGAGGAGATGAATAGTATTACAGAATTCTTCTTTTCCCAGCTCAGAAGACACAACAGGAAGGGAGACGGCAGCATCCAACACCTGCACGGCACATTCAACAGTAACTGGAACACCGTTTAGATTTCAGGGTTATTAGTCTGTGTTTCAGCCTTTATGTTTTGGCAGATCTACTGTATAACAAGCTGAACTGCACCTCCTGTGGACTGACAGGATGTTCCTGCTCACAGCCACTTTTATATTAAGTCTTTATTGTATTTTTTTAACTGGAATATTTTAATGTGCTTTGCCTCTCTGATACTTTGTATAAATTCTGTATTAAGAGACTTAAAGCCATGCACAGTGCGAGCTCGCAGTAATGTTTTAGATAGCCTTCTTGACCTCTGAAGAGGTAGAGAAAAAAATGCCAGTCGGGTGTTGGGGGTGGTTACTAGAAAAAGAAAAAAAAAAGACTTACCATAAATGTGCCAAAAACCAGCCCCTGTTTTGCATGTCCTTTGGGGAAAACTCCAAGTGGTCAGTGTTGTTTCTCAGGGTGAGTCTTGGGTCGATGCTTTCGGTTTTGGCTGACTGCTGTAAAGGTGGACCAAATTTGCATGCTCATTTCTCCCTGCTCCTCTGAATGTATATTTAATATGTATATTTATGTACAGGGGCCATCTGTCCTGAAAGTGATGGAAGGGTGTAGTCATGGTCTCTGTTTACAAAGGATGGAGAGTGTGGGGTGCTAACTATGGAGGTCAGGCGCAGCTCTTGTATAGAGGGATTTTTTTTTTTTTTTTTTTGTCAAAGTGTGTCTTACAAACGTCAGATCTTTCAAGAGCTTTAGGAGAATGCATGCTCTATCCTTAGTACTGTAAGTCATTAGTTATTTTTGCTTTACCATTTTGACTGGACGCTTCTGAAAGCAACGACCCCTAAGCTAAGTATTCACCCTGTGATGGACGGCTGTCAGTGTTGAACAGACAGGCCAGATGGGTCAACGTTTGAATGTTTACTCCACTTTTAAAGAAAAAAACTTGCATGTCAAATTGTATTTTGATGCTGTGCCTTTCGATATACATTTCTAAGTAATATTTCTATTTTGCTTTGGCAAGCGTACACTGTAAAGTATGAAATACAGTATGGGCATAAATTACCAAGGCTCTGATGTTTCTGTTTGTGACCTTTTACACATCACTGTATGTTGTCTTTGACTTTTCTCCCAGAGACAATATGGTCTTGTAAAAATTGGTACAGCAATAGAGCTCTGAAAAGGTCTGGGCTAAGCCTCAGATCTCAAATCCTACACACACCCCGGTGCACACCTGACCTGTGCGGCACTGCTCATCTGGATTTGCTGTTTGGCAAAGATGAGAAAGGACAGCAAATGATGAAAAGCTGAAAACAGGCAATTTACTAAAAAACTAGGTTAATTCACATTTATTTTTGCTGTTTATTCATTGTATCTGATAATTATTATTAATGTTTGTTTAGTGGCCGCTGGCCCTGTGTTACTTAGCAAAAGTAACCCCTGGGCGAAGCAAGTTGAGTATCCCTGGTCTGGTGTGTAGGGTTTAGTGGCATCTAGTGGTGAGGTTGCAGATTACAACTAACTAAAACTCCTGTGTGCCAAGTGTGTAGGAAGACTACAGTGGCCGATGTGAAAACCCAAGTGGCCTTATCTAAAGCCAGTGTTGGGTTTGTCTGTTATGGGCTGCTGTAGAGAAACATGATGGACTGCGTGGAAGAGCTCATGCTAAGGTAACAGAAACACTGCAATTCTTAGTTTCAGGTGATTATAAACTAATGACAACATAGCTATGATTAGTAGTGATGGCAGAATGAAGCCTCATGAATCATTTTCTTTATTTTCTGAGCCCACTAGATGGCACTTTTTGTTCAACAAAAGGTTTAAAACACCAGATTTCGATTCTTTTAGCCTCTCTCTTTAAACCAAGAGCACCATCTAGTGGGCTTGGAAAATAAAGAAAATGCTTCATGAGGCTTCATTCTGCCATCACTAATGATTAGTGTATCCCATTTCTGCCAATATAGCCCTCCTAAATCCTACACACTGGATCTTAAGCACAACGTTGGAGTGAATCGCCATGATCCAGATACAGACTTTTCAAGATTAACAAATCTGGATGATAACTTTAAATAATTTTTGTTTGATATTGACAGCTATTGAGGGGATTTAGGGGTGCTGACATGAAAGACTACAGATGAAAACTAGCCTCCTGGTTTATTCTGGCATATTTACAGTAATGTTCATTAATATGCACTGACCCTGAGAAATAAACACAGTAAAATAAATATGTTTTCTTTTTACTTTACTTAAAATGCTTAGTAAATAGCCTAATGTCTACTTTATCACTGTGACTGTTAAACAAATCAAGTACAAAATATAAATAAATGTGAATATATATTTGACCAATTTATTTTTGACCAAGTTTTTACATTTTGTTCCTGAAATCCAGCCTTAATCCAGCCCTCTGCTGGAATCAGAATAACCCCAATTTTTTGGATCGAGGTATCCTGATCTAACAAGTTCTGAAAACATACTGAAGATTTGTTCCAGATCAAAACCATGACTGGATCACATAATCTGATTCTAGTAATCTTCAAGACTTGATTAGATCCGATAGCCGAAATCCAGTCAGATTACTTCTAACAACTGGGCCTGGGTGATGAAGACACAAATGACTCATTCTAAGGTAATGAATACACGATTCTTATTTTCAGGTGATAAAACACTAAAGAAAACACTTTTTTCTCATTTCTGCCAATATATCCTCTAAATCCTACACACTAGACCATTGAAGCTCAAACCAGACACTTAAAGACATTCTGGTTTTGACTCTAGATTCCCTAATTAAGGTCAAGCTCTAAAAAATCCTTGGTCCTACCTTTCCCATAATGCAACACAACAGCATTTCTTAGGAGACCCTCTGGGTGTGTTCCAAATCACATACTTTTTTTTCTTAACTTCCCTTTGCATGCAGTATGCACACAATCAGTACATACTGTTTCCTCATAACATTACACCTGGAACTTTGACCCTCTTGCTTATATAGCCATTACCATTAAGCTAAAACTACATGCATTGGAGATTCTAGCAAATTACCTTCACAATAGTAAAACTGCATAGGCTATATTCACTGTTAGCTATTACAGTTTTTCTCAAATGCTAAAACACATTTCACAAACGTTTCCTCTATGTTCCCCAATGTCTAAACACAACACCCTTTTCTAAAGCTACATAAACACAACCACACCTTCTCACTTCAAAACTCAAACTTTCACACCAAAAGAGCAGCTCGAAGCTTTCAAAAATGTAAACACTATACACATCGTTACACACTACAGCAAAACAATTGAAAACACAATGCTCAATTTGTGAGAAGGTTCTTTGTTTCATAACTGCCAATGCATATTTTTTTAGAAACTTTACAGTAACGGATCTTCTTAGATCTCTGTAGAGGATTAGGCATTTAGATTTGTGAGTTTCATATGAAGAGTATAAATCTATAGAAAATACTGCATGTACACTACTGTAACACAACTCAATGCAAAAACAGAATCTATTGCACACAACAACTCTTGAAAACATGTTCAGGGTGTGAAGTTTTTTTATTTACTTTATTCACACCACAATCACTGTGCGGCATCATGTCGCTGAGCTGCATCGGGCCACATCACTTCATCCACATCGCAGGCTATATTTTCTCTTGCCAGGCACCGCGGGAAAAACCCCCTGGAATGGCGAATCCATCCTTGGAAGGCCTCCACTGGGATGTCAGCACAGGCCAGCTCCATTGCCCTTAGGAGGTTCTCTCTAGTGTATGGTTGTCTGTCATAAACCTTCCATCTCCACGATGAGAAGAACTCCTCTATAGGGTTCAGGAAAGGGGAGTAGGGTGGCAGACAGACGTTTAAAAACTGGTTACTGTTGGTGGTGAACCACTCTCTGATTTGGTTTGTTCTGTGGAAGCGGACATTGTCCCAAATGATCACATAAATGGGATGTGCGGGCCCAGGATGGTGTTGTTGGCGGTCCAGGAGGATGTCTTTTAGCTCCTCTAGGAAGGTGAGGAGACGTTGGGTGTTGTAAGACCCAAGGACAGCATGCCGGTGGACAAGCCCCTCCGAACCCATGGCCGCACAAAGAGTAATATTACCCCCCCGTTGGCCAGGAACCTCAGTGATGGCTCTTTGGCCAATGATGTTACGGCCTCTTTGCCTTCGTTTCTGCAAGTTGAAGCCAGCCTCATCCAGGAAGAGGTACTCATGAGGTCTGGCCATCGCGTCCAACTGTAATATCCTCTGTGAAAATGTGAAAGTGCACAGGTGTTCAGAACAACAGTCAATCAGGTAGCACAGTATTGTCCAGAAGTAATGTAGGCCACTGAGCAACACAGTATGTCCACTAACTGTACTGTGAACATGGATGTATACTTACTTGCACATACTCGTAACGTAGGTCTTTGTGTCGCGCAGAGTTGCGCTCAAAGGGAACCCTATAGACCTGTTTCATCCGCATCTTTTGGCGCCGGAGAACTCGGTCTATTGTGGCCAAGCTGACATCATCAATGCTCTCAAAGTTGACATTATCGGCAATGACTTTGTCTCTGATCTCCCGGAGTCTGATGAGGTTGTTCTCACGAACCATATCCACAATGAGGGTTTCTTGTGCCGCTGTAAATATGGCAGCCCTCCCACCTCTATGTGGCATTCTTTCAACTCTAAAGACAGAAACATGTGTTGTCAATTGACATGTTTTACAATAACAACTGATTTGAAACCAATAGACTACTTTCACAGGCTTGTAAAACTGTATTGTGACAAAGAAAGCAATAGAGTACAATACCTGTTGTGTTGTCTGAATGCCCTGATAATGTTGGCCACGGTGAACCTACTCAGGTTTGGACGGACTCTTAGTCCTGCTTCAGCCATTGTCATGCCATGGACAATGACATGGTCAATGACTGTTGCTCGCATCTCGTCTGTAATGATGGTGCGAGGTTGTCTTGCTCTTCCTCCTGGACCTTCTCCTCTCCCTCCTGGACCTTCTCCTCTTCCTCGTTGGCCTGCTCCTCTTCCTCCTCTGATTTGAACTCCTCTTCCTCGTTGGCCTGCTCCTCTTCTTTCATGGCCAGCTCCTCTCCCTCCTCTGACTCGGATTCGTCTTCCCCTGACTCTGCCTTCATCCATTGTGTTTGTTTGGAAACTGTGCACTCTGAACTTGCTTTTATACATGTGGTCACAGCATTAGCAACAGGTGTCTTCAATTTTGAGTCGTTGTGTGTAATGAATGACGCCAGGTGTGTTCATTGTGTTCAAATATTGCTGACTGTGGCAAGCATTTTGCATCACATGAGCTTTCATTTGAGAATATGAGCAGAGTTCTTTTGCAACTTGTGTTTTAGCAAGGAAAAATGTGTTTAGATTTATGAGAACGGAGGATTGTGTTTTGTGAATTGTGTCTTCATGTGAAATGTGTTTATGATATTGGCAAATGATGGCTAGATTTAGTAAATGTGTTTAGACAACTGGTCATTTGGTTTAGAGGATTGGCTTTTGTGTTTTAGCATTTGAGAAAAACTGTAAATACATACGCTCTTTTGGTGTTGTATTTATTTATTTTATTCAATTAAACAGTTAATATTCCTGTTATTACTATTCATCTGATCATCACTGATCGTCACTTGAATGTTATCATCTGTTATTGTGACTTCTGACAGCTGTCCATGAGCTGTCATCTGTTAATGTCTCAGTTGAGGTGACGGATCTTCCCCTGCACAGAGGATTGTGGGTCAGAATACTCAGTCAAGCATGTTGGCTTGCATACTGCAGAATTGGACCGGATGTAGTTGAGCATCCTGGCACACTGCATTTGACATACTATGTAATGAGACATACTTTATCCTTTTCTGGCTTACTATATTAGTATGGCAGTATGGGTAATGGAACATCAACACTGGCATCATCAGGGTCACTTTCTCAGACTCAGCTCTTCCTGAGCCACGGAAAACATGCAACTGTTTTCATGGGCAGAGAGCTCACGAGTGTCCATTTATTAGCACAATAACACAGTAAACTATGGCAGCCCTACAGTTTTTGTGCAGGTAAAAGCAGAAGTACATATTTGCAAAACAGCACAGTGTTGGAGGCCAATTTGAGCAAAATCTTTATTGACCGAGAAGAGCAATCACAAATGATGACAGAATATACAACCCCACCAGCATGCCAGCGTTTTCATAGAAACTGTACAATGTGAAGGAATGTATGGATCAGGAATACATTATTATTATCAGAAACAAAAAATAAGTTTTACATCCATATGTTCTGGTACAGTACGAGTCGATCAATTCATGTTTCTGGTCATCTGTGTTTCAAAACCCTCCTCCTCTCTCATTAAATATTGAGCATGTGTTTCTCTGGTAGTGTCATCTGACCCTTTGTTCCCACGCATTCTCTCTGAGAGGGTCACTGGGTAAAAAGGCTTCTCTCTCCTCACTACCAGCATCTTTCTATGGGCGAGCCTGGACACCGCCAAGGTCTCCGGCAGCAGCAGCAAACGGTGCCTGGCTCAGCCTCGTCCTGTGCTTTCTCTGGTACTACTCCTCCACACCTGGGATCTCCTGACTGCAGGCTACGAGTTATGAAGCAATCTGAACGAGCGAGAGGGGGGGGCTTTGTAAGGGGAATGATGTATATTAAGGCAAAGGGGAACAACGAATTAAAACAAAAATGCTAAATTAGAAATGTTTGTCTCCACATGATCATAGTGCTAAGGCCTCATGGCTAAAAAGAACAAGAGTGCCGAGATTCATCAATACTGATTTTCACCATGTTTAGTATCTTTTCTCCAATTATGAACATTCAGTCCCGTCCAATTGCAGTTTATTTTGCAAAGCCTGTATCTGAGTAACCTGTATAAACAGTCTCTACTACAACAGGGCTACAGATGGTTATTGGTTGGTAGCGAGAGTAAGCCCTTGATATACAGACTACCTGATAGCAAGCACTGCTTTTACTCACAAGGCATGCTAAATAGACATTAATAGGTTTACACATTAGTTGATATATAAGGCAGTTTTTTTTTTGTACCCACTTTTTACTCCCTTGTTGACTTTGGTCCCAGTCCCCATTTGAAGGGGAGTGGGCGAATACATTTAGGGAAGGGAGAGAGGCGCCGTAGAGCAGCTCTGAATGAAATGTTTTTACAAGGCAGGTATTGGTAATTATATCAAAAGACAGCAAGCAAAGAAAGCTGCAGGGAGGGAGGTGTCGGGGGGGTGGGTGCAGGGGGATGTGGTGGGGCCTGCTATGCTATGGACACAACAGCTGATTAAAAGTGATGTGAATACAGTCACATTACACGACTATTGATACAATTATATAAAAAAAAGGCAAACAAAAGTTGATTGTACAGTTGCTTTTCCACATGTACTTCATACTGAGAGAGGAAGACACCATTCTGGAGAGGTGGAAGGCGGGGTTAATCTCTTCAAGCAGCAAAAAATCCAGGACAAAAGGAAAAACAGGGCTGGGTGTGAGGAAGTAAGGTGCTACATGGCACAGCTTGGTGGGGGGTGGAGTCGGTGAGGATGGCAGGTTGGTGAACAAAGCTGGCTCGTGTGCAACCAATGAAATGTTTGATTGGGATTGGGAGGTGCTAGATGGACGGATGGGGGACGACTGCTGCTACGGATGCTGCTACAGATGCTGACAGAGAGGTGGGAGGGATGCCGGGGTGTTAAGACAGCGAGGCAGTAACTAAGGCATGAAATGCACAACGAAGTAAAAACAATTAAAAACAAAGAAGGCAGAAATGTTGGACACAGGGCGGGGATGGGGGATGGGGGGTGGCTGAGTAATGCACAGGGCTGGGGGAGTTTGATTCCCTCGTCCCTCAAACACAAAGGCCTCTTTTAGTCTTTCCAGTCTTTCTTGATGTTGAGGTTCCACTCCCAGGACAGGTGGTCATGCTTGTCGTCATCAGTAAATTTGGATTTGATGATATAGTTGCCGCGCGCCAGCAAACCTTTAGGAGCCTCCTCCACCGTGGTCAGGAAGTCATATTCATTGGGACGAGGCCCATAGCTGCCCACCATGTAGTCCGATTTATCAACTGCTGACAAACAATAGTGACATTATGGTCAGAGAGAAAAAGCACTGTATATGTGGAGATTACAGACACACTATATTTTTTGACTGTCAAAATATATATAATTGTGTGGGGGGCGGGGTGGAGGAGGAGGAAATAATATGAAAAGGTCTGGAATTTAAGCGGGACGTTGAGGTTTGTGGTCAGCACCTAGGGGGGTGGGGGGTGTCATTACGCGTCGCCGTGGCAAGGAGAGAAGAGGACGTCCTCCTTCTTCCTTGTAGAGCCTGCACTGTGTGTCTGAAACGTTCACTTATAGCCTCTCTTTGGCTTTTGAGCAGTTTTATAAAACTCTTGAACATGTAATGGCTCCTTAATTAGCAAGTTGACTTTACATAGACGGCATATCTTTTCAATTTCTCCTGACATTGTGTTGTTTGGTTTGTTCACCACTCTGCGACATCTGTGTTCAGCCTGATTTATGGTCCTGCGTTAAATCAACGACATGTAGGGTACATGGCTACGCAGGAGGCTCGCCGTAGCCCCCGGCGTAGCCTGACGTGCACCTCCCAAAAAATGTAACTACACGTCGAGGTGACACAGACCCAGCGCAGACCGAGAGGGCTGTGATTGGTTTGCTTGGTAGCAACGCATTTCCGATTCCGTATTTCCAGATTGCGCCATCCCCGCCATCTTTAAACATCTTCTGTTGTGATGTAGATGTTGCAGTATTAACATACTTTCTTCGACATCCAACAACTCCAACTCCAGCAAGATTTTCTCTCTCTTGGTCACCATTGTTCACTGTGACCAGAAAAGCCGGAAGCTAAACAAAGAATCGAGTAGAGACGACGATAACCATTCAGGAAAGGAACGCAGCCCCCTACCGCTCTGGCAGTGAATTGCACCACGGCGAAACGGAGTGACAGAGAAGTTCGAAGGGTTCACAACAGCGTCACGGCAACGACGTAGGTACATCGTAGGTACGCTGCAGGACCATAAATCAGGCTTTGGTGTCGAGTGGGCAGAGGCGTTGATTCCCCCCCCCCCGCTCTCTCACTAAGCAGCCTCCCTCTGTCTCCTCTCACTCAGCCTCGATCTCATCAGCATGCGCCACACACGCGCTGTCTCCCCCCCCCCACACACACACCTCGCGATTGCATTGTCATTTAAAAAAGACGTTGTGAAACAACCCTTCTATCGCAACCCTACACTGTTTATATCGATGTAGGGTCAGGTTGCATAATATGATGCATACCAGTGTGCATCTCTCCTCTCTCACAATCTTCACACAGCTCCGCCCCACTCACAAGTACTCCAGCAACACTTTTTAGAGCCCTAGCCTGACATGTGCCTCCACAGAAATGTAACTACTTGTTGTGCTGCGAAGGCCTCCTGTCTCTTTTTGTAAGCTGGAAACTATTTCCCTCAGTGGAAACGAAGCTTTTACTCACTTTAATTTCACAGATAAAAAAAAATTGTGAAGACAATAAAGTCTCCACTAAATAGCATTTTAAGTCTTGTGTGCGGTTTATCCTGGCAGAAAACTGATCACTCACTCTTAACTCCTTTCCTGAATGTCTGCTGCACATACTTCAGACCCGAAACAATCTCCCTGTTCACCTGAGAAGACAAACACTGTTAAAGACAACAATAGATGTGATCTGCTTGAGTAATAATGAGGGTTAGAAATGAACAAAGACTTAAAGCAAGGTGTTGCTGGGAGGATGGAGAAATACAAAGTATCCTGTGGTGCATCTAACCCACGTCTTTCATTGAGATATCAGAAGATGCCTCATTACAGTGTTGCTCTTTTCACAACTTTTACTACTACTGTCCTGCTACAGATACATGTGACCTCTGAGCATGGCTGGATATATACTAAATCAATGTCATGAATATACTACATCAATATGACATGAGAATGAATATTTCCTGGTATTTTATCTATGTAGAATGATACATCTTAAATGTCTTACTGGCCTTAAAATAAATACAGTTTCAGTGGGACAAGGTTCAAGGTGATTTTGGGGCTGTTTTTGTTAGTAAATGGAAGAAATGGATAATTTACGACACAGTGGAAAAGGCATCTGGACTAACTGATGTATGAACTACAAGTGACTGGATATATACTGTATATGCCCTTCTTTGAAAATAGACATTTGTAACCCTGACTTCATTGTCACATTATTATTATCATAAGTGTGCAGTGTTTTGCTTCCAACATTAAATTAGCATTTTGCTACCAAGTGGACTCTGTTCTGCCAATATTTTTGGGAGTTGTCATCACTGACAAAGACATGTAGTGACTTTGACTTCTTTTCAATCACCCAAATATCAGAGATTTTTTAATGTCATCACTGTCAAACTGGATCAACTCTAATGCACTGGGACAATCACATTTCTATAGGGACATTAAATAACAAGGACAGATACACTCATATTCTCTGGAGACAGACTATAATCATTTTCCCTGTATATTGCTGTAAACAGCAGCGCTCACCTTGAAGCTAATCTTTATTTTGTACTCGACTCCCTCCTTCAGAACAAACGCCTGATTCTTAAAGGCCTCCAGGTCTCCTGTTATAAACCAAAAGAGAAAAAAAAAGCACAGGCATCAATATTTTGAGATTTTTTTCAGAATGTGTGACATCATACCTTCACTCAGACACAATATAATATATATATATAATATTCACGCGTTGTTTTCAAATCTATTTAGTGAAAATTGCTGTTTCGGTCAATGTTATGGGCTAAGTCACTATCCAGTGCTGTTGGTGGGTCAGTAAAATTCCAAGCTTGTGCAACTCCACCATCACCAATAAGTAAAGTACTTTACTAAGAAATGTTAAGCTTTAATAATTCAAACTAGAATTACTTCCATGTGGTTGAATGCTTCTGTACACCCGAGTTGCATTTACAGTTTATATACATGTCTGTGAAAACATGGATGCTTCACACTCATCTTCCTCCCAGCAGCACAGAAGATCTACACAATTAGCACAGTTTCAAGGTGGACACCCAAGATTAGTGTCAGCAATTCAGCATCTGACCCAATGTCTCCTCTTCTGTTCCTGAGATATGACGTTAAATAATGGCCAAAAAAAGTGTTTATGCATTGTGATGTTACACCTTTGACCTTTTGTACATAAAATGCCATCACTTCATCATTTTATCCTATTAAACATTTGTGTGACATTTTGTCATAATCAGTGTATCAATTCTTAAGTTATGGCCAAAATATGTTTTGTGAGGTCACAATGAACTTTGACCACCATATTCTTATTAGTTCATTCTCAAGTCCAAGTGGATGTTTGTGACAGTAAAATCAAGTGGTCCAAGTGGATGACAAATTTGAGAAAACTCCCTCAAAGCCTTCTTGAGATATTGAGTTCAAGAGAATGAGATGGATGCAAGGTCACTCTGACCTTTGACCACCAAAATCTAATCAGTTCATTGATGAGTCCAAGTAAATGTTTAAGTGAAGTTGAAGTGATTCCCCCGAGGTGTTTGTGAGATACCGTGTTCACAAGAATGAGATGTCCGGATAGATGGACAACCTGAAAGCATCATTGCCTCTTCCCACGGCTGTCGCTGGCGTGGAGGCATAAAATTGTTATCAATAAGGGGGGCCTATTATGCTTTTCCTATTTTTCTGTCATATATAGTTACAATGTTGTATGTTCATATTTAATGTGGGCAAAGTTTCATGAGGTTAATGAGGTCAACTAATGTACAGTACAGGCCAAAAGTTTGGACACACCTTCTCATTCAATGCGTTTTCTTTATTTTCATGACTATTTACATTGTAGATTCTCATTGAAGGCATCAAAACTATGAATGAACACATGTGGAGTTATGTACTTAACAAAAAAAGGTGAAATAACTGAAAACATGTTTTATATTCTAGTTTCTTCAAAATAGCCACCCTTTGCTCTGATTACTGCTTTGCACACTCTTGGCATTCTCTCTATGAGCTTCAAGAGGTAGTCACCTGAAATGGTTTTCCAACAGTCTTGAAGGAGTTCCCAGAGGTGTTTAGCACTTGTTGGCCCCTTTGCCTTCACTCTGCGGTCCAGCTCACCCCAAACCATCTCGATTGGGTTCAGGTCCGGTGACTGTGGAGGCCAGGTCATCTGCCGCAGCACTCCATCACTCTCCTTCTTGGTCAAATAGCCCTTACACAGCCTGGAGGTGTGTTTGGGGTCATTGTCCTGTTGAAAAATAAATGATCGTCCAACTAAACGCAAACCGGATGGGATGGCATGTCGCTGCAGGATGCTGTGGTAGCCATGCTGGTTCAGCGTGCCTTCAATTTTGAATAAATCCCCAACAGTGTCACCAGCAAAACACCCCCACACCATCACACCTCCTCCTCCATGCTTCACAGTGGGAACCAGGCATGTGGAATCCATCCGTTCACCTTTTCTGCGTCTCACAAAGACACGGTGGTTGGAACCAAAGATCTCAAATTTGGACTCATCAGACCAAAGCACAGATTTCCACTGGTCTAATGTCCATTCTTTGTGTTTCTTGGCCCAAACAAATCTCTTCTGCTTGTTGCCTCTCCTTAGCAGTGGTTTCCTAGCAGCTATTTGACCATGAAGGCCTGATTGGCGCAGTCTCCTCTTAACAGTTGTTCTAGAGATGGGTCTGCTGCTAGAACTCTGTGTGGCATTCATCTGGTCTCTGATCTGAGCTGCTGTTAACTTGTGATTTCTGAGGCTGGTGACTCGGATGAACTTATCCTCAGAAGCAGAGGTGACTCTTGGTCTTCCTTTCCTGGGTGGGTCCTCATGTGTGCCAGTTTCGTTGTAGCGCTTGATGGTTTTTGCGACTCCACTTGGGGACACATTTAAAGTTTTTGCAATTTTCCGGACTGACTGACCTTCATTTCTTAAAGTAATGATGGCCACTCGTTTTTCTTTAGTTAGCTGATTGGTTCTTGCCATAATATGAATTTTAACAGTTGTCCAATAGGGCTGTCGGCTGTGTATTAACCTGACTTCTGCACAACACAACTGATGGTCCCAACCCCATTGATAAAGCAAGAAATTCCACTAATTAACCCTGATAAGGCACACCTGTGAAGTGGAAACCATTTCAGGTGACTACCTCTTGAAGCTCATGGAGAGAATGCCAAGAGTGTGCAAAGCAGTAATCAGAGCAAAGGGTGGCTATTTTGAAGAAACTAGAATATAAAACATGTTTTCAGTTATTTCACCTTTTTTTGTTAAGTACATAACTCCACATGTGTTCATTCATAGTTTTGATGCCTTCAGTGAGAATCTACAATGTAAACAGTCATGAAAATAAAGAAAACGCATTGAATGAGAAGGTGTGTCCAAACTTTTGGCCTGTACTGTACAAGTAACCCTTGTGAGAAAAACCTGACATCATCCTGAACACTCTGTTCCCAACTGTTTTTTCTACTTTAAAGACAAGCTGACACCAGTTTAAAAACCTCTGTGCTAACACTGCATCACTTCAGATAGGGTTTGGCATCCAGAAGCTGAATTAACTCCTTTACTGGCAGTGATCTGACTCACTGACTAAGTTTGTATGACTCATCTATTCTTACGTAAAGCTTGTGATGTTAAGTTTTTGTTGATAGTGTGTCGGGATTTTACTGAAGCCTATGGGCGTTGTTAAAGCTATAGTGTATTGAACTGCTTCATACTGAGGGGTGTCAAATTATGACTCTGAGTATCTGTCCCCTTCATCTATGTAAATGGGGATGGATGGAACATATTTAATTGATAAGACTGACTGATAAGATTCCTGGCAGGGACTTTCAAAAACCCACAATCAAACAAACTCTGAATTGTTTTCATTCTGTTTACAGGACGGCCAGTCATTATTTTTAGCTTAGAAAGTAGGAGAGTCAAGCCTTATGCAGGGAAAGGTAAGAACAGGACAGAATGTTCTGGATTGAATCAAATCTGGGTCAGCTGGGGAATGAGCAGCTCCAGAGGTGGGGTCTGAACCGCTAAATGGCCACTGGGAATATCATAACTACATTTTTACAATTCATAAGCCATCCAGGAAAAAACAATCTATGAACCTCATCTACGCCTCTCTACCTCTGTAGGCTATCAGTGAAACCATATTCATTGACAGCATGCTAAGCACAGACTCAAACCTTCACAGACTGATCTGGAAGTACAGTAATGCTGGATGAAAATCAAAATAGACTCAGTGCAGGTCAGGAGTGACGCTGCATGTGACTGGCACAAATACAGTTACTAGGAAGAGGACACAGAAGAGGACCTCAGTGTTGAGATGATGTGCGGAGATTGTGGTGATCAGTTTATTAATGTTTGGGTCAACAAGAGCTGCCTATGACCTCTTTACAAGATCCAATCTGTCAACATGATCTGAGGGCATCCATACTGCTGATGAGCTCCATCCTGTTTTCACTCAAGGCAAACATTTAATGTTACAAGTAAGCAATCTCTATTTCTAACAAGGACCCACCTTGCAGATCCAGCACCAGGGGGTTTGGGGCATCTTCACAGATCAGAGACATCCGGGTCACTTGAACATTTGTAACACTGGGATCTGTGACTGAATCAAAGAAACAAAAATTATGACAAACATACTCTCCCAGACATGAAATTTTAGACACTTTACACTCTTAACAGCTCCTTATTAAACACCTTTGACTGTATTCACCACTTCAACCACTAACGTCTTTTTTTATACTGACTTTATACAGACTTGTTGAATTTCTATCTAACCAGAGAAACAATAACATTTGTCATTGTGACACACCTCGCAAATTAAAAGGTAGCCTACAGCAGCAACCTGCTGACGGTGTCACTGCACTAAATTCAACTTGTACTGCATTAGTTATAAGAAACATGACAACATGACTAACAAAATATCATATTTGTTTGTTGCACATACTAATGGAGCCAATAGTGTTTGACAGGCCATGTGCTAGCTACTGCTGAGCTGACCTACTGCAACATGAAGGCGATCACATTTCAGCAGAGGTGGTACGGGAGGAAGATGCTCACAGCACACCTTGTGTTTGTTTACTAGAATGTTCATGTGTCTTTTGGGCTGACGAGTCGAGACACGGTAGAGTTAGTCTAGAGTTAGTCTTTAAGAAAACTGAAACGGTCAAAAACTCCCTCTCTGCCTTTTTTTCCTATTAAGTGTTTATTAGCAACTGGCAAACCAGCATAGAGGTGCATTACTGCCACCATGTGTACTGGAGTCTCTACAATCTCATTATGTTCCACTCCAGCCTGTTTTCACTCCGGACTCATTATATACTGACGCTTTGTCGGTGATATCTGCACACAAAGGCACCTTTCACAGTGGTATGATATGCACCAAGAGGAGGCTCTTTCTGAAGCCGCTGGCAACAACCGAATTTGTCAAACACCACCACTTTGTCAGTGGATGTCAACATCAGACAAGGACGCACAGAGGCACTCTTTGCTGCACTATGATACGCACTGGGCGGTGGCTATTTCTGACACTACCAGCAGCTACCATAGTATAAAAAGTGAGAAAGTCCATATAGGGCGAACGAGAAGGGAGGTTGATATGTCAAACAAACACCAGAACTAGGAGCCCGCTGTTCATTTCCTGCGTGAAACCAAAAGTTAATGTAATTATTTCAATAGCAATGTAGTGTGCCAGTATGTGTGGCATGCTACAGTAGTGTCAGACTTGACATAATGTTAGAGAGAACTGTACTTCTTTTAAGCCATACCATGTTGTTTCTATTTTTTAAAGATTTTTGGGGGCTTTTTACGATAGGACAGAAGTGTGAAGAGGGGAGAGAGAGGGAATGACATGCAGCAAAGGGCCGCAGATTGGAATCAAACGTGACATTGCCTTTGTGCACGGGACACCCACTCCACCCACTGAGCTACTGGGTGCCATGCTGTTTGTTTCTAAACCTAACCAGGGACTTTTGTTGCCTAAGCCTAAGGAAATAAACCTAAAAACAAATTGTTTTACATACGCTGTTAGTTAATTAAGAAAATGACTGCATGCATGTAACAAGCAGAAGCTGAATGTATTTTGAAAAGACACAATGCATGTCCTAAGAGTCTATCTAAATGCAAACTGTGAATGTCCAACACAGATACAGGAGGCTACCTAGTGTGTCATATTTTAACAACACACTGGCAAAGTGGCGAGTTGAGATGAGAATGGGTCATCCACTCTAGAGTTGCTGTGGAGTCAAGTGTGACACCTAGTTGTACAATTTAGTACACAAGTCTGATCCAGTGTTTGATCTAATTTCAAACTAGGACTGCGACTAAATTTATTTTCATTGTCGATTAATTTAATTGATTAGTTGTTTGCTCTATGAAATGTCAGAAAATGGTTAAAAAAAAAAACAGTTCAGGAGCTGAAATCAGTTTTTTACTTTTTTCTTTAAACATTATTCAAACTGATCAAATTAGTTTGCAATAAATTTAATTGTGACAACTAATCAATTAAACGTTGACGCTCTATTTCAAACCAGTTTTAAAATGATCACACCTGTCCAACCCTCCAAATAATATCCTGGTATTTGTTGTGACACTTGTCTGCACACAACTTATCCAGGCTCTATGCAGGAGGCCTGCACATGATGCATGTGTCCTGCAAAAAGCAGCTGTCTAAGTGCGTGGGCTCAGGGGAAGTGAAATCAGGACAGCTCTGCTGTAGTTGGGACAGCCTCTGCATTAATTACACTTTAGTTTTTTCTCAGTCCCACTGAAGCAGCTGTTTCTCTTCACTGAGAGACAGCATCCTAATTTAGCAGGAGTTCAACACACTGACAAATACTGGGTCACAGGTTACCATGAATGCACACTGAATACACACAACACTGGCTTTCTGACCAAGCTTACAGGATGTGAAAATCTGGAAAGGTCACCGATATTGCACCTTAGCCTACTGTCAATTCATCTAAGTTGCAATGACATGACATGACCTGCATCTAATCTTATGGTGTGATATCAAACTTTGGCTTCCTGTTTTTCTAGGACAAACACAAAGTCAAAACACAAATGCTGTGACACAAACAAGCTCTGGATTGATATATCAATTTAATGATCAACAATCCAATCACACTGATGCAAAGCGAAAACATCGATCCATATCGTCATCTTTAGCATAGGGTTTTATTTTGAAAGTCTGTGTCACTGTCAAACAGTGGCAGGCAGATGGCAAGCAGCCGAGAGAAAGACGATGAGGATAAAGTAATTTAATCGGGAATAAATCAGCAAAGTGAAAATATTTTGGATTTTGGAGAAAATACAGGATAAGAGACAAAGCACATGGCGTATGTAAGCAATTATGTTACCAGATAAAACACGACGTAACGTACCCTGCCTGGACGAGCATCTCACTCCGCCAGCTTCTTGCTTTAGCAACATTAGCTGCTCTGTTTTAACAATGTTCGGCTGAATTAACGTGCATGCAGGGTGAAACTCAACCAAGGTGTTCTGTTGGGGGATGCAGTGACTTTAACCACTGGTGAGTAAGAAAAATTATAACGCTGCATGTAATTTGTTAAGCTATGAGAAGAGGAAAAATGTCCGCTAGTCGCTAGGCTAATTTATGTAATCTAAACATACTTAAGCTAATAATGGGTGATTAGCAAAAATCAATTGTTTTATCTATGAACCTTAACAGTTACTACTGAGTTGAATGTTGTACTTTTGTTGAATGATCTTGTCATTAATCTGTGTTTATGGCTGTTTGGAGAAGTTTTCCTTCAGGGCTTAAAGCCAGATATTCCTGATGTTTTATGAAAAAGATTATGGTTTGGGTTACAATGAAAAGATTTCTTCCAGAAAGGTCTCTCTGTCAGAAAGCCCTGAAGGTTAACTTAATCCCATTTGCTTTTTCATTTGTGTCAGTGGAGTCAGTTTAAAGTGAACTTTACTGTACTCATTATTTATGTGTTGTTTATGTGTTTTATGGCCAAAAGTAAAAAAGAAAGGGGCGGCAGCGTCTTCTGTGACTGACTGTGTTAAATGGGCATTTACCGCCTAATATCTATAGCAGACCCCTGAATCATATTGAATCAACATTGTATCGTGGCAGACTTTGTAATATCGGAAAATATTGTCACGTTGTCCAAAGAATCGATATAATATCCTATTGTGATGAAACTGTTGATTTACACCCCTAATCGGCATGTCGGATATTGGCAAAAAATCCACTATTATGCGTCACTAGTGCTAACCATGCAACAGATCGTAAATGTGCAACATTCACAACATTTTTTGCTGACACCAGATATCAAGCAAAAGCCACAGACTGTATAGAGTTGTCATGAGCCGTAAAAGGAACCTGACCGGGCAAAGCCTCCGATCCACCAGGCAGCTGCCTCCGTCTCATTCAGACTTACCCTGAGGCTGGATGTGCAGCTGCCTTTACCCATCACAGACATCTTCACCGAGTGGACAGGACGATTTGACAGAGTGTAACAGTTTTACCCCGTAAAGCAGCGTGAGAGTGAGTAGCACTGACTCTGCAGCTACTTCTGGGGACTGAAATGTCCCCACAAGTACACTGCTGCACACTGACTGACTGAGACAACATCTATCTAACAACCACCAATTTTCAATTTCTTGATTTTCTTGCTCACACACAAGCACGCATTCAAACACAAACTACAATGCATTACCAATCTCAGTGGTCCCAGAACCAAGCAGGGTTTCCTTATATTTGCGTAGGCTCTCATCATCCTTATCCAACTCTTGGATCTCTTTCACTGACTTTTGAGCTGGAGGTTTGTAGTTCACCGGTTCTGGCTCTTCATTTTCAGCGGCAATGGCTGCTAGCTGCTCCGTAGTTAAGTCATCCTCCGCCATGTCTGGAGACAGTGTGGGTGCAAGGGGAGGAAAATGAAGCAGGTAGGGTTGAGAAGAAGAAGAAGAAGAAAAATTAAGACTTTCCAATGCGCAGCATGCAGAGAATTCCTCCTGTATTCCTAATGCACACTTGCCTCTTGGAGAAGACATTGTAAATCACTGGACGAACGGATGACCACAACAATAATGCAAGTGAGGAGTGCTGATGGAAAGTGTCCAACCTACTGGAACTGTAGCTGCTCTGGTGTTGCTCTGTGAGGTTGTGCTGATAAGGCTTCTGCAGCAGCGTTTCTCCTTACACTCCTGCTGCTGATGACCTAACTCTGGCTGCTGTGTGTTATCATCTAAACACATTTCTCTGAAATAACATCATCACCAGTAGGAGAGTCATGAATGAGGCATCACATGATACATAGCCTCTCCAGGGTGGGGGGGTACAGACCCTCTCAGGCTTAGACATTATTTAGGTCACAGCAAAAGGATTGTGTTCTTTTGACATGAGAAAAGAATTAGCCCACAGGGATGTTATAGAGAAAAGCGGACTAATCAAACCATCAGCACTCTCACTTCTTTTATCCTTGCAATAAGTAAAAAGTAAAAGTAAATACATGCAGGTAATGCAGTGTATGTGTTTTTATTTATTTATTTATTTATTTATTTATGTGCCTGCATGGAAAACACAGTGTGTTAAGAAAAATCTGAACTACAAGCACAAGATTACTTTAGGGTAAATAAAACACTTTCTAAAGGAAGCCATACAATTCATATCAGAAAATGAACACTCAACAGACAAATCCACATGTTAAATTAAAGCTAAGCTAATGAGTGTATGTTTCACTCTGGCAGTAAATAGCACTGTGTATTCATTCTGTATTTCCTTAAGACAGGGTCATCCCGTGCTAAGGAGGTTAATGTTGGACCAAAAAAAGAAACCTCTGCTGAAACAAAAAAAACAATTAACAAAAGCAGGAAGAGCTGTGTTTATGCCAAAAGACTTGACATCCACATTAAGGCCATCCCACACACAGAACTACACAGGCCTTGAAAGAAAAACATTTGAATCATTATGTCCATTCCTTGAAGTTACTTTCTCCAACAACCCCTTAGTGTTGGTTGTTTATCTTCAATTAAAGTTGTTGTTTTTAACTTTTATCAACAACAACTTTTTGTCATATTTGCCGAAACTTTCACTATATCCACACAGCAGTACACGAGACAGATGACATATATTCCTCTGCCTCCTCATATTGCCTCTAATGGCATTACTGCATGTGAACAAAAAAGGAGGAGTCTCTAAAGCAGCTGTCAATCATGTCACTCACTGCTGCTGATCTGCAGTCAAACTAGGCAGCACAGATCAAATATGAAATATAAATGAATAGCGTATTTCTCATCTTAAATTTTTCAGAAACATATTTTAGTGTACTGTTTAGCTGTCAAATGAGGAAAAGGTTTGGGTGCCTTGGTGTGTCGCTCGACCATTTCCAACATGGCAGCTGGGTCACAAACTTTCTCATTTTACATCTTAAAAGTACACTAATGCCAGGCTCAGAGTGTCTGTTCTGACAGTTACTGTATCAGATTAGGCGATTGTGGAGGCATAAAATCTTGCTGTGACTTGGTCGATAGACATGACAGACTACACGTTTGTCCATGACCGATCATCCCTGGTCCTCTTTCACGCTGTGCGTGATGTTATCTGATTATTCTTATCCTATTTTTATTATTATTATTATTATTTCAGTCACTATGGCTGTTCATGCCCAACCAAACTGTTACTGTAGAAATGTAAAAAGCGCCACCAGATGTCAGGAGCTACATTTGAAGTACCGCATGCAAACTATGCAAGTCACCGAATCCTGCAAGTTCCTGTAAATGTTTCACAATAAAAGCTTTTTTAGAAAATGAAGGGATTCTCTCAACCAAAGTTATGAGGGGCTTTTGAGTTTAAACAGATATAGGAAGTGTTGAGTTTGAAATGACAGCACGATGCATTAAATTTAACAGGGCAAACAGGAGCAGATTAAAAATAAAAATAGAAAAATACAGAGGGAACAAGAAAGGCTCCTTTCTAATGTAGCCTATTTCAAATAAAGCTGGTAGCCTCTGCAGTTGTGGTGAGTAAAAGCACCGCCACTATTTACAAATCTTATTCCTTTATATTTGTTCGTTGCTGTACAGTTGTCATGGCAGCAGACCCCTGTGTGTTTCTGTTGGTCAAAGTGACGGCTGTGACGGGAGAAGTCGTGGAAGATAAAAGAAAACTGAAACATGCCAGACATTCTGTTGGGATGTTGTGAGGCGTCCCAGACACAGCGTTGGCTGTCCTCTACTGTGACACACTACACAAGATGAAATGATCGATTATCGCGTACAGTGTCGTTTCATTCACGATACGAGCTGACATCGTATGACACTGTGTCAGGCTATGATCAGGCTGATATAATGTAATGTGAACCTGACATTAAATAGGTTTCTGAAAGGGGAGAAATAGACAATGCAGTGAGAAAATCTTGATTCATATTTGATCAGCGCTGCCTACTTTGGCAGCGTGACTGCAGTTCACAAGCACTGATTGACATAACTGACAGCTGCGTTAGAGACTGCATGGCTCTGACTGGTTGTTTTCGGTGCGCCGCAGTATATTCGAGCAAATGCCATTAAAGGCAATAGGAGGAGGAGGAACATGATTGTTTTCACAGACTATCTGTCTCATATAATACTCTGTAGATACAGTGACAGTTTCAGCAAATATTGCAAAAAGTTATTTTCATTAAAATAACCAACTGTAGTTTTAAGTGTAGCAATTTCATCACTGTATATAACTATAATAACATTTTGAGCTCTGCCTCTCTAGGAGAAATCCAAATGGTTGTTCTGTGCACAACTCTAATTTGCAGTAATGTGGAAAACCCAGCAGAGTGAATTAAAGATGTAAACTCTGCAGTAAGTCTTACGCTTTACTGTAGCTGGCGTGAACAAATGGCACTGAAGACCCATGCAAGACTTGCAGAGACCAGACACACCAGGAGACATGCATGTGGGGCTGAAATCATTAGCTGATAAACTGATGAGTTGATCAACCAAAAATCAACTGGCAACCATTTTGATGATCAATTCATTAGTTAAGTCATTTTTAAAGCAAAAATGCTAAACTCTCTCTGCTTCTCAGCTGTGGGGATTTGCTGCTTTGCTCTATATTCTATGTAGTTTTTTTGGCAGGAAAATAGTAGGGATGCACCGAATATTCGGTAACTGAATATATTTGGCCGAATATTGCAAAAAAACACACATTCGGTATTCGGTGGAATAAGTGAAAAGCAAGGCTGAATAATAGCGGCGTGTTTTGATAACGCAATCAAACAGCTGCGGTGACGGACGGAGTAAAATGTCGGCAGTGTGGCAATATTTTACTCTGTCCGTCACCGCACTCGCATTTGCGACTAAAAATAGTTTTGTGCGAGCAAAATAAATCATTCAGCATGCTGTGTGAGTACAGATTTCAACCAGCAGCAGAAACTAAAGGCGAATCCCGCCGGTTGTGGGTTGAACGGGGGTTACAGACACAGACCGGAATGTATTCCTGTCAAATACAGCAGCCATAGTGCTTCGCGGCGCAAGATAAGGCTTACTGGCGACAGAGAAGTCTGGCTCCAATAATGTCCTCTTCTTGGCGTCATGACTGCCCAAAAGTACCTGAACAGCTGAGCCGTGGCGGCACACAGGTATGTGACGTGTCAGAGGAGAAACGAGCCCTTCACATTTCTCTCTTTGTGGCAGGTAACAGCCCACAAACCTCACTGCACTTTAGGGACTGTTCTTTACTTATGAAGGGACTGTTCTTTACTTGTCAGGGGAGGAGGGTGGCTGGTTGATTTTTATTTCATTTATTTACTTTATTTTGATCCCCCCCCCATGTTAATCACTTATTGATGCTGTTTCTGAAGTATGAATAAGTCAATAAGTAATTTATTCCATTGAAATATCATTGATGTATTATAGCAGGGTTTCTGCAGGTATCAGCAAATCTAATTTAATGCTTTTTAATGCCCTTTTTAATGCCACTTTAAACAAATTTAATGCCCATGTCAAACTGCAGATACAGTTTATTTATTTT